GAGATCTGTGCAAGAACTGGACAGAAGAGCCTGGAGGAGAAAACCACCCTTTCAAAAATTCAGCCCTGGAACTTCAGGAACTTCCAATACAAGGAGGATGAAGGTCCCCGAGGACTTTGCAGCCGACTCCATTTCTTTTGTAGTCGATGGCTGAGACCAGAAAAGCACACAAAAGCGCAGATGCTGGACCTGGTTGTTTTGGAGCAGTTCCTGGCGCTTCTGCCCCTGCAGATGGAGAGCTGGGTGCGGGAGTGTGGAGCAGAGACCAGCTCCCAGGCGGTGGCCCTGGTGGAAGGCTTCCTCCTGAGCCAGACGGAGGAGAAGAAGGAGGAGGTTGAGTTGCAGGTGAGAGACTTTTATTTGGGAGCTCAGAATTGATGAAATCTAATAGACTAAATCTGTGTTTGAATTCTTAACCCTTGTTTACACAGAATTCTTTGGCATTCATTATATGCGGAGATACTCTGATAATTCTTGTAGGACGTTGTTTTGTTATTAGTGATAGTTGTTCTTTTCCAATTTCCAACCTTACTGATGGATTCTGGAACTTCAAAATGGTGTTTACAGAAGAAGAATCTTGATGTGTATTGTCCATTTATTCTTCTTGTTTCCTGCCTACTTTTTCAAGTCCTTCATGATGGAGATCAGAGATCCTGAGGGAAGGGGGCATCCATCAGATTCATCTCTCAAAATGTTTTGCACGAGGATCTCTCAGGATGATGCAAATCAAGACACTATCACAGGTAATACAGGGCTCTCCCATTCCGCAGAGAGATCTCAGCTGTCTCATCTTCTGTATATCTTCTCTTCTATAGAACACCACCTCCTACGTTATGAATTATGCAGTTTAAACTTCTGTCTCCCTCACAGGGAAGAATAGAAGGAAGTTGACCCTTCTTGATGGTAGAACTGAAACAGTGGTTGAAACTCCAGTTCAAGTAAGAGGAAATTTATTTATTAGAATTGTATTCCCCTTTTCCTTCAGAAAGTCAAGCTGATGTATGTAGAGAGTCTCCTTCCATTTTTCCTTCTTGTTTGAGTTGGCTTATTTTTGTGTTCTTGAGCAGGATTAAAAGTTGAAGTAGGTTCTTTTTATGAACTCTTTTTTTAAAACCAGTACTTCAAATAACTGCTAATTGTGTCCGATTATTATTATAATTGTAGTTATGCTAATTACATTTTTTTGTATCTCTTTGACTTGAATTTGTGCAAGGATGCTGAAAACTGTCTAAATATTCTCATTGGCAATTACCATTTTTTTTAAAAAGCTTTTTAATGAAGGTACTTTTGGCTTGCAAAGTAAATTCTAATACCTTGATTTCTGCCTGAATTTGGAGGCCAAACAGTCCAGCTTTGCACAAGCTAAAAAAATTCTTCCTCAGGAAATTTCTTCCGCTTTGTTGTCTTCCATTCAGTTGATGTTTCAGACTACAAGCAGCTTTCTTACAATGTGAGGAGGAGCAGAAGCAAATTCCCAGCTGGGCTCTGCCAGCACTTTCATGAAGGTGTTGAGGATAGACAGGATTGCTCTTTCTTGGGACACCATGAGACATTTACTAAAATGCAGCAAAGAATCCCCCCTCCAAACACAGAAATGTTTTCTTCCGCAAACATAGGAAGGATGGGGTCACTGATAGAAGGAGTTTTGAAGCCCCAAAATACCAATTGATTCCAGACATCTTTGATGTTTGCTGGAGGGTGGGTGGATGGAGGGATGGATGATGATAGTTCAATCAGTCCAGAAGGAAACTGCTGTTACTTTCAGTGAATGCCAGTGAAATTCCTAGAGAATCAGTAATATTGATAAAACCTACCCAAACATTTCTTCAATCCAAACCTTTTCTGTTTCTGTTTTCTCACATAAACCCTGGAATGCTACTTAGCAGAGCCATTTACCTTAGTGAGAAGGTCTGCTGGTGGCTCAGCAGACTAAAAGCATTGTGATTAACACCAGCTGTCTGCAATTACTATAAGTTCGAATCTCACCAGGCTCAAAGCTGACTCAGCCTTCCATCCTTTCTAAGGTAGGTAAAATGAGGACCCAGTTTGTGGGGGCAATAAGCTGACTTTGTATAAATATACAAAAGTTTGAAGGCTGTTGCTTAACTCATTGTAAGCCGCCCTGAGTCTCCAGAGAAGGGCGGCATATAAATCAAATAAAAAAACAACAACAGTGCATAGCTTTGCTATGGGAATTTATAAACAATAGGACCAGTTTTTTTACAATTCCTCCTGGACCTTTTGTGTACTCTCTTTCCCTGTCAGGAGGGCCTTGTCTCCTTCGAGGAGGTGGCTGTGTATTTCTCCGAGGAGGAATCATCTGTGCTGGATCCTGACCAAAAAGCTCTGCATTGGGAAGTCATGCTGGAAAATTACAGGAATGTGGCCTCTCTTGGTAAGGGTGTTTCTTATTCTCCAGTCAGAGACTTAAGGAAGACATTTTGTAGTTGGAAATCACTGGCTGTTTCTTATTTTAACAAATCTCAGATATCATCTCTTGAGAGGAAGCAGGTAGAAATATGCCATTCTCCTGCTTCTAGGAAGGAAATAGATTCGTGGTGTTCTGTTTAGATGCATCCTTTGCCATTTCACATCTGATGTATTTTCTATTTCTATTTAAACATGTCAGGGACAAAATAATTCCTCGACTTGAAGTAATGCTAAACTCCATCACAGATTTCAGCTTTTTTGGCTCAAATAATTCCATTGTCAACTTGCAAAGCTTTCCTGACCTACTCCCATGTTGCCATAGGCAGGAGGATAGGAAATCCTGCCTCGCAGGTGCACTGAGGAATTCACACCTCAGTCAAAACAAAACACTTCCTAGCTGGCCAAAGTCAAGGCCACCTCCACGGAGACCCGCAACAGCCGGAGGGAGTGACTTCTACAACCCATGAAATTGTTTTGTTGGGGAATGTGACTGGTGACACACCTTGGGGTGAGGGGGCAACAGGGTCAGAGGCAAGGCACGAACTGGGTGAAGTCAGAGCTGGCTTCACTTAAGTCATGCCGACATGGCACTCCTAATAAACAGCTGGGCTTTTCTTGCAAAATGTTTGAGGCTCCTGATTTTATTAGAGCATTGGTCGGAACTCTGACATCAAGCCAGATCTCTCAAAACTAACCAAAAATGACTGGGATTCCTGAGCCGTGGACTCTTCACTTGCTCTCTGATACTTGGGGTGCATGGAGAAACTCAGGCCACCATGGCAGAGGGCGGAATCTCCGAAGAAAGCCTGCTTCTGGCAATCCAGAAGGAGGCAGATCCTACCCCCATCGAGGGAAGTCCAGAAGCCAGCAACCCAATCGGAACCCAAGTGCAGCCATCTCTGACCATGGAAACTGCCAGCCTCAGTGACCGAAGAAGAAAGGAATGAGTATTGGGGGGGGGGGGGATTCCCTAAGGCAGTCAAGGTCGAATTCCCCTACCCTAGCTCCCGTTGTTTGGGGCAAGCCATAAGCGGGCTAGGAAGATTGGAGTGGATGAAGGAGTGAGAAGAGGTCAGAACCCCAAAATCCCTACTTGGAACACTAGATGAATTTTTGGAACAATTGAGGGAAGAATTCGAATGAGGCACCCCTTGTGATGAGGGGCCGTCGTACCGCCCAAAAGAAAGGGGAAAGGAGATGGGAGGGTGCAATCAAACTCCAGGAAGTGAGAAGAAGCCCAATCCAACCTGCTAATCTCTGATTAACCAGCCCTAAATTTGAGCTGAATCGAACTTTGGAGCAATCCCAGGACGCCCACGTGCACCCACCTGCCCAAAAGTGAAGAGGCAAACGAGAACACAGCCCCCCTTCACCTGCCAGAAGGACACTGAGCCCAAGGCTGCAGCCAGTGGCTCCCCTGCGCCACAAACCGCCCTGCAGGGCGAACCCCTCCTCCACGAGCTAGAGCCAATGGAGACCGCCAAGCATACCAGGCGCAGGCAGATGGGGCCCAACAAGATGAGGGGCTGGCAGTGTTGAACAAGTTGCTTTGATTCAGGGGGAAGTTTGATGGGGACCCAGATCAACTGGCTCTATTCCTTGACTCTGCTGGAGTCCATCTAGATTGTTATGGACACCTCTGCCCATCGCATAGAGCCATGGTGAACGCCATTGCTATGGGATTAGAGGGAAAAGCAAAACAATGGCTAGCAGCCCTCCATAGGAGGAGAGCTTCCCCCCCACCAGCTTCAGGATATTGACAAATTCCTATAAGAGCTAGAAGCCAGTGTCAAAGAGGTGGAGGAGGATCAATATGCGGAGGATGAGTTTTGGAATTTAAAGCAGAGAGGGCAACCCATTAACACATCTGTGAGTTCAGAAGGGTCATGGGAAAGTTACCGCCATGGCTGGAGGAACTACTAGTCCATTTCTTCAGAGAAAGCCTAGACAAGCAAATTAGCCAAGACACTGTCTATTGGGACATTCCCAACCGACTCTGACTGGTTTCGAGTAGCCATAAAGAATGACTGCAGTTTGCGCGCCAATGAAATGTGGAGGCAACCAGGTCCCAGAGAGAGAGGAGAACCTGAGCAGAGACCACCTGGCTGACGGGATGCCACAGTAATCTAACTGGCCCCAAGACCAATCCTTCCCCAAGGCCAGTTGAAATGCTACAGATGTGGAGGGATAGGCCACTTTGCATCAGCTTGCACAACTTCAGCTCCGAAACCCAACCAGAGCCACCACCCAGGGCACAACTGGAACGAGGCCCCAGGCATGCCACTGACAAGTCCCAAAAAGCCCTTCAGGCTGCCGAGGGGGGAGGTGGAGAGGAGGGGACTCCAGCTGACGACCAATCGCTGGAACCCTATGACAGTGAAGACAAGGGGGAAAATGACCTGATGGTGAGTGAAACTATCCACCCTTTCATCTTCCCGATATATCTCACAGCCTGCAAAACAGGGATTCCAGGCACGTTCAAAGCCCTAATAGACTCAGGCTGAACTAGATGTTTGATTAACATACCCACGGTCCTGAAACTGGGGATTAGAGTGAAGAAATTGGCCCACCCAATTAAGCTTGAGCAGGTCAACGGATCCCTATTGGGGGGAGCCCACACCACCCACCTGACTGAACCAGTGAGGCTAGAACTAGCAGACCACTGGGAGTCAATTTGATTTGTAAAACTCCCAAAATGATAGAGACGATCATCTTGGGGATCCCCACAAGTGGGGCCCAACCATCTGGTGGCAAGGGGAAACGAGGCTGAGAATAGCAAGAGGACCCCAACCCCCTCCACACCAGCAAATAGAGGCATCGCCCATACAGGAAACTCCCCCTAGAGCCCCACTCTGAACAAACCCTAGAGGCCGAACGGATCCCTGGAGAATAAAAGGACCTTGCTGAAGTGTTCAGTGAAACTGAGTGTGATATCCTACCCCACCGCCACCACGCAACGGACTGTGCCATCAAAATCATCCCCGCTGCCAAGCTTCCCAAATCCAAACTGTATGCCATGGCGCCCCGGGAAATGCAAGAAATGCGCAAATACATAGACAAAAACCTAGCAAGAGGGTTCATCGAGCCAAGAAAAAAAAGATGGAGCTATGAGATTATGCCTGGATTAATGGCATGTGTGTGCACAACCTATACCCCCTCCCTCTCATGAAGGACATGCTGTCCCACTTAGCCAAAGGAAAGGTCTTTACTAAACTAGACCTCAGAGAAGCATATTACCGAGCCCAAATCAGGGAGGGAGATGAATGGAAAACAGCTTTCAACTGCCCCCTAGGAAGCTTTCCATTCAAAGTAATGCCTTTCGGACTGCAGCCCTCCCCCCCGCCCCGGCGGTGTTTATGCAGTTAATAAATGAGGTGCTGCATGAGCACCTCTACAAGGGGTCCTTGTCTACCTGGATGACATCCTCATCTTTACTGAGACTATAGAGGACCACATACCCCTAGTCCGCCAGGTGCTTGAAAAACTTTTGGTGGCAAACTTATACGTCAAACTGCCAAAATGCCAATTTCATTAGATTACCTGGGCTACTGAGTGTCAAACAAAGGGATAGAGATGGACCCAGCCAAGCTGTCCTAGAGTGGCAACCCCCTTGAACCTGCAGACAGTCACCAAGTTTCCTGGGATTCGCAAACTTTTATAGACAATTCATCCCCTCCTTTGCGAAAATTACCAAACCCATGACAGACCTCCTAAAAACAGGGAGCCCAAGGATGAAGCCCCACCTGGGGCAACCCCTCCAGTGGGACCTAACTTGGCAAGAGGCATTTGAAACACTAAAAAAGCTCTTTGCAGAAGAACCTATACTGAAACATCTCAACCCTGAACAACCCTTCGTCATCCAAGCAGATGCCAGTGACGTGGCGGTGGGAATCGTATTACTCCAAAGAAGCTGCCAGGGAAAACTACAACTTTATGCCTATACCTCTGTAAACTCACTGACATGGAAAGATGATAGGCAGTGTGGGAAAAGGAGGCTTTTGGAGTAAGATGGGCACTACTAACTTGATGCCACCTTTGGAAGGGGAGGAGAAACTGTTTGAAGTCTGGACTGACCATAAGAATTTGGAGGCCCTTAGTACCCTGCGGAAGCTATCGCACCAACAAGTATGCTGGGCTCAATACTTCAACCGATTCAACTTCATGCTAAAACACATCCCAGGGGAGAAGAATTTCCTAGCTGACGCCCTCTCCTGCATTCCTCAATACAAATGCGGACAGGAGGAGGTAGTAGAGACCATCATTCCCCTTACCCAAGCTGCAGTCCAAGTGACCATCTGCCGCCAACACCGAAACCGGCAAGGCCAATTTGCAAGCGATTTAACCGCGAAACTCAAAACCGAACTGGAAGCAGACCCCTGGTTCCGTGACAACTAACACATCTTGACAAAAAGGGAGGACCTAGTATGGAAGGGGGTGAAATTTTAAGTCCCCTAGTCCCTACACACCTCAGTCCTCTGGAGAAGCCATGGCGGACCATTTTGGATTCCTAAAAATTTTACACTTAGTGAGGAGACAATTCTGGGGCCTAGCATGAAGAAAGACGTGGACAGTTGCTGCACCATCTGTGCCACTATGAAAAAGAGATCAGGAAACCACACACACACACCTCCGGGTTGCTGCAACAGGTGGTAGAGCCAACAAGACCATGGGAGGAAATCTCAACTTTATAGCCGAGTTGCCAAACAGCGGGGGGGTGGGGGGAACACAGTGACCTGGACTGTGGTTGACTTATTCTCCAAGCAGGCACACTTCATACCCTGCAGCAGACTACCCTCAGCTCGCCATCTAGCCAGATTCTTCCTGAAGCACATCAACCACCTGCATGGAATACCGCGCAGAATCATCTCGGACAGAGGGGTCCAGTTCATGGCTAAATTCTGGAAGGAGTTTTTGCGGTCCATTGGGTCGTCCCAGGGCCTTAGCTCGACTTTCCATCCGAGTAACAATGGTGGGATGGAGAGACTTAACACTATGGTAGAACAGTACCTGAGGTGCTATGTGAACTACCAACAATCCAATTGGGTGGACCTTCGGTCATTCGCAAAGGTTGCTTACACTAATGCTGTTCATAGTAGCACAGCATTAAACCCTTTCAAGGTAGTAAGTGGTATGGACTTCATCCCAATGCCAGAATACCCAAGGGAACCCCCTTCTCAGTCAGTTTGACTGATTGGCTGTCAACGATAAAAGTGGCATGGAAAAACATCAAGAAAGTGCTAGCTAAAGCAGCACAGACCTATAAGCAACAGGCAGACAAACACTGAGCCCCACAACGGCCATTCCATTTGGGGGAAAAGATCTACTTCTCCACAAAATACTTAAAGTTGAAGCTCCCTAGCAAGAAGCTAAATTTGTGTGGCCATTCCCCATAGTAAAGATTGTCAACCCAGTCATGTAGCAATTGAAACTGCCCTGACTGCTGGGAAAAATACATCTGGTATTCCACAGGAGCCTCTTGAAACCAGTGGTCAGGTTAACCCTGAGACCATGACCCCATGAGCCCCCGGATCCAGTGGTCATAGGGGGCCAAACCCATTACAAGATGCAACACATCCTCGACTCTAGATGGCACAGGGGGCAACTCCAATATTTAATCAAGGGCTACCCTCTATTGGAGGCGTCCTGGGTAAAGAGCAGAAACATCCAAGCTGATCGCCTCATAGCCAGGTTCCATGAAAAGAACCCAACCAAGTCGGGGGGGGGACACACTCTTAACTCGCGAAGCTTTCCTGATCTGCTCCCGAGTTGCGATAGGCAGCGGGATGGGAAATCGCACCTTGCAGCTACACTGAGGAATTCACACCTCAGTCAAAACAAAGCACATCCTAGCCGGGCAAAGCCAAGGCCATCTCCACGGAGACCTGTAATGGCCAGAGGGAGTGACTTCTATGACCTGCGAAATTGCTTCATTGGGGAATGTGACTGATGACACACCTTGGGGGGGAGGGGGAAACAGGGTCAGAGGCAAGGCATGAACCGAATGAAATTAGAGCTGGCTTCACTTGGATCTTTGGATGCTTCCTCTGATTTTTCTTTAACTCAGACCTGACTCTTGTTGAGATTTGAATATGTATGTATAATTATAAACAAAAAGAATGTTTGCTATTCTTAAATCGTTTATGCTTCATTAATATGAGAATTATCATTTACACCATTGTAAGCAACCAAACATGCTATATCTTAGAATTTGAAGTATTTCAGAAAGCAATAATGATGACTTCCGACTGATTGATCTTTTTCTAACACCTGGCTATCATATTTATTTCTCTTTCCCCTTGAAGGTAATAATGAGCAGGACCATAAAGAGTCAAGGGAATCATTCAAAGTGCTCAGACATAGAGACATAATGAAGAAGCCTGCAATTCAAATGGAATTCCAAAGGCACGAGAGAAAAAACCCCTCAAATAATTGGAATAAGGAAAGCTCATCTTCCACTGAGGCTCACATACAGGAGTTTCTTGAGGAAGGGGGAAAAATACAGAAAAAATATATAGGAAAAGGTGTAAAACTATCCAAAGACACATTAGAGGTAAATGAACACTATCCATCCACATCCAAAGGACAAGATTATATATGCAAAGACAATGGAAAAAATTGCAATTGGACTTTCCCATTTTCTCAGGGAAATGGGTCTCTAACATCACATAAAAGTCTTTCCATTGGGGAGGATCCGGAGAAAGGCTTGGAGAATGGAAAGAGCTTCTGTGAAAGGAAGACTTTTACTGCTCAGAAAAAGAACCACACAGGGGAGAAGCCATATAAATGCATAGAGTGTGGAAAGGGCTTCAGCAAAGAGAGTAATCTTACATCCCATAAAAGTATCCACACAGGAGAGAAGCCCTATCAATGCACGGAGTGTGGAAAGACCTTTAGACGCAGCAACAATCTTACTATCCATAAAAGAGTCCACACAGGGGAGAAACCATACAAATGCATGGAGTGTGGAAAGAACTTCAGCCAACCCAGTGGCCTTATTTTCCATCAAAGGATCCACACAGGGGAGAAACCATACAAATGCGTAGAATGTGGAAAGTCTTTTAGTCGGAGCAATCACCTTACTAGCCATCAAAGGATCCACACACAGGAGAAGCCATTTAAATGCATGGAATGTGGAAAGAACTTTGGGCAACACCATAAACTTGCTTCCCATAAAGGGATCCACACAGGGAAGAAACCATATAAATGCATGGACTGTGGAAAACCTTTTAGTCGGACCAGTTTCCTTACTCTCCACAAAAGGATCCACACAGGGGAGAAGCCATTCAAATGCATGGAGTGTGGAAAGGGTTTCAGCAAATCCAGTAATCTTACTTCCCACAAAAGGATTCACATGGGGGAGAAGCCATATAAATGCTTGGAGTGTGGAAAGGACTTCAGAATATATAGTGATTTTACTTCCCATAAAAGGATCCACACAGGGGAGAAGCCATATAAATGCATGGAGTGTAGAAAAAGCTTCAGCAAATCCAGTAGTCTTACTTCCCACAGAACAATCCACACAGGGGAGAAGCCATATAAATGCTTGGAGTGTGGAAAGGGTTTCAGCAAATCCAATAATCTTACTTCCCACAAAAGGATCCACACAGGGGAGAAGCCATATAAATGCATGGAGTGTGGAAAAAGCTTCAGAAATCACAGTGGTTTTACTTCCCATAGAAGGAACCACACAGGGGAGAAGCCATATAAATGCATGGAGTGTGGAAAAAGCTTCAGAAATCACAGTAGTCTTACTTCCCATAAAAGGATCCACACAGGGGAGAAACCATACAAATGCATGGAGTGTGGGAAGACTTTTAGACAGAGCAATTTCCTTACTCTCCATAAAAGGATCCACACAGGGGAGAAGCCGTTTAAATGCATGGAATGTGGAAAGTCTTTTAGTCAGAGGAATCACCTTACTTCCCATCAAAGGATCCACACAGGGGAGAAGCCATTCAAATGCACGGAGTGTGGAAAAAGCTTCAGAAATCACGGTGGTCTTATTTCCCATAAAAGGATCCACACAGGGGAGAAACCATACAAATGCATGGAGTGTGGAAAGACTTTTAGTCAGAGCAGTGCCTTTATGTCCCATAAAATGATTCACACAGGGGAGAAGCCATTTAATTGCATGGAATGTGGAAAGTCTTTTAGTCAGAAGGTTCACCTTACTGATCATAAAAGGATCCACACAGGGGAGAAGCCATATAAATGCATGGAATGCGGAAAGGGCTTCAGCAAATCCAGTAGTCTTACTTCCCACAAAACGATCCACACGGGGGAGAAGCCATTTAAATGCATGGAGTGCGGAAAGGGCTTCAGCAAATCCAGTAGTCTTACTTCCCACAAAAGGATTCACACAGGGGAGAAGCCATATAAATGCTTGGAGTGTGGAAAGGACTTCAGAATACATAGTGATCTTACTTCCCATAAAAGGATCCACACAGGGGAGAAACCATACAAATGCATGGAGTGTGGAAAGACTTTTAGTCAGAGCAGTGCCTTTATGTCCCATAATAGGATCCATACAGGGGAGAAGCCATTTAAATGCATGGAGTGTGGAAAGTCTTTTAGTCAGAGGGTTCACCTTACTGGTCATAAAAAGATCCACAGAAGGGGGAAGCCAAGATAAATGCATGGATTTTGGAGAGAGCTTTACGAGGAGAAATGACTTAATTTCCCATACAGAGATACGCTTGGGTGGGAATGTATGTTAATTCTTATGAATTTTCCTATTTACAGGGACTGAGCTTGCAAAGGAATTGTTCTGTCCCTGTCTCACACACGCACAGAAACAGACAGCCGGGGGTTAAATAAACTGGCAGACAACCAATTCTTCCGATAAGACGCTTGGCAACAACCCAGTAGCTGCTTGCCAAGTACTTTACTCAATAAACAAAATACACACAGTCAAGAATTGTCCAGTTTGTAAAATAAATCCAAGGCCAATAATGTTGTTTCCAAAGATGCAATGTGACTCGATAGTAGTTAGTTTTGTCTGTCACAGAGTCTGAATGGCCACCTCACCCCCTTTTATACCCTGTGGGGTGTGGTCCAGTGACTCAGCTTAATCTCTGGCACGCTTTTTCTTCTGTTGCACGCGCTTATCTCTGCAACGCTGCTGGGGATCCAGCCAAGACTCATTTCCCTCATCACTGTCCACCTGTGGCTGCGTGGACGTGCTTGGCCCTGGCCCTATCTCTTACCCTTCGGCGGACACCGAAGGCATTGCCAAAGAGGAGGGTCCTGGAGAGGGAAGCCCTGCCAACTCCTCTCCTTCACTTTTGGAGTCCTCTCCTGCCGATGACACAGGCTCAGGTAACGGAGCCACAACAGGAATTTTTTCTTAGCTTGACCCTTCCAATTGGCTGACCGATGGATATGAATTTAGAAATGAAAATAAAAACAATGGGAATACCATTTTAATTATGACCTGGATTATTGGCGGTATCTATATTTAACTACGATTTATTTTATTATCAAAAGTGAGATTTTTACTCCCCCCCTTGTTTGTTCTTCCCACTTGATCACACTCAAAAGAATTTTATTTTCCCTTCTTTTTCTGAATCTTTCAATTATTTCTCCTCCTTTTGTCATTCATTAACAGACACTCAGAATACTTTTCTTTGTCCTCAGAAAAATTGGAAATGCAGAGAGATTCTAGACTTTTTAAAATATACATATATAATGCAAAGAGAATTCAAGTTCCATCAAAGTTTAGAGTGAGGTGGAATTTGATATTGAATTGTCCGCTTAGATAATTGTGATATTGCATTAACAGTGACAAGTAAGAGGTTTTCTGCTCTTAATTTTTCATGATTCCCCCTCCCTCTCTTTTTTGTCCCAAGTTAGAGATACTCACTAAAATAACAAACTGATGCCACTGTGCTGACATTGCAAATGATCAAACAAGAAAGGTGACAATTTCAAATCAGTGGGACCAAAATAAATAAGCTTGAGTTTTAAAAAAAAACTATTTCAGAAAACTACTTGCGATTCTCCTGATCACAAATGAGACGGAGAGCCACCTCTGTGATGTGAAGAATTCCAAAAAAGACTCAAAGTTGCATCCACAGTGTAGAACTGTGATCTGAGGCAGGTACTATGTATGGAGAAGCATGGAGCCTTCTTTAGTGAAAGGCCTCATAATCTGAGGGAATTATCACATGCACAGAAGAGCTGAAGAGATGAAGGATTCCTCTCTAAAGGACCTAGAATTATGAGAAGCTCCCCAAATGCATGTTTAAAATCTTTTTTTCAAGCAATACGGCCATATTATACTCTTCTAAAGTGTGATGAAGACTAAGAAGTCGTCTAAATTTGATTTAAATTAAATTAAATAGCAATGGTATAATTACTTTCTAGTCATGTATGAAGCTCTTTTTCTTTTTAGTTGCATTAAACATAGTAACATTCAAATATGTGGAAGTATTTGAATGGGGGCATGGTCAGGATCAGAGACTTGTGTTGGTTTGAATTTGTTTATTCAGTATTTTGCTCATTTTGAGGCCTTGAATCTCTAGAGTGGCTCTTTTTGAGGGAAATGAGTTCTGATCCTCCACAGAAATTTTCTTAATATTCACAAGATCACTAATTGGCAGGGAGCTGGACTAGAAGACCTCCAAGATCCCTTCCAGCTCTGTTCTGATTCCATCTAGAAATTTCAATGTGCTGGAGACACCACTGGGTTTCTTAGGTAGGCTGGGTTTTTTCTTCTTCTGTTGGAATATTTTGTTTATTTTCTTTCACTGGTGGTTCTTATTTTATAATGCCTTGTGATAAAATAAAGACATTCGTTGAGGGCAATTGAGCAGTCATTGTTTATGTACAGGTTTCCTCAAAATAAATCCTTTCCCCCCCACTTCAATTATCCTTTTAATCCTTGTAATTAAAAAAGCTTTTTTGTGTGCACAGCTAGTGATGAAGAAAAGCTCCATTATTAATGAATCTCAATCTCACAAGATTACATCTACATCTATACCCCAAGGTATAGTACCTTAGATACGGTAGTGTTCAAAATCTTAGTTAACCGTTTAGATGAGGGGATAGAAGGGAACTCATCAAGTTTGGGAATGACACCAAGTTAGAGGGAACAGCCAACGCTTTAGAACTGGGGTCACCAACCTTTCGGATCTCAGGGACTACCAAATTCATAATTTTAAATCCCACGGATCACTAATGTGAATTTTTAAAAAAGATAAATAGCATTTAGTGCAATATAAAAAATGCAAATAATTTTTCTGTGGACCACCCAAATTTTCTCGTGGACCACCACGGACCACCGCTTGGTGACTGCTGCTTTAGAAGATAGCTCTTGGTCTAGAACGATCTTGACAGGCTTGAACACTGGGCCCCATCCAATAAAATGCAGTTCACTGGGGAGAAAAGTAACATTTTGAACTTAGGCACAAAAAAATAAATAAATGTACTGTATGGAAGAGGTAGTATCTGGCTCAACAGCAGTAACTGAGAGGGACCTTAAGTCCTAGGGTACAATCACGTATGTTCCAGCTGCCAAAAAAGCCAATGCAGTCCTAGGATGTATCAGCCGAGGGATAGTATAAGGATCGTATGATTTCCGCTTTATACTGTAAGACTACATTTGGAATACTACATCTAGTTTTAGTCACCATGATGTTAAAAAAGATACTGAGACTATAGAAACAGTGCAGAGAAGAACAACAAAGATGATTAGGGGGCAGGAGACTAAAGCATAAAGAACAACTGCAGATACTCAGTAGGTCTAACCTACCGAAGAGAAGAACTAGGGATGACGTAACAGGAGCCTTCCAATAAATGAGGGGCTGTCACAGAGAAGATATCAACCTATTTTCCAAAGCACCAATGGTAAGATAAGTAATAGTTGAAAACTTATCAAAGAGATATTCAGCCTAGAACCAAGGAGAAATTTCCTGACAGATTAACTAGTGGAACAGCTGGAATCCAGAAGTTTGAGATGCTCTTATCACTGCAGATTTTCAAGAAGACATTGGACAGGCATTTGTCTTGCGATGGTACAGGGTTTCCTGCTCGAGCAGGGAATTGGGCTACAAAACACACAAGGTCCCTTCCAACTATGTTACTCTGTATTCTATATTTTGAAACTCCTAAGTAAGAAGAAGGCTGAATCCTATTTCTTCTGCGTCCCTTCGCACCCTGTATAAAAGGATGTAGCTTTCTACTGAACCCTCCTTAAAAGTGAAAGGGTGCACATCGGTGTAACACTGTCAGAAGCAATTGGATAAAGAAGGGTTATTGATCGGGAGAAAACATCCTCCTTCCTTCTGGGCCCTGATGGAAAATGCACCGTTTCTACTATTTCCATAAGCACCTTCCCTGCACACAAGAATCCACCAGGTGGTGGTGTTAGTTGGGAAGTCGTGTCCAACCCATTGCAACCCCATGGACCATGCTCCTCCAAACTTTCCTGTCCTCTACCAACCTGTGGAGTCCATTTAAGCTCACGCCTACTGCTTCAGTGACTCCATCCAGCCACCTCGTTTTCTGTTGTCCCCTTCTTCTTTTGCCCTCAATCTTTCCCAGCATTAGGCTCTTCTCCAGTGAGTCCTTCCTTCTCATTAGGTGGCCAAAGTATTTGAGTTTCATCTTCAGAATCTGGCTTTCTAAAGAGCAGTCAGGGTTGATCTCTAGGACTGACCGGTTTGATCGCCTTGCTGTCCAAGGACTCGCAGGCGTCTTCTCCAGCACCATAGTTCAAAGGCCTCAATTGTTTGGCGCTCAGCCTTTCTTATGGTCCAACTTTCACAGCCATACATTGCAACTGGGAAAACCATAGCCTTGACTATGCACATTTTTGTTGGCAGGGTGATGTCTCTGCTTTTTACTAAGCTATCTAGATTTGCCATAGCTTTCCTCCCCAGGATCAAGCGTGTTTTAATTTCTTGGCTGCAGTCCCCATCTGCGGTGATCTTGGAGCCCAGGAAAATAAAATCTGTCATTATCTCCATTTCTTCCCCATCTATTTGCCAGGAATTGATAGGGCCAGATGCCATGATCTTAGTTTTCTTAATGTTGAATTTCAAGCCAACTTTTGCACACTCTTTCTTCACCCGCATCAAGAGGCTTTTTAGTTCCTCTTCACTTTCTGCCATTGGAGTGGTATCATCTGCATATCTGAGGTTGTTGATATTTCTCCTGGCAATCTTAATTCCAACTTTTGATTCATCTAGCCCTGCCTTTCTCATGATGTGCTCTGCATATAAATTAAATAGGCAGGCCAACAGTGTACAGCCTTGCCGGATTCCTTTCCCAATTTTGAACCAATCAGTGGTTCCATGTCCAATTCTTACTGCTGCTTCTTGACCAGCATATAGGTTTGTCAAGAAACAAATAAGATGGTCTAGTACTCCCATCTCTTTAAGAACTTGCCACAATTCGTTGTGATCCACATAATCAAAGGCTTTAGCATAGTCAATGAAGCAGAAGTAGACGTATTTCTGGAACTCCCTAGCTTTCTCCATGAACCAGTGTATATTGGCATTTTTTTTTTTAAATTTGATTTATATGCCACCCTTCTCCGGAGACTTAGGGTGGCTTACAATGCGTTAAGCAATAGCCTTCATACTTTTGTATATTTATACAAAGTCAGTTTATTGCCCCCACAAACTGGGTCCTCATTTAACCTACCTTAGAAAGGATGGAAGGCTGAGTCAACCTTGATCTCAACAATTTGATCTCTAATTTCTTCTGCCTCTTCGAAAGCTTGCCTGTACTTCTGGTAGTTCTTAATCCACATATTGCTGGAGCCTAGCTTGTAGGATTTTAAGTATAACTTTATTAGTATTTGAAATGAGTGCAATGGTGCAATAGTTTGAACATTCTTTGACATTGCCTTTCTTCCGAATTAGAATGTAAACTGGCCTTTTCCAATCCTGTGGCCACTGTTGAGTTTTTCAAATTTGTTGACAAATTGAGCATAGCACTTTTACTGCATGGTGCTTTAAGATTTTGAATAGCTCAGCTGGAATACTGTCTCCTCCACTAGCTATGTTGTTGCTCAGATTTCCTAAGGCCCATTTGGCTTCACATTCTAGGATGTCTCGCTCAAGGTCAGTAACCACCCCATCAGTAGTGGGTTGCAAATCCCATTGCTACCAGTTTGCTCGTGGGCAGAAGCGCCCTGGCGGGTGGGAGACCCTCCCGCTGCCACCACTACTGGTTTGCCCGATCCAGGGCGAACTGATAGCAACCCAATATGCACCCCATATTGGTTGGTTGTATTGTTCTTCTGTGTAATTTTGCCACCTCTCCTTAATCTCTTCTGCCTCTGTTAGGTCCCTGCCATTTTGGTCCTTTATCATGCCCATCTTTGCATGAAACGTTCCCTTCATATCTCCAATTTTCTTGAAGAGATATCTGGTCCTCCCTATTCTATTGTTTTCTTCTATTTCTTTGCACTGTTCATTTAAGAAGGGATTCTTATCTCTTCTAGCTATTCTCTGGAATTCTGCATTCACTTGGGTGTATCTTTCTCTTTCTCCCTTGCCTTTCGCTTCCCTTCTTTCCTCAGCTATTTGCAAAGCTTCCTCAGACAGCCATTTTGCTTTCTTGCCTTTCTTTTTCTTTGGGATGGTTTTAGTTGTTACCTCCTGTACAATGTTGCGAACCTCCGTCCATAGTTCTTCAGGCACTCTGTCTATCAGAACTAATTCCTTAAATCTATTTGTCACTTCTACTATATATTCATCTGGGATATGATTTAGTTCATACCTGAGTGGCCTTGTGCTTTTCCCTACTTTCTTCAATTTAAGCCTAAATTTTGCAATGAGAAGCTCATGATCTGAGCCATAGTCAGCTCCTGGTCTTGTTTTTACTGACTGTATAGAGCTTCTCCATCTTTGGCTGCAGAGCACATAGTCAATCTGATTTCTGTGTTGACCGTCTGGTGATGTCAATGTGTAGAGTTGTCTCTTGGGTTGTTGGAAAAGAGTGTTTGCTATGACCATAGTATTCTCTTGACAAAATTCTATCAGCCAATGCTCTGCTTCATTTTGTACCACCACCAGGTTTTTCCACCAGGTGAGTCCCTCTAAAAAGAGAACCTCTAAAAAGAGAACAGGGCAGTGTGCGATTTACCATTCGGCCACTGGAGGACGAATGCCAGTGGTGATTTACCATAGGAGAATGGGAGGGAAGTGACCTCACTAGGTGCATTCCGTCTAGGACTCAACACTCTGTCTCCTTTGCACCATTTGAGCTTCACAGGAGGTTTAAGTGGGTGCCGGAAAGTCTTGAAGGGAGGAGAACTAGAGGTGGGCAGGGTAAGCCGTGTGTGTGTGTGTGTGTGTGTGTGTGTGTGTGTGTGTGTGTCTCCGTGTGCAAGGGGGGGCAGAAGTTGCTCATGCTAGAGAAGGAAGGGACAGAAGCCAAGTCCCCATGCAGGTTCAATCTTCTGTGTCCTGGGGGTGGGAGACCCCAAATCCCATGTTCTCATGCCGCCCCACTCCACGCAGGTGGCAGAGGGAAGCGGTGCTCAGGACAAGCTGCGTTCCCCAGGAACAAATCCCAAAATAGGAGGGAGGGTCCTGGGGAATCCTTCGCCCCCCATAGCCTGGAGAAAGCTCCGAGGTCAGAGATGGGGAGAGCTTGGAGTGCAAATCTGGAGCCGGAAAAAAGAACATAATTGCAAGGGAGGAACTGCAGGAGACTGCCCACTTTCTCCTTCTGTGCTGCAGGAGACTAAAATACTGTTGGATCCTCAGGAATTTGTTTGTTTCGTCAAGCATGTATTAGATAACAGATATAAGTATAGATATAATTATGAATACATGAGATGGATACAAATGAAAGGGACAGTAGGCAGGCTGGTGCGCTTATGCACGCCCTTTAAAGAGGAATGGGGTGAGGTCGACAGTAGACAGTCTAAGGTTAAAGTTTTGGGCGTCCAATTTCTCCTAGGAGGGTGAATGAACCAGGGCATCACCAACCCCAGTGTTTCATGCGAACTCAGCCCCTGGGTTTAGGGTATGTTTTGGGAATCTGCCTGTGTGTAATTATGTAATTTTACTCTTAAAAAGCAAACCCTGAAGAAAGGGAACATCCAAAGCAGGTCACTTTGGGCATTTCATTTTTTTTTAAGTGAGCTTTTATGTTTTGTTCACCTGTTAGAGTTTGCCTAAATCCTCTTGCAAGTAAATGCAGATTTAGGTTTTTATAAAGCAAGCCCTATTTTCTGAGAAAAAAGCAACTGAAAATGATCCAAAATACATTTATTCAGTCAGTGTTCCAAGCCCATGATGGAGATCAATCCTAAAGTTTGTACCAAACACACATTAATGCACAGGGACTAAATGCTCAATGTCACTGTAACATAGCTGAGAAAAACATATATTTCCATTGGAATGTTATATTTTAACTGGGGATTAAATCCACCACTTTCTCATTAATCTCAGATATACCATAGAAATTGGGGAAGCCATTTGTATCACCGCCTGCTGGAGGCAAAAAATTGGACAGAGATGGCTGGAAGACTTGCTTGACCTGTAGCTACAGGAATGGTACTATGAATAGAAAGGTGTTTGGAGATCCACAAGATTCCCTGGACTCATTTGGAGTTGTACTACAGGACAGAGAAAGAATGAAAAGCCAATCTTTAGCGAGTGAGGAAGTTGGAAAAGGCTCTTCTGGTGTCCAGCCTGGGAGCTATGGGGAGATCTGTGCAAGAACTGGGCAGAAGATCCTGGAGAAGAAAACAATCCTTTCAGAAGTTCAGCCCTGGAACTTCAGGAGCTTCCAATACAAGGAGGATGAGGGTCCCAGAGTACTTTGCAGCCAACTCCACTACTTTTGTAGTCGATGGTTGAGACCAGAAAAGCACACAAAAGCGCAGATGCTGGACCTGGTTGTTTTGGAGCAGTTTGTGGCGCTTCTGCCCCTGCAGATGGAGAGCTGGGTACGAGAGTGTGGAGCAGAGACCAGCTCCCAGGCGGTGGCCCTGGTGGAAGGCTTCCTCCTGAGCCAGGTGTTGGAGCAGAAGGAGAGGACTGAGTGGCAGGTGAGAGACCTTTATTTGGGAACTCAAATTGGCTAAATCTAATAAACAGTATTTTTGATCTCTTAACCCTTGCCTATCAGAATTCTTTGGCATTCATTGTATGTGGAAATAATTCATGCAGGACATTGTTGTTTTATTTGTGATAGTCATTCCTTTCCTTCTTTCCAACCTCACTGATGAATTTCTGGGGTTTTGGAATGGTGTTCACAAAAGAAGAATCCACTTCTTGATATGTATTGTCCACTTATTCCTCTTCTTGTTTCCTGCCTACTTTTTCAAGTCTTTCATGATGGAGATCAGAGACCGTGAGGGAAGGAGGCATCCATCAAGTTCATCTCCAGAAATGTTTTTCAGGAAGATCTCTCAGGATGATCCAAATCAAGACACTATCACAGGTAATACAGGGCTCTCCCATTCCGCAGAGAGATCTCAGCTGTCTCATCTTCTTTTTGTCTTCTCTTCTATAGAACACCACCTCCTACATTATGAATTATACAGTTTAAAATTCTGTCTTCCTCACAGGGATGAATAGAAAGAAGGTGGCCCTTCCTGAATGTGGAGCTGAAACAGTGGTAGAAACTCCAATTCAGGTAAGAAGAGGAAATTTTTTTATTAGAATTGTATTCTCCTTTTCCTTCAGAAAATCAAGCTGGTATACATAGTATTGCCTCCTTCCATTAATCTTTTTAAAGACCAGTACTTTAAAAAAGTGCTACTTGTTGCCAATTACTATTATAATAATTGTAATTATGTAATTACTCTAACCCCTTTTCAAGTAATCCTTCGTGATGCTCATTCTTTTTGTAATTCTTTGAGTTTGATTTCTGCAAGGATGCTCAAAAATAACTGAATAGTTACACTGGCAAATTACCATTTTAAAAAAAAGCTTTGTTTACAATCAGTGATAGGAAAACTAAGTGGAACAGGTTAAAAGATAGCACTATTAAAATCCTTTGTGAGTTAATAGAAAATTCTCAACGTAAAAATTGTTCTGAAAGACCACATAATCAAGGAATTTTGGCTGGCAAAGTAAATTCTAATACCTTAATTTGTGCCTGAATTTGGAGGCCAAACAATCCAGCTTTCAAAAGCTAAAAATTTCCTCCTTGGGAAATTTCTTCCGCTTTGTTATCTTCCATTCAGTTGATGTCTCAGATTAGAAACAACTTCCTTACAATCCAAGAAGAAGCAGAAGGCAAATCCCTAGCTGAGTTCTCCCAGCACTTTCATGAAGGGTTGAGGATAGACAGGACTGCAGCTTCTTGTTATACCATGAGCCATTTACTAAATGCCACATAAAATTCTTCACACATAGAGATTCCCACCTTTCCTTTGAAAACATAGGAAGGGTTGGAGTCATTGATATGTGCAGTTTCCAAGGCCCATCTGCCAGTTGATTCTCTCCAGAAGTCTTCTAATGGTGGACGAATGAATGGCGGATCGATCAATCCAAAGGAAATTTTCACTGAAAGGCTCTGACAGTTCTGGAAAATCAATAAAATTGATAAAACCTACCCAAAACATTCCTTCAACCCAAACCTTTTCTCTGTCTGTTTTCTCACATAAACCCTGTAATGCTACTTAGCAGAGCCATTTACCTTAGTGCATAGCTTTGCTTTGGAAATTATAAACCATAGGATCATTTTTTTAAACAATTCCTCCTGGACTTTCTGTGTACTCTCCCTGTCAGGAGAATCTTGTGTCCTTTGAAGAAGTGGCTGTGTATTTCTCCGAGGAGGAATGGTCTGAGCTGGATCCTGATCAAAAAGCTCTGCATTGGGAAGTCATGCTGGAAAATTACAGCAACGTGGCTTCTCTTGGTAAGGGTGTTTCCTTTTGTTCAATCAGAGAGTTCAGGAAGATATTTTATTAATTATAGGCTGTGTTTGATTATTATTAATTAGTATTATTATAAACAAAAATGTGTTATTTTCAGAGTTATGATACATGCATATAGAAATTGTTATTATTATTGTTACTTATATCATGCCATTGTAAGCATCCAAACATACAACATATTTGGATCTAACAAATCTCAGAAGGCAATTGATATAAATTCTGACAGATCGATCTTTTTCCCTAACCTTGCTATTGTTTTTATTGCTGTTCCCTTTTGAAGGTGATAATGGGCAGGACCATAAAGAGTCTAGGGAATCATTCCAAGTGTTCAGATATGGAGACGTAACGGAGAAGCTTGAAATGCAAATGAAATTCCAGAGGCAGGAGAGAAATCAGTCAAATAATTGGAATAAGGAAAGCTCATCTTCCATTGAGGCTCAGATGCAGTTTCTTGAGCAACCAAGTAAAATAAAAAAAAAATATATTGGCAAAGGTATAAGACTATCCAAAGACACATTAGATGTAAATGGACAGCATCTGATCCATGACAAAGGACAAGATTGTATATACAAAGACAATGGAAATCAATACAATTGGACTTTCACACTTTCTCAAGAAAATGGGTCACTTACATCACATAAAACTATTCATATGGGAGAGAAGCCATATGGGCATGGAAAAAGCTTCAGTGAAAACAAGACTCTTACTATTCATAAAAGGATCCACACAGAGGAAAAGCCATTTAAATGCATGGAATGTGGAAAGGACTTTACTTGCAACAGTAGTCTTACTTCCCACAAAAGGATCCACACAGGGGAGAAGCCATATAAATGCTTGGAGTGTGGAAAGGGCTTTAGGTGCAACAGTAGTCTTAATTCCCATAAAACGATCCATACAGGGGAGAAACCATATAAATGCATGGAGTGTGGAAAAGGCTTTAGGTGCAACAGTAGTCTTACTTCCCACAAAAGGATCCACACGGGGGAGAAGCCATATAAATGCTTTGAGTGTGGAAAGGGCTTCTGTGACCACAGTAGTCTTACTTCCCATAAAAGGATCCACACAGGGGAGAAGCCATATAAATGCATGGAGTGTGGAAAGGGCTTCAGCAAATCCAGTAGTCTTACTTCCCACAAAAGGATCCATACAGGAGAGAAGCCATATAAATGCATGGAGTGTGGAAAGGGTTTCAGCAAATCCAGTAATCTTACTTCCCACAAAATGATCCACACGGGGGAGAAGCCATATAAATGCTTGGAGTGTGGAAAGGACTTCAGAATACATAGTGATCTTACAACCCATAAAAGGATCCACACGGGGGAGAAACCATATAAATGCATGGAGTGTGGAAAGGACTTCAGAATACATAGTGATCTTACAACTCATAAAAGGATCCACACAGGGGAGAGGCCTTACAAATGCATGGAATGTGGAAAGACTTTTACTCATAACGTTCAACTTGCTTCCCATACAAGGATGCATAGAGAGGAGAAGCCATATAAATGCATGGAATGTGGAAAGGGCTTCCTTGTAAATTCATCCCTTATGAGACATAAGATGATTCACACGAGGGATAAACCATATAAATGTATGGAGTGTGGAAAGACCTTTAGTCATGACATTCAACTTACTTCCCATAAAACGATCCACACAGGGGAGAAGCCATATAAGTGTATGGAGTGTGAAAAGGACTTCCATTTAAATTCATCCCTTATGAGACATAAGAGAATTCACACAGGGGATAAACCATATAAATGTATGGAATGTGGAAAGACTTTTAATCGTATCATTCAATTTACTTCCCACAAAAGGATCCACACGGGAGAGAAGCCATATAAATGCATGGATTGTGGAAAGGGCTTCAGCCGACCCGGTATGCTTATGACGCATAAAAGGATCCATAGAGATGTGGAGCCAATTTCTGAAACAAAGAGAGATTTGGGTGAAAATGTATGCTAATTTAGCAGGTTAAATCTATGGATTTTCCTATTAAATCGACTGAACTCAGAAAGGAGGGTTTTTTTGAGTTTGGCCCTCCCAACTGTATATGTTTCATTTTAATTATGAACGATTAATTTTTAGAATAGAATAGAATAGAATTTTTTATTGGCCAAGTGTGATTGGACACACAAGGAATTTGTCTTGGTGCATATGCTCTCAGTGTACACAAAAGAAAAGATACATTCATCAAGAATCATAAGGTACAATGCAATGATAGTCATAGGGTCATAGATCATAGGGTACAAATAAGCAAATCGTATTTGGAAACAGTCAATATAAATCATAAGGATACAAGCAACAAAGTTATAGTCATACAGTCATAAGTGGAAGGAGATGGGTGCTAGGAATGATGAGAAGATTAATAGTAATGCAGACTTAGTAAATAGTTTGACAGTGTTGAGGGAATTATTTGTTTAGCAGAATGATGGCGTTCGGGAAAACACTGTTCTTGTGTCTAGTTGTTCTGGCGTGCAGTACTCTATAGCACCGTTTTGAGGGTAGGAATTGAAACAGTTTATGTCCAGGATGTGAAGGCATCTGTATATATTTTTTAGAAATAAACTTCTGCTCCTCATGAGGGGCCACTGTCTGCATTTTTAGAGGTGCTGCTTCTGCTATTAAAATTTAACTTTCATGTGTAACTTGGGTTTTTTCTTTCTATTTTGCCTTTTACTTTGGATGAGTAGATTACATGCTAATTGCCAGGTTGAATGCTGTTAAGTCCAATACACTCCCTTGATGAACTACAATTAAAAACTTTTATTGCCTTCACAATGAGACTTCATCTGATTTATCACTTTCATCTGATTTATTGCATGGAATGGCAATGGCAAAGTTCTTTTGTCTTGAAGTGAAGTGATTTTAGCCATTTTTGGCTTTTTGATTATTTATTGAAAAAGTTAGATCAGTTATTGGTTATTTATTGAAAAGGCTACATTATTTATTGTAATTATTTATTGACGTTGCTATATAAATTTTTAAGAACTTTAGTATTTCATTCCATTTTCCTTATACATACTATTCCTTAATTCAAGAAGAGGAAAATCACTTTTGATCTAAGAAACAGTGTTGTTTGCAAACACTTTAAAATCTTTTTGAAATTGAACATTGCTTAAAGTTTATTTATTTGGTATGCTTTATATTGGCCATGAAGTCACTGAAGTTTTAAGAATCAGAGAACTAATAAAAAAATTCTACAATTACTTATTGAATTTTAAAATGGAAGAAGAAACAGTAAAGGAAACTATGATAACATGGGCAAAAAATTTCGGGCACACCATAGAACTAGATATTTGGCAAAAACTACGGGAAAGAAATTATAGATTGACAATGTCAGCAGCGTATATAGAAAATTTATGCAAAATGTTTTATAGATGGCATTTATGACCAGCATGGTTGGCAAAAATGTTCCCAAATAGGTCACCAGAATGTTGGAAATGCAAGCAGACACATGTGATGGACCTGTCCATCGGCGAAAAAATATTGGGGAAAGATAAAAAAGTGGCTAGAGGAAATTATTAAACAACAAATAGACCTAAAGCCAGAACTATTTATATTAGGCATACTAACAGGGAAATATAATAAAAGAATTCAATATTTATTATTACATGTAATAACAGCGGCCAGAATTACATATGCACAAAATTGGAAAAATGGAAACATACCCACAGAGGAAATTGTAATAAAGAAAATATTAGATTGCGCCAAAATGGACAAGTTAACAATGGAAATTAAAGATAAAGGAGAAACAGACTACTATTTAATATGGGATATATGGTATAATTGGTTAGATAGATTATCTAACCAATTATAGAGCTTAGAAAATTAATGATGAAAGATGATCAACAAACCAGAAATAAAATAACCATTTTCCTTTCTCTTCTACCAGATATTACTGGGCAAACATTTATGACTTATTCTTCATGCTGCACTAAACTTTTTATTTAAACATTGTTTAATACTAAATTACTTTTCCAGGTAGAAAAGCTATTTATATCATTGTATTTTTATTATTCAACCAATAATAAAAATACAATAGCATCAATGACATGATAATACAATATCGAATAGCAAAGGTAAATTTCCAGGGTAATTCTCTGTGGGAGAAGGCTCTTCCAGAGCCTTCCAGAGCCTTCTCTGTGGGAGCTCCTGCCCTTTGGAACGAACTGCCCCCAGAAATACGCACAATCTCTGACCTCCGAGTTTTTCGCTGTGCCCTTAAGACCCTGCTCTTCCGACAGGCAGGGCTATCTTTGTAAAGTAGTTTTAAATTCGGAGTTTTAAATTTTTGGGTTTTTAATGCAACTTGTAATAATTTTAATAGTTTTTAAATTTAATTGGGATTTGTATTGTGTTTTTACTTGGCTCTGCACCGTCCTGAGTCCTTCGGAAGAGGGGCGGTATAGAAATAAAATTATCTATCTATCTATCTATCTATCCAGGGTAGTAAATAGGAATGGCTGTCAATTAGAGATTGTTGATTGTACATTAAATTGACCTACAGTATGTAAAATCTGGCATTAAACTGTAGTATTAACATAGGATCTTGCTAGTTTTCTATCCAGATAAGGTACTTACTTGAGGCCACATAATTGTAATCCAGACCAATCCAGTCCTCCTGCAGCACTCTGCCAGCCAAAAACGTGCGGCTCGTTTTTGCCAGAATGCCTCTGGAGGTGGGGAGGCCAAAAACAGGCAGCGTGGGGGCCTCATGGGGTCTTCATGTGACCCATTTCTGACTGGCAGAGTGCTGCTGGAGGCTATGGCAGCCAGAAACGGGTCACGGGGGGGCATGTGGCCCCCCGCAGATCATTTTGGCTGGCAGAGATACTGCAGGCCAGTCCTTCGAAATTTTCAGGCCGGCCCCGCAGGCCAGATTTAAGTACCTTGTGTTTGACACCCCTGTATTAGAACCACAATGAGGAACTTGGAAAATTGCTGTAGAAAATTTAGATTGGACCAAAAACATTAAGTTCCTATGGCAGATAACCAGAGTCAGACTAAATTGTGTGCCATATAGTAATTGAGCCGAAAGCTTGGCCTCAAACAGCTTAGTTGCTGCAGGTATATATTAACTTGTGGAATAAAGAAATCTTAAAAATACTTAATAATTTAGTTGAGGGGATGAAAGGGAACTCATCAAATTTGTGTATGACACCAAGTTAGGGAAATAGCCAATAATTTAGAAGATAAGCTCAAGATCCAGAAGCTTCTTGACAGACTGAAATACTGGGCTCTATCCAATAAATTGCAGTTCATTGGTGAGAAAAGTAAGTGTAAGGTCCCAAAATATACTTGAGTCACCAGAATGCCAAAGAGAGAAACTCAAGATGAGGCTTGCAAAAAGAGGCAGATTTTATTTATGACCAAAAACAAAATGGATGGGACTATATCCAGAACATACAGATACAATGCATGTGAGGAGATAGCCACAGCTTGGGGAAGATATGGCGTCCTTTTTATACCCTCAGACACATCAGTTTAGTACCCAATTCTGGCCTCCTAGTTTAGGTTTGTATATTCCTTGTTGCCCTGCAAAGGAATAGACGCCTCCCAATTAGCATTATATCTTCCTTGAGCATTCCTTTGTTCTCCCAATTGCTCATTTGGCCCCCTGGTTCTGCAAGGAGCGAGCTTATAGAGATCAAAGGTATAAGTTAGGGCTGAAGTATAAATTTTCCCTCAGATGATGTCTGCAGTTTCAACTGAGATACATACCATGCTCTTGGATGGCACAAGAAAAACAAGAAGAAGATTGATATGGGTTCAGCTCAAATGGTAGGAACATATGTTTGACAAATACCAGATAGATTACAGAGGCCTAATAACAGAATATGTTTGTTACAGGAGATACAAATATAAAGGTACAATTTATGTGTGTTATACAAATACAAAGACTATAAATATATGCATTACAGGAACCTAATGGTTACAGAATAACAAGTTTCTACTAATTCTAGTATACCAGTATATCATATTATAGTATTATTTATTATATCCTTATTACTGTTTCCCTTCATAAGGTTTTACAGAGGTATGGTATAAGACCTCCGAGGTCCCTTCCAAGCATGTTACTCTGGAATCTGTATTTTGAATCTCTTGAGTAAGAAGAATGGTACTTCTTGTCTGTTCTTTTGCCCCCTCTATGAAGGGATGAAGCTTTCTATAGAACCCTTCCTAAAAGTGGAAGGCTGCACATGGGTGTGGCACTGTCAGAAGAAATCGGATTCTTTATCAGGAAGGAAACGACAGCCTCCTTCCTCCTGGGCTCCGATGGAAAATGCACCGTTTCCATCACTTGCATAAGAACCTTCCTTGCACACAGAATCCACCAGGCGAGTCCCTCAGAAAAGAGAAGCGGACGCCGTGCGATTCACCATTCGGCCACCGGAGGGCGAACGCCAGAGGTGATTTCCCATAGGAGAAGGAGAGGGAAGTGACCTCACTGGATCTGACGCGACACTCCGTCTCTTTTCACCCTTTGAGGGGGTTTAAGTGGGTAAGTGGCGGGTGTGAGTGTGTGTGTGTGTGTGTATGTGTCTCCGCGTGCAATGTGGGGGGTCGGGGTGGGGTGGGGTGCAGAGCTGCTGGTGCTAGAGAAGGAAGGGGCAGAAGCCAAGTCCCCATGCAGGTTCAATCTCCTGAGTCCTGCGGGAGGGAGATCCCGGATCCCATGTTCCCCTGCCGCCCCTCTCCACGCAGGTGGCAGGCAGAGGGAAGCGGTGCTCAGGACGAGCCGCGTTGCCCCAGGAACAAATCCCCAGAGAGGAGGGAGGGTCCTGGGGAATCCTTCACCCCCCATAGCCTGAAGAAAGCTCCGAGGTCGGAGATGGGGAGAACTTGGAGGGCAAATCTGGAGCAGGAAAGAAGAACATGGTTGCAAGGGAGGAACTGGAGGAGATTGTGCCCGCCTTCTCCTTCTGTGCTGGAGGAGGCTAAAATAGGGTTGGATCCTCCGGAGTTCAATTTCTCTTAGGAGGGTGAGTGAACCAGGACATCCCCAACCCCGGTGTCTCATGTGAACGGTTGCTTAGCCTGTTTGTATTCTGGGTATTTTTGTGAAGTCTCAAAGTTTGTACCAAACACAGATTCATGCACAGGGATTAAGTGCTCAATGCCACTGTAATCCTGTACTAGCTCAGAAAAATACTTCTTTCATTTTGGAATGTGGGTCCTTCACAGTTAAATCCACCGCTTTCTCATTAATCTCAGATATACCATAGAAATTGGGGAATCCATTTGTAACACCCTCTGCTGGAGGCAAAAAATTGGACAGAGATGGCTGGAAGACTTGCTTGACCTGTAGCTACAGGAATGGTACTATGAATAGAAAGGTGTTTGGAGATCCACAAGATTCCCTGGACCCCTTTGGAGGTGCACTACAGGACAGAGAAAGAATGAAAAGCCAATCTTTAGGGAGTGAGGAAATTGGAAAAGGCCCTTCTGGTGTCCAGCCTGGGAGCTATGGGGAGATCTGTGCAAGAACTGGGCAGAAAATCCTGGAGGAGAAAACCACCCTTTCAGAAGTTCAGCCCTGGAACTTCAGGAGCTTCCAATACAAGGAGGATGAGGGTCCCCGAGGACTTTGCAGCCGGCTCCATTCCTTTTGTAGTCGATGGTTGAGACCAGAAAAGCACACAAAAGCGCAGATGCTGGACCTGGTTGTTCTGGAGCAGTTCCTGGCCCTTCTGCCCCTGCAGATGGAGAGCTGGGTACGAGAGTGTGGAGCAGAGACCAGCTCCCAGGCAATGGCCCTGGTGGAAGGCTTCCTTCTGAGCCAGGCGGAGGAGAAGAAGGAGAGCATTGACTGGCAGGTGAGAAACCTTCATTTGGGAGCTCAGGACTGGTTAAATATAATAAACAGTATTTTTGATCTCTTAACCCTTGCTTACCAGAATTCTTTGGCATTTATTCTATGTGGAAATAATTCATGTAGGACATTGTTGTTTTATTTGTGATAGTCATTCCTTTCCTTCTTTCCAACCTCACTGATGAATTTCTGGGGTTTTGGAATGGCGTTCACAAAAGAAGAATCCACTTCTTCATATGTATTGTCCATTTATTCCTCTTCTTGTTTCCTGCCTACTTTTTCAAGTCCTTCATGATGGAGATCAGAGATCCTGAGGGAAGGGGACATCCATCAGATTCATCTCTCAAAATGTTTTGCACGAGGATCTCTCAGGATGATCCAAATCAAGACACTATCACAGGTAATACAGGGCTCTCCCATTCTGCAGAGAGATCTCAGCTGTCTCATCTTCTGTATATCTTCTCTTCTATAGAACACCACCTCCTACATTATCAATTATGCAGTTTAAACTTCTGTCTCCCTCACAGGGAAGAATGGAAGGAAGGTGGCCCTTCCTGAATGTGGAGCTGAAACAGTGGTAGAAACTCCAATTCAGGTAAGAAGAGGAAATTGATTAGAATTGTATCCTCCTTTTCCTTCAGAAAGTCAGAGGTAGTGTACACATAGTCCCGTCTCCTTCCAATAATCTTTTTTAAGACCAGAACTTTAAAAAAAATACTACTTGTTGCCAATTATTTTTACGATAATTGTAATTATGTAATTATTGTAACACCTTTTCAAATAATCCATCAAGATGCTCATTCTTTTTGTAATTCTTTGACTTGCATCTGTGCAAAAATGCTTAAAATATTCACACTGGCAAATTACAATTATTTTAAAATGTTTTATTTACAACTAGTGATGAGAAAACTAAGTGGAGCAGATTAATAGATAACACTATTAAAATCCAATGCGAGTTAATAGAAAATTCTCAATGTAAAAATTGTTCTGAAACACCACATAATCAAGGCACTTTTGGCTTACAAAGTAAATTCTAACGTCTTGATTTTTGCCTGAATTTGAAGGCCAAACATTCCAGCTTTGCAAAAGCTAAAAATGTCGTCCTCGGGAAATTTCTTCTGCTTTGTTATCTTCCACTTCCATTCAGTCGATATCTCAGACTAGAAGCAACTTCCCTACAATCCGAGAAGAAGCAGAAGCCAAATCCCTAGCTGAGTTCTCCCAGCACTTTCATGAAGGGGTTGAGCATAGACAGGATTGCAGCTTCTTGGTATACTATGAGCCATTTACTAAATGCAACATAAAATCCTCCACACACAGAGATACACACATTTCCTTCTGGAAACAAGAAGGGTTGGAGTCATTAATATGTGGGGTTTCCGAGGCCCATATGTCAGTTGATTCTCTCCAGATGTCTTCTAATGGTGGATGGAGCCATTTAGCTTAGTGCATAGCTTTGCTTTGGGAATTTATAAACAATAGGACTTTCTGCGTACTCTCTTTCTCTGTCAGGAGGGCCTTGTCTTCTTCGAGGAGGTGGCTGTGTATTTCTCTGAGGAGGAATGGTCTGAACTGGATCCTGACCAAAAAGTTCTGCATTGGGAAGTCATGTTGGAAAATTACAGCAACGTGGCTTCTCTTGGTAAGGGTGTTTCCTTTTGTCCAATTGGAGAGTTCAGGAAGAAATTTTGTTTCTGATTATTATTAATCTATATATATAAAAGAGAAAACCACTCTTCCATTAATCATAAAATCTCCAGAACCGTAAAGCCTACAAACGTGAAATTTGCCACCTCTTGGCTTCTAGGTGCTCACTAAGAAAGGATTTTTCGAAATGACCATCAGAGCATTAGTATTTCCTATATTATTATAACACGCTCTGATGCAAATTAGTTAGATGTTCTACTCCAACTCCCAACTTGAAAATAACTCTGGAGAGAATGGGATAGCATAGGACAGGCTTCTGTGGGGCAAGTGTCATGGAGAAAAGGGGCAAGAAAACCTGAGGGAGAGAAGAGGATAGGATAGGAGAGGCTTCTATGGGGCAAGCCTGAGGGAGAGGAGAGGAGAGGAGAGGATCTATGGGGCCAGCCTGAGGGAGAGAAGGGGATAGAGAGGAGAGGCTTCTGTGGGGATAGCCTGCGGGAGAGAAGGGGGAGAGGAGAGGCCAATCATAATTACTCATTAATTTTGAAACACTAAGTGTCGATTTATCAAGCCCAATCACATAGTTTGGTAGCAGAGCACGGATATTCAGCTAGTTATTATTATAACCAAAAATGTTTTGCTATTTTCAGAGTTATGGTACATGTATATAGAAATTATTATTTCTGAAATGCCATTGTAAGCATGCAAACATGCAATATACTGGAATCTGGCAAACATCAGAACTCAATTGATATGTAAATTCTGACAAATTGATCTTTTCCCTAATCTTGTTATCGTTTTTATTTCTGTTCCATTTTGAAGGTGATAATGGGCAGGACCATAAAGAGTCTGGGCGGGAATCATTCCAAGTGTTCAGATATGGAGACGTATCGGAGAAGCCTGAAATGCAAATGAAATTCCAGAGGGAGGAGAGAAATCAGTCAAATAATTGGAATAAGGAAAGCTCATCTTCCATTGAGGCTCAGACGCAGTTTCTTGAGCAATCAAGAAAAATGAAGAAAAAATATATTGGGAAAGGTATAAGACTATCCAAAGACACATTAGATGTAAATGGACAGTATCTGACCCAAGCCAAAGGACAAGATTGTATATACAAAGACAATGGAAAACAATACAATTGGACTTTCACACTTTCTCAAGAAAATGGGTCACTTACATCACATAAAAGTATTCATATGGAAGAGAAGCCGAATAAATCCCTCAAGCATGGAAAAAGCTTCGCTGAAAACAAGACACTTACTATTCATAAAAGGATCCACACAGAGGAAAAGCCATTTAAATGCTTGGAGTGTGGAAAGGGCTTCAGCAAGCCCAGTAATCTATCTTCTCATAAAAGGATCCACACAGGGGAGAAGCCATTTAAATGCTTGGAGTGTGGAAAGGTTTTTAGTTGCAACAGTAATCTTACTTCCCATAAAAGGATCCACACAGGGGAGAAGCCATATAAATGCATGGAGTGTGGAAAGGTCTTTAGTTGCAACAGTAATCTTACTTCCCACAAAAGGATCCACACAGGGGAGAAGCCATATAAATGCATGGAGTGTGGAAAGAGCTTCAGAGTACATAGTGATCTTACATCCCATAAAAGGATCCACACAGGCGAGAAACCATATAAATGCATAGAGTGTGGAAAGGACTTCAGAATACATAGTGATCTTACAATCCATAAAAGGATCCATACAGGGGAGAGGCCTTACAAATGCATGGAATGTGGAAAGACTTTTACTCATAACATTCAACTTGCTTCCCATAAAGCGATCCACACGGGGGAGAGGCCTTACAATTGTACGGAATGTGGAAAGACTTTTACTCATAGCAGTCACCTTGCTTCCCATACATCGATCCATAGAGGGGAGAAGCCATATAAATGCATGGAGTGTGGAAAGGGCTTCCATGTAAATTCATCCCTTATGAGACATAAGAGGATTCACACGGGGGATAAACCATATAAATGTATGGAATGTGGAAAAGGCTTCAGTGAACTCGGTAATCTTACATCCCATAAAAGGATCCACACGGGGGAGAAGCCATATAAATGCATGGAGTGTGGAAAGGGCTTCAGTGAACACAGTAATCTTATTTCCCATAAAAGGATCCACACAGGAGAGAAGCCATTTAAATGCATGGATTGTGGAAGGGTTTTCAGTCAACGCAGTAACCTTACCTCCCATAAAAGGATCCATACAGGGGAGAAACCATATAAATGTGTGGAATGTGGAAGGTGCTTTAGTGAACACAGTAATCTTATTTCCCATAAAAGGACACACACAGGAGAAAAGCCTTTTAAATGCATGGATTGTGGAAAATGCTTCAGCCGACCCAGTATACTTACTTCCCATAAAAGAATCCATAGAGATGTGGAGCCAGTTTCCGAAACAGAGAGATTTTGGTGAGAATGTATGCTAATTTAGCAGGTTAAATCTTTGGATTTTCCTATTTCATCGACTGAACTCAGAAAGGAAGGGTTTTTTGAGTTTGGCCCTCCCAACTGGCAGCCCCAGAGAGAGATGGATATATTAATTTAAATGAAAACAATGTGCATGTTTTCATTTTAATCATGAATGATGAATTTTTGAATGTATTTATGTATATATTTATTTTTTTTTAGAAATAAACTTCTGCTCCCCATAAATAAATAAATAAATAATAAATAAATAAATAAATAAATAAATAAATAAATTTTATTTCTATACCGCCCTTCTCCTGGAGGACTCAGGGCGGTGTACAGCCTATTAAAAGCACAAAGACAGATATCAGTTAAAAATAATTAAAATTATTAAATAATTTCGGCTCAGATTTAAAACCCCAAAATTTAAAACACCCAATTTAAAAATCATTACATTGATAGCCCGGCCTGGCGGAACAGCAGGGTCTTGAGGGCACAGCGAAATACACAGAGGTCTGAGATCTTACACAGTTCATTCCACAGGGCTGGGGCTCCCACAGAGAAGGCCCTCCCCCTGGGTGTCGCCAGCTGACATAACTTGGCTGATGGCACCCTGAGGAGATCCTCTCTGTGGGAGCGAACTGGCCGGTGGGAGGCTGTTGGTGGCAGAAGTTAGTCTCTAAGGTACCCGGGTCCTATGCGATGGAGCGCTTTAAAGGTGGAAACCAACACCTTGAATCGCACCCGGAAGACCATTGGGAGCCAGTGCAGCTCACTCAGGAGGGGTGTCAGTAGCCCATGAGTGGCTACTGTCTGCATTTTTAAAGGTGCTGCTTCTGCTATTAAATTTTAACTTTCATGTGTAACTTGGGTTTTTTCTTTCTATTTTGCCTTTTACTTTGGATGAGTAGATTACATGTTAATTGCCAGGTTGAATGCTGTTAAGTCCAATACACTCCATTGATGAACTTTCAATTAAAGACTTTTATTGCCTTCAAGATGGAGACTTCATCTGAGTTATCACTTTCATCTGATTTATGGCATGGAACGGCAATGGCAAAGTTCAGTCTTTTGTTTTGAAGTGAAGTAATTTTAGCCATTTTAGGCTTTTTGATTATTTATTGAAAATGTGAGATCAGTTATTGTTTATTTATTGAAAAGGCTACATTATTTATTGTAATTATTTAATGAAATTGCTATATAATTTTTTAAGAACTTTAGTATTTCATTCCAACATTGCGTAAAGATTATTTAGTTGGTATGCTTTATATTGGACATGAATTCACTGAAGTTTATTAAGAATCAAAAAACTGTAATCAACTATTTTTATTTTTTTTATTGAAAAAGTTTTTCAAATACAGATTTTCCCCCCTTTTTTCTCCCCCCCTCCTCCCTCACCACCCCTCCCCCTGTGACTTCCTCAAAGTAAAATCCAAATTCATAACAGATTATATAATACTTTACCATTCCCTTACTCCATCCCCCAAATACTGACCCTTTCTTTCTAATAATATTATTATATCCCCCTTTTACTAAACATTTCAAAATAACATTCTACTGTAACATTGTGTAATAACTTCTGATTTAGCATAGTAATATTATTATAACTTTAGCAATAATCTACCTTTTTCTCCTCCCCCATACTTATATCTCTTAAATCAAACCTTTTATGTATATTAATATAACATTTCAAAACAACCTTCCACTTTAAAACTATATAATAAATCCTAATTTAATATTTAATCTTTAGTATATATTAATATAACATTTCAAAGCAGCCTTCCACTATAAAACTATATAATAAATCCTAATTTAACATTTATTCAACTCATAGTCTATCCATTTCCTCCTACTCCCATAAATATATCTCTTAAACATCCCTTTTCTTAAACTAAACAATCAATAAACTAGCCTGTCTCCACCCACTTTCCTACAAAATAACAATTCTTAATATCTTTATTCTTCTGCCCACCCTGCTAAAAAATATATATATATCCCTTATATAAATAAAATCAATGACTTTAAACTTGTAATCCATATAATGTCTTCTATAATGTCTTTAAACTGGATTGTTAACTCCATCACCCATATTAGGGTAACATCACATCCTAATTCCAACAGAATGTTCGGAATCCTCAGTTGTCATCTGCCCCCATCAATAATAAATATCTTCATGTATGTATATAAAAAAAAAAGAAAACAACCACCCGAGTGACGTTATAATTGTATTCCATATAGTATCTGTAGTAGTGGCTTTCTTCAAGATTATTAATTCCAACCATCATAATGGGGTAACAACCAGATCTTCTGTGTGCCCCAACGTAGCTCTCTTACCATATAACTCAGCATCAAAGAATCCAAAATAGATAATTCCAATCCAACAGTTTAAGGCTCTTTTCACATCCCAAAAATACAGCATTGCAGAAGTCTGTCATTCTCCTCAAGATAATATTAACCAATACTTCGCCTCAGCTGTCTTTTCATATATTCAATCATCTTTTAGATAACTGGCTTCACTGTTGCCTAGTTTAAAAATTTTTATTTTTGTGAGACCTATTTCTTTTTTTTTTTTCTTGACTTCTTGTGGGTTTGATCTCCATCCTGATTTCCTTTCTATGAGTTGTATATCACCTGTTCAGTTTTCGTTCTGATCTATAGCTTGATCTTGTTGGTTTTGCTTTTGTAGCTTAGATCGCCATTCAGGTTTCTTTTCTATAAATTGTATATCAACTGATTGATTTTCATGCTTGTCTGTGACTTGATGAGTCTTCACATTAGAATCCAACACCGCTTCTCTCATATTTATAAGTAGTCCATCTGGGACATCTAAAGGATTCAAAAGCGATTCATCTACAAAAACCTCTGTAGCTCGATGTTTTTCCATTATTTCCAACTCCTTCTGCTTATCCTGTATTATACATGAAGATATTGAACTCATTTTCAAAATCTTATAATAAAATTCTTCCGCTTTTTCAACAGTATTTAATTGATATCTTTCTCCTTGATATCTCAATATTATGCCAACTGGAACATCCCACCTAAATAAAATATTTTGTTTTTTAAGCTCAGTCACCAGGAATCCAAATTTCTTTCTATCTACTAACATCTTAGGCGGTAGCTCTTTATATATCCAAATCTTTCTTCCATACAGTTGTAAAGTAGAATTAAAAGATTTTTGCACAATATTATTTCTTATTTCTTTGTCTGTAAAATAAATCACCACGTCTCTAGGCAGTTGCCTTTGCTTTGCAATCCAAGAATTTATTCTGTAGACTCTATCAATCCTGCAAAATACTTCCTCAGGATGAACCTTTAAAATCCCAGCCAGAATTTCAGCAGATATTTTCCTTAAGTCATCTCTGTTATTTTCCTGTAATCCTCTCATTCTGATCGCGAATTCTGTGAACCTGTGTTGCATCATTAAAACTTCTTTTTCAATCCGTTGTTTTATATTTTCTACATTGCAAGTCTTATGATCAACTTCCATTTTGAATTTTTCTTCTGAGCTATTGTCTTGAGTATTTATCAAATCATTTTCAATTCTTTGTATTTTATTATCCAAATTGTAAATCTTGTCATCAACTTCCTCCATTTTAGACTCTAATAACTTGATATTTGTATCCAACTTTATAACAATTTCTGAAAAACCGTTAGTCACTGTTGCAATCTTTCGTTGCAAATTGTCATACTTTGATTGTATCAATTCTTTAATTTCCTGCTTAAATTTTTCAAGATTCTGGTTCACAATCTCATCCCTTCTTACCATCTCCTCCAAAAAAAATTCAATTAAGTTAAAATCATTTTTCTGAGTCTGTAGGTTTAAAACTTGTTACTGTAATTTGTGAATTGGGGAATCCCCCCCCCCCCCCGCTGCTTGTTTGTCTGGCTTTGTTAATTTAAACGCCATCCTTCCACACAGACAAAGTCTTTTTTAAGAAAAGAAAGCTTCTTTCCAAACAAGATCAGTATCAGATCTCCAGGAAAAAGGAAACATAAAAGTAGAACTTTTTCTTCTCAATTATAGCCAGCAGTATTTATTCCGCTACTTTGTGGCTTGTTAAGAGACGGAAGGACTTTCTCTTTCAGCTTTCCCTTCTCAAGCCTCAGCAGTCGCCATTTTAAATTTCTTTTTTCCTTTCTTCAATATCATTTATAAAATCAATGAAAATACTTGCGATTTAGGGTCCCAGGTCCAGATCTCATCCTCTTTGATTAAACAATCTGTTAATTTTCTTTAAAAGGCTTGTTCTCGTCGCCTGGCACTGCAAAAAGGCAAGAGGTCTCCCGAAGCCCGGAGCGGCGGCGAGGGAAATAGGGAGCCTCATCTACTTCGTTCCCAAGAGTAAAAAAAAAACTGGGGGCTTCGCAGAGAGCTCTACCTGCCCTCACCTGCGCTGTCTCACATTTCCTTATGGAAATGGAGTTTTTCGAGCCGCCTTTCAGTTGTAAAGGAGGCTCTTTACAGGCAACGGGGCTGGCGGTCCTGAGGGACCATCTGGCAGCGACGGAGAGCAAACCGGAAGCCTCTGTAATCAACTATTTTTAGAACTACTTCGAATAGGTAACAGTAGAAAACAGTGATCTCCTCTCAAACTTACAATAGAACACATTCAGGTCATCTGCCAGTTGATGATCCTCTTCTGTAAAGCAGGGAGATCTGCTGTTCAGACTTTTCCATGCATTTGCAGGTTCATTAACTGAGAACTGATTTTTCAGCTGTTCAGAGTAGCTTCTCTTTCCTACCTTGTCAATAGTTCCTGGCCTGATTATAAGGGATCCTATCTCCTTTCCTGTAGGCTTCCTCTTTGGCACGACAAAGCTGCTTGGGCTTTGTCGTAAACCAAAGATGATTGTTGTTATGCATGCACAAGCTCTTGGTAGGCATACAAATGTCCTCAGAAAAGCTAATACATGATGTCATAGTGTCAGTAAATTCATCCAAGCCCACTGAAGCAGCTTCAAGAATACTCCAATCTGTGCAATCAAAGCAAGCGTGTAGCTCTAACTTGGCCTCCTCAGTCCATCTCTTCACTATTCTTACTATAAGCTTTGCAGTTTTGAGTTACTGCCCATAGCTGCACAAGGGAAAGAGCAGTAATCACCTTTTAATGTGGAATAGGAGTGATCCAATATGTTGTTGCCTCTAATGACATAATACTGCATATATCTGAACAACTTGTGAGTGAGGTGGCTCTGTTAAAATCTGCTAAGACAATTAAGTAGGGAGTCTGGATATTTCCATTCTCTACAAAGTACTGTATCTGGTCACCTGGAATCTACAGTGCAGTGCTTGTGCAAACTTGGTGTGGTATATAAACCCCAACCAGGGGTGAAATGCTCCCGGTTCGGACCGGCTCGGGCGAGTAGGTAGCGATGGCGGCGGGCAGTTCGGAGAACCGGTAGCAAAAGTCACTGTCCCCGCTCCCCATGCCCAGCTGAGCCGCACGATCATCAGAGCTCTGACCAGCCAAGCTCTGAGATCCCAGCTGAGTTGCCTGCTAATCAGGCAACTCAGCTTGGATCGCCAGAGCCATGTAAAAGAAAAAAACTTTTTTCCTTTTAAATGGCTCTGCCTGCTAATCGGTAGCAAAAATCCTCCCCCCTCCCCCCCTCAGCTTGCTTACCTTAGCTGCTGGTCGCAACGCCTTGCTTTAATCCCTGCGCAAGCAACTGAATCTCCCTGCCTGCAATCAAGCAGGCAGGGAGTTGAAGTCTACAAGTCTTAAAGTTGCCAAGGTTGGAGACCCCTGTTCAATTGGGTTAGTTTTTTCCCCGTTTGGGAGCTTTAAAAAAATAGTTAATTGGGGTTTTCTTTAGTTGTTGTTTTTTTAGACCTAGCCATTTAAAGTTTAGGAAGTTTTAAATTTAGCTGCTTTTATATAAAAATAAATAAAAATAATATTTGTGCAGCTTTCTGAGATTTCGTGTGTTTCTGCAGTGTTTCACTCTAACTACACAATCACACAAAATCTCACAAAGCTGTATGTGGAATTTTGTGTGTGTAAAGTGTGAAAGTTGGTTTTTTGGGCTTTTTGTGGCTGTGTGAGGTTCCTGCTTATTGCAGGGGCCATTTTGGGTCTAGCACAGCTGCTTTTACATTGTGGGTGAGCCTGTTGTGTTGTGTTGTGTGTGTGTAAAGTGTGAAAGTTGGTTTTTTGGGCTTTTTGTGGCTGTGTGAGGTTCCTGCTTGTTGCAGGGGCCATTTTGGGTCTAGCACAGCTGCTTTTATATTGTGGGTGAGCCAGTTGTGTTGTGTTGTGTTGTGTTGTGTTGTGTTTTGTAGTTTAAAAAAAAGCAAAGAAGTGACATTGACTTGGCCACGCCCATCTGACCACCAAGCCACGCCCTCCCAGTCACCTTACCACCAAGCCACGCCCACTAATTAAGCCACGCCCACAGAACTGGTAGCAAAAAAATTTAGATTTCACCCCTGGCCCCAACCAAAATAAATGAGGAAAACTCTTGCAGAGCATTAAATGGTTTACAGCTAATGAATAATGTTAATAATTACTGTGTTTCTCTGAAAATAAGACCTGGTCTTATAGTTTTGCCCCCCACCCCCAAAGATGCATTAGGACTTATTTTCTCAGAAACACGGGCAACACAGGCAAGCCAAGAGTTGGTGGGACAGATTGACACCCGATTGTGTATCAGTGAGTATATCCTGCTATCTGCCACGGGAAACTGAGTGTTATTACCAGCATCCATTTGATGGTCTATTTCAAACAGGCATTAATTAAGTGTAACTTTCCATGTTCATCACCAAATGACAGTAAGGAATTGAGGGTAAACTTTGGGAGAAAGCTCCTTCTAAACAGTTTTTGTCTTCTAATCTCTAATATAGATCGCTAGTTATAGGGATCTATAGAGACAAGTATCAGATTCAATCACTAGAATAATAGTTTCCCATATTCTAGTTTCCATCTTCAACATTCCAGTATATAGTGAAGCATTAGAAACACAATGAGGGACTTGGAAAATTGCCCTTAAAATTTTAGATTGGACCAAAAACTTGAAGTTCCTATGGCACATAAGGGGATTGGGTCTAAATTGTGTGCCGTATAGTAATTGAGCCAAAGGCTCAGCCACAAAACAACTTAGTTGCTGCAGGTATATACACTGCTCAAAAAAATAAAGGGAACACAAGCAGAAGACATCCGGGATCTGAATGAATGAAATAGCCTTATTAAATACTTTGTTCGGTACATACAGTAATTTTGTGTTCCCTTTAGTTGTTTGAGCAGTGTATAAACTACTGTATGTAAAGAACAAAGTATTTAATAAGGCTAATTCATTCATTCAGATCTCGGATGTCTTCTGCTTGTGTTTCCTATATTTTTTTGAGCAGTATATTAACTTGTGGAATAAAGAAATCTTAGAAATACCTAATAATTTAGATAAGCGGATAAAAGGGAATATATCGAATTTGCGTACAACACCAGGCTAGGGGAATAAACAATATCTTTAGTAGATAGGCTCAAGATCCAGAAGGTTCTTGACAGACTGAAATACTGGTCTCTGTCCAATAAATTGCAGTTCATTGATGAGAAAAGTAAGGTTTTACGCTTACCGTGTTTTCCCGAAAATAAGACCCTGTCTTATATTTTTTTGAACCTCGAAATAAGCGCTTGGCCTTATTTTCGGGGACGTGTTATTATTATGGGACACATGGAGGAAATCAGAGGAAATGGGTACCGGCTGTGCATACATTTAAATATTTTTGGGGAGGGCTTATTTTCAGGGGGGGCGTATTTTAGCATGTGCTCAAAAGCCCGATTGGGCTTATTATCAGGGGATGTCTTATTTTCAGGGAAACAGGATAGGTAAGAAAAAACAAATACACTAGGACATAATAGGTGTATCTGGCTCAACAGAAGAGAGATCTAAGAGTCCTATAGACAATTACTTAAATATGAGCCAGCAGTGTGCTGCAGCTGCTAAAAGAGCCAATGCAGTCCTAGGATGCATCAATAGAGGGATAGTATCGAGATCACATAAAGTGTTAGTCCAGCTTTCTCCTGCACTGCTAAGACTACATTTGGAACACTGCATCTAGTTACGGTCACCATGATACGAAAAAGATGTTGAAACTCTAGAAAGAGTGCAGAGAAGAACAACACAGATGATTAGGGGACAGGAGGCTAAAACATATGAAGAGAAGTTGCAGGAATTGGGCAGATCTACTCCAGTGAAGAAAAGGGATGGTGTATTAGGAGGCTTTCAATATATGAGGGGCTGTCACAGAGAAGATGAATTCAACCTATTCTCCAACGAACTTCTGACGGGCTAAAAAGAAATGGATGAAAATCTATCAGAGAGACATCCAGCCTAGAATGAGGAGAAATTTCCTGACAGAACAATTAACTAGTGGAACAATTTGTCTCCAGAAGTTATGGGTGCCCCATCCTGGCAGGTTTTCAAGAAGAGATTTGACAGGCATTTGTCTGCAATGGTGTAAGACCTCCGGGGTCCCTTCCAAGTATGTTACTCTGGAGTCTGTATTTTGAGTAAGAAGAATGGTACTTCTTGTCTGTTCTTTTGCCCCCTCTATGAAGGGATGAAGCTTTCTATAGAACCCTTCCTAAAAGTGGAAGGCTGCACATGGGTGTGGCACTGTCAGAAGAAATCGGATTCTTTATCAGGAAGGAAACGACAGCCTCCTTCCTCCTGGGCTCCGATGGAAAATGCACCGTTTCCATCACTTGCATAAGAACCTTCCTTGCACACAGAATCCACCAGGCGAGTCCCTCAGAAAAGAGAAGCGGACGCCGTGCGATTCACCATTCGGCCACCGGAGGGCGAACGCCAGAGGTGATTTCCCATAGGAGAAGGAGAGGGAAGTGACCTCACTGGATCTGACGCGACACTCCGTCTCTTTTGCACCCTTTGAGCTTCTCTGGGGGTTTAAGTGGGTAAGTGGCGGGTGTGAGTGTGTGTGTGTGTGTATGTGTCTCCGCGTGCAATGTGGGGGGTGGGGGTGGGGTGCGGTGCAGAGGTGCTCGTGCTAGAGAAGGAAGGGGCAGAAGCCAAGTCCCCATGCAGGTTCAATCTCTTGAGTCCTGGTGTGGGAGATCCCGGATCCCATGTTCCCCTGCCGCCCCTCTCCACGCAGGTGGCAGGCAGAGGGAAGCGGTGCTCAGGAACAAATCCCCAGAGAGGAGGGAGGGTCCTGGGGAATCCTTCACCCCCCATAGCCTGGAGAAGAGCTCCGAGGTCGGAGATGGGGAGAGGTTGGGGGGCAAATCTGGAGCAGGAAAGAAGAACATGGTTGCAAGGGCGGAACTGGAGGAGACTGTGCCCGCCTTCTCCTTCTGTGCTGGAGGAGACTAAAATAGGGTTGGATCCTCCGGAGTTCAATTTCTCTTAGGAGGGTGAGTGAACCAGGACATCCCCAACCCCGGTGTCTCATGTGAACGGTTGCTTAGCCTGTCTGTATTCTGGGTATTTTTGTGAAGTCTCAAAGTTTGTACCAAACACAGATTCATGCACAGGGATTAAGTGCTCAATGCCACTGAAATCCTGTACTAGCTCAAAAAAATACTTCTTTCATTTTGGAATGTGGGTTCTTCACAGTTAAATCCTCCGCTTTCTCATTAATCTCAGATATACCATAGAAATTGGGGAATCCATTTGTAAATACCCTCTGCTGGAGGCAAAAAATTGGACAGAGATGGCTGGAAGACTTGCTTGACCTGTAGCTACAGGAATGGTACTATGAATAGAAAGGTGTTTGGAGATCCACAAGATTCCCTGGACCCCTTTGGAGGTGCACTACAGGACAGAGAAAGAATGAAAAGCCAATCTTTAGGGAGTGAGGAAATTGGAAAAGGCCCTTCTGGTGTCCAGCCTGGGAGCTATGGGGAGATCTGTGCAAGAACTGGGCAGAAGATCCTGGAGGAGAAAATCACCCTTTCAGAAGTTCAGCCCTGGAACTTCAAGAGCTTCCAATACAAGGAGGATGAAGGTCCCCGAGGACTTTGCAGCCGGCTCCATTCCTTTTGTAGTCGATGGTTGAGACCAGAAAAGCACACAAAAGCGCAGATGCTGGACCTGGTTGTTCTGGAGCAGTTCTTGGCCCTTCTGCCCCTGCAGATGGAGAGCTGGGTGCGGGAGTGTGGAGCAGAGACCAGCTCCCAGGCGGTGGCCCTGGTGGAAGGCTTCCTTCTGAGCCAGGCAGAGGAGAAGAAGGAGAGCATTGACTGGCAGGTGAGAAACCTTCATTTGGGAACTCAAATTGGCTAAATCTAATAAACAGTATTTTTGATCTCTTAACCCTTGCCTACCAGAATTCTTTGGCATTCATTATATGTGGAAATAATTCATGTAGGACATTGTTGTTTTATTTGTGATAGTCATTCCTTTCCTTCTTTCCAACCTCACTGATGGATTTCTGGGGCTTCGGAATGGTGTTCTAAAAAGAAGAATCCAATTCTTGATATGTATTGTCCATTTATTCCTCTTCTTGTTTCCTGCCTACTTTTTCAAGTCCTTCATGATGGAGATCAGAGATCCTGAGGGAAGGGGACATCCATCTGATTCATCTCTCAAAATGTTTTACACGAGGATCTCTCAGGATGATCCAAATCAAGACACTATCACAGGTAATACAGGGCTCTCCCATTCTGCAGAGAGATCTCAGGTGTCTCATCTTCTGTATGTCTTCTCTTCTATAGAACACCACCTCCTACATTATGAATTATGCAGTTTAAACTTCTGTCTCCCTCACAGGGAAGAATAGAAGGAAGTTGAGCCTTTTTGATGGTGGAGCTGAAACAGTGGTAGAAACTCCAATTCAGGTAAGAAGAGGAAATTGATTAGAATTGTATCCTCCTTTTCCTTCAGAAAGTCAGGGGTAGTGTACACATAGTCCCGTCTCCTTCCAATAATCTTTTTTAAGACCAGTACATTAAAAAAATGCTACTTGTTGCCAATTATTTTTACGATAATTGTAATTATGTAATTATTGTAACACCTTTTCAAATAATCCATCAAGATGCTCATTCTTTTTGGAATTCTTTGACTTGCATCTATGCAAAAATGCTCAGAATATTCACACTGGCAAATTACAATTATTTTAAAATGTTTTATTTACAACTAGTGATGAGAAAACTAAGTGAAGCAGATTAATAGATAACACTATTAAAATCCAATGCGAGTTAATAGAAAATTCTCAATGTAAAAATTGTTCTGAAAGACCAAATAATCAAGGCACTTTTGGCTTATAAAGTAAATTCTAATGTCTTGATTTGTGCCTGAATTTGAAGGCCAAACATTCCAGCTTTGCAAAAGCTAAAAATGTCGTCCTCGGGAAATTTCTTCTGCTTTCTTATCTTCCACTTCCATTCAGTTTGTATCTCAGACTAGAAGCAACTTCCCTACAATCCGAGAAGAAGCAGAAGCCAAATCCCTAGCTGAGTTCTCCCAGCACTTTCATGAAGGGGTTGAGCATAGACAGGACTGCAGCTTCTTGGTATACTATGAGCCATTTACTAAATGCAACATAAAATCCTCCACACACAGAGATACACACATTTCCTTCTGGAAACAAGAAGGGTTGGAGTCATTAATATGTGGGGTTTCCGAGGCCCATATGTCAGTTGATTCTCTCCAGATGTCTTCTAATGGTGGATGGAGCCATTTAGCTTAGTGCATAGCTTTGCTTTGGGAATTTATAAACAATAGGACTTTCTGCGTACTCTCTTTCTCTGTCAGGAGGGCCTTGTCTCCTTCGAGGAGGTGGCTGTGTATTTCTCTGAGGAGGAATGGTCTGAACTGGATCCTGACCAAAAAGTTCTGCATTGGGAAGTCATGTTGGAAAATTACAGCAACGTGGCTTCTCTTGGTAAGGGTGTTTCCTTTTGTCCAATTGGAGAGTTCAGGAAGAAATTTTGTTTCTGATTATTATTAATCTATATATATAAAAGAGAAAACCACTCTTCCATTAATCATAAAATCTCCAGAACCATAAAGTCTACAAACTTGAAATTTGCCACGTATGTTCCTCTTGGCTTCTAGGTGCTCACTAAGAAAGGATTTTTCGAAATGACCATCAGAGCATTAGTATTTCCTATATAACACGCTCTGATGCAAATTAGTTAGATGTTCTACTCCAACTCCCAACTTGAAAATAACTCTGGAGAGAATGGGATAGCATAGGACAGGCTTCTGTGGGGCAAGTGTCATGGAGAAAAGGGGCAAGAAAACCTGAGGGAGAGAAGAGGATAGGATAGGAGAGGCTTCTATGGGGCAAGCCTGAGGGAGAGGAGAGGAGAGGAGAGGATCTATGGGGCCAGCCTGAGGGAGAGAAGGGGATAGAGAGGAGAGGCTTCTGTGGGGATAGCCTGAGGGAGAGAAGGGGAGAGGAGAGGCCAATCATAATTACTCATTAATTTTCAAACTCTAAGTGTTTATTTATCAAGCCCAATCACATAGTTTTTTAGCAGAGCACGGATATTCAGCTAGTTATTATTATAACCAAAAATGTTTTGCTATTTTCAGAGTTATGGTACATGTATATAGAAATTATTATTTCTGAAATGCCATTGTAAGCATGCAAACATGCAATATACTGGAATCTGGCAAACATCAGAACTCAATTGATATGTAAATTCTGACAAATTGATCTTTTCCCTAATCTTGTTATCGTTTTTATTGCTGTTCCCTTTTGAAGGTGATAATGGGCAGGACCATAAAGAGTCTAGGCGGGAATCATTCCAAGTGTTCAGATATGGAGACGTATCGGAGAAGCCTGAAATGCAAATGAAATTCCAGAGGCAGGAGAGAAATCAGTCAAATAATTGGAATAAGGAAAGCTCATCTTCCATTGAGGCTCAGACGCAGTTTCTTGAGCAACCAAGAAAAATGAAGAAAAAATATATTGGGAAAGGTATAAGACTATCTAAAGATACATTAGATGTAAATGGACAGTATCTGACCCAAGCCAAAGGACAAGATTGTATATACAAAGACAATGGAAAACAATACAATTGGACTTTCACACTTTCTCAAGAAAATGGGTCACTTACATCACATAAAAGTATTCATATGGAAGAGAAGCCGAATAAATCCCTTGAGCATGGAAAAAGCTTCGGTGAAAACAAGACTCTTACTATTCATAAAAGGATCCACACAGAGGAAAAGCCATATAAATGCATGGAGTGTGGAAAAGGCTTCAGCAACCCCAGTAGTCTTACTTCCCATAAAAGGATCCACACAGGGGAGAATCCATTTAAATGCTTGGAGTGTGGAAAAGGCTTCAGCAAGCCCAGTAATCTTACTTCCCATAAAAGGATCCACACAGGGGAGAAGCCATATAAATGCATGGATTGTGGAAAGGGCTTTAGTTGCAACAGTCATCTTACTTCCCACAAAAGGATCCACACAGGGGAGAAGCCATATAAATGTATGGAGTGTGGAAAAGGCTTCAGTGAACACAGTAATCTTATTTCCCATAAAAGGACCCACACAGGAGAGAAGCCATTTAAATGCATGGATTGTGGAAGGGTTTTCAGTCAACGCAGTAACCTTACCTCCCATAAAAGGATCCATACAGGGGAGAAACCATATAAATGTGTGGAATGTGGAAGGTGCTTTAGTGAATACAGTAATCTTATTTCCCATAAAAGGACACACACAGGAGAAAAGCCTTTTAAATGCATGGATTGTGGAAAGTGCTTCAGCCAATCCAGTATACTTACTTCCCATAAAAGAATCCATAGAGATGTGGAGCCAGTTTCCAAAACAGAGAGAGATTTTGGTGAGAATGTTTGCTAATTTAGCAGGTTAAATCTTATCAATTTTCCTATTTCATTGACTGAACTCAGAAAGGAAGTTTTTTTGCCTTTGTCCCTCCCAACTGGCAGCCCCAGAGAGAGATGGATATATTAATTTAAATGAAAGCAATGTGCATGTTTTCATTTTAATCATGAATGATGAATTTTTGAATGTATTTATGTATATATTTATTTTTTTTAGAAATAAACTTCTGCTCCCCATAAATAAATAAATAAATAAATAAATTTTATTTCTATACCGCCCTTCTCCTGGAGGACTCAGGGCGGTGTACAGCCTATTAAAAGCACAAAGACAGATATCAGTTAAAAATAATTAAAATTATTAAATAATTTCGGCTCAGATTTAAAACCCCAAAATTTAAAACACCCAATGTAAAAATCATTACATTGATAGCCCGGCCTGGCGGAACAGCAGGGTCTTGAGGGCACAGCGAAATACACAGAGGTCGGAGATCTTACGCAGTTCATTCCACAGGGCTGGGGCTCCCACAGAGAAGGCCCTCCCCCTGGGTGTCGCCAGCTGACATAACTTGGCTGATGGCACCCTGAGGAGATCTTCTCTGTGGGAGCGAACTGGCCAGTGGGAGGCTGTTGGTGGCAGAAGTCAGTCTCTAAGGTACCCGGGTCCTATGCGACGGAGCGCTTTAAAGGTGGAAACCAACACCTTGAATCGCACCCGGAAGACCATTGGGAGCCAGTGCAGCTCACTCAGGAGGGGTGTCAGTAGCCCATGAGTGGCTACTGTCTGCATTTTTAAAGGTGCTGCTTCTGCTATTAAATTTTAACTTTCATGTGTAACTTGGGTTTTTTCTTTCTATTTTGCCTTTTACTTTGGATGAGTAGATTACATGTTAATTGCCAGGTTGAATGCTGTTAAGTCCAATACACTCCATTGATGAACTGCAATTAAAGACTTTTATTGCCTTCAAGATGAGACTTCATCTGAGTTATCACTTTCATCTGATTTATGGCCTGGAACGGCAATGGCAAAGTTCAGTCTTTTGTTTTGAAGTGAAGTAATTTTAGCCATTTTAGGCTTTTTGATTATTTATTGAAAATGTGAGATCAGTTATTGTTTATTTATTGAAAAGGTTACATTATTTATTGTAATTATTTAATGAAATTGCTATATAATTTTTTAAGAACTTTAATATTTCATTCCAACATTGCTTAAAGATTATTTAGTTGGTATGCTTTATATTGGACATGAAGTCACTGAAGTTTATTAAGAATCAGAGAACTGTAATCAACTATTTTTAGAACTACTTCGAATAGGTAACAGAAAACAGTGATCTCTTCTCAAACTTACAATAGAACACATTCAGGTCATCTGCCAGTTGATGATCCTCTTCTGTAAGGCAGGGAGATCTGCTGTTCAGACTTTTCCATGCATTTGCAGGTTCATTAACTGAGAACTGATTTTTCAGCTGTTCAGAGTAGCTTCTCTTTCCTACCTTGTCAATAGTTCCTGGCCTGATTATATGGGATCCTATTCCTTTCCTGTAGGCTTCCTCTTTGGCACGACAAAGCTGCTTGGGCTTTGTCGTAAACCAAAGATGATTGTTGTTATGCATGCACAAGCTCTTGGTAGGCATACAAATGTCCTCAGAAAAGCTAATACATGATGTCACAGTGTCAGTAAATTCATCCAAGCCCACTGAAGCAGCTTCAAGAATACTCCAATCTGTGCAATCAAAGCAAGCGTGTAGCTCTAACTTGGCCTCCTCAGTCCATCTCTTCACTATTCTTACTATAAGCTTTGCAGTTTTGAGTTACTGCCCATAGCTGCACAAGGGAAAGAGCAGTAATCACCTTTTAATGTGGAATAGGAGTGATCCAATATGTTGTTGCCTCTAATGACACAATACTGCATATATATGAACAACACGTGAGTGAGGTGGCTCTGTTAAAATCTGCTAAGACAATTAAGTAGGGAGTCTGGATATTTCCGTTCTCTACAAAGTACTGTATCTGGTCACCTGGAATCTACAGTGCGGTGCTTGTGCAAACTTGGTGTGGTATATAAGCCCCAACCAGGGGTGAAATGCTCCCGGTTCGGACTGGCTCGGGCGAATAGGTAGCGATGGCGGCGGGCAGTTCGGAGAACCGGTAGCAAAAGTCACTGTCCCTGCTCCCCATGCCCAGCTGAGCCGCGCGATCATCAGAGCCTTCAACTCAACTTGGATCGCCAGAGCCATGTAAAAGAAAAAAAACTTTTTTCCTTTTAAATGGCTCTGCCTGCTAATCGGTAGCAAAAATCCTTCCCCTCCCCCCCCCTCAGCTTGCTTACCTTAGCTGCTGGTCGCAACGCCTTGCTTTAATCCCTGCGCAAGCAACTGAATCTCCCTGCCTGCAATCAAGCAGGCAGGGAGTTGAAGTCTACAAGTCTTAAAGTTGCCAAGGTTGGAGACCCCTGTTCAATTGGGTTAGTTTTTTCCCCCTTTGGGAGCTTTAAAAAAATAGTTAATTGGGGTTTTCTTTAGTTGTTGTTTTTTTAGACCTAGCCATTTAAAGTTTAGGAAGTATTAAATTTAGCTGCTTTTATATCAAAATAAAAATAAATAAAAATAATATTTGTGCAGCTTTCTGAGATTTCGTGTGTTTCTGTAGTGTTTCACTCTAACTACACAATCACACAAAATCTCACAAAGCTGTATGTGGAATTTTGTGTGTGTAAAGTGTGAAAGTTGGTTTTTTGGGCTTTTTGTGGCTGTGTGAGGTTCCTGCTTATTGCAGGGGCCATTTTGGGTCTAGCACAGCTGCTTTTACATTGTGGGTGAGCCTGTTGTGTTGTGTTGTGTGTGTGTAAAGTGTGAAAGTTGGTTTTTTGGGCTTTTTGTGGCTGTGTGAGGTTCCTGCTTGTTGCAGGGGCCATTTTGGGTCTAGCACAGCTGCTTTTATATTGTGGGTGAGCCAGTTGTGTTGTGTTGTGTTTTGTAGTTTAAAAAAGGCAAAGAAGTGACATTGACTTGGCCACGCCCATCTGACCACCAAGCCACGCCCTCCCAGTCACCTTACCACCAAGCCACGCCCACTAATTAAGCCACACCCACAGAACTGGTAGCAAAAAAAAATTAGATTTCACCCCTGGCCCCAACCAAAATAAATGAAGAAAACTCTTGCAGAGCATTAAATGGTTTACAGCTAATGAATAATGTTAATAATTACTGTGTTTCCCTGAAAATAAGACCTGGTCTTATAGTTTTGCCCCCCACCCCCAAAGATGCATTAGGACTTATTTTCTCGGAAACACGGGCAACACAGGCAAGCCAAGAGTTGGTGGGACAGATTGACACCCAATTGTCATACTCAGTGTGTATGTCCTGCTATCTGCCACGGGAAACTGAGTGTTATTACCAGCATCCATTTGATGGTCTATTTCAAACAGGCATTAATTAAGTGTAACTGTCCATGTTCATCACCAAATGACAGTAAGGAATTGAGGGTAAACTTTGGGAGAAAGCTCCTTCTAAACTGTTTTTGTCTTCTAATCTCTAATATAGATCGCTAGTTATAGGGATCTATAGAGACAAGTATCAGATTCAATCCCTAGAATAATAGTTTCCCATATTCTAGTTTCCATCTTCAACATTCCAGTATATAGTGAAGCATTAGAAACACAATGAGGGACTTGGAAAATTGCCCTTAAAATTTTAGATTGGATCAAAAACTTGAAGTTCCTATGGCACATAAGGGGATTGGGTCTAAATTGTGTGCCGTATAGTAATTGAGCCAAAGGCTCGGCCTCAAAACAGCTTAGTTGCTGCAGATATATACACTGCTCAAACAAATAAAGGGAACACAAGCAGAAGACATCCGGGATCTGAATGAATGAAATAGCCTTATTAAATACTTTGTTGGGTACATACAGTAATTTTGTGTTTCCTTTAGTTGTTTCAGCAGTGTATAAACTACTGTATGTAAAGAACAAAGTATTTAATAAGGCTATTTCATTCATTGAGATCTCAGATGTCTTCTGCTTGTGTTCCCTTTATTTTTTTGAGCAGTATATTAACTTGTGGAATAAAGAGATCTTAGAAATACCTAATAATTTAGATGAGGGGATAAAAGGGAACATATCGAATTTGCGTACAACACCAGGCTAGGGGAATAAACAATATCTTTAGAAGATAGGCTCAAGATCCAGAAGGTTCTTGACAGACTGAAATACTGGTCTCTGTCCAATAAATTGCAGTTCATTGATGAGAAAAGTAAGGTGTTACGCTTATCGTGTTTCCCCAAAAATAAGACCCTGTCTTATATTTTTTAAAACCCTGAAATAAGCGCTTGGCCTTATTTTCGGGGACGTGTTATTATTATGGGACACATGGAGGAAATCAGAGGAAATGGGTACCGGCTGCGCATGTATTTAAATATTTTTGGGGAGGGCTTATTTTCAGGGGGGGCGTATTTTAGTACGTGCTCAAAAGCCCAATTGGGCTTATTACCAGGGGATGTCTTATTTTCGGGGAAACAGGGTAGGTAAGAAAAAGCAAATATAGTAGCACATAATAGGTGTATCTGGCTCAACAGAAGAGAGATCTAAGAGTCCTATAGATAATTACTTAAATATGAGCCAGCAGTGTGCTGCAGCTGCTAAAAGAGCCAATGCAGTCCTAGGATGCATCAGTAGGGGGATAGTATTAAGATCACATAAAGTGTTAGTCCAGCTTTCTCCTGCACTGCTAAGACTACATTTGGAACACTGCATCTAGTTACGGTCACCATGATACGAAAAAGATGTTGAAACTCTAGAAAGAGTGCAGAGAAGAACAACAAAGATGATTAGGGGACAGGAGGCTAAAACATATGAAGAGAAGTTGCAGGAATTGGGCAGATCTACTCTAATGAAGAAAAGGGATGAGGAGCTGTCACAGAGAAGATGAATTCAACCGCTAGGTGAGATCATCCGTGGTTTTAGGGTGAGTGTTCATCAGTACGCTGATGACACACAGCTATACATCTCCACCCCAGACCACCCCAATGATGCCCTTGCTGTGATGTCCCATTGCCTGGAGGCCGTGCGGATCTGGATGGGGAGAAACAAGCTCAGACTCAACCCCTCCAAGACCGAGTGGCTGTGGCTTCCGGCGTCCCGGTATAGTCAGCTGGTACGAACCTCTGACTGGATAAAAAGGAATGGATGAAAATCTATCAGAGAGATATCCAGCCTAGAATGAGGAGAAATTTCCTGACAGAACAATTAACTAGTGGAACAATTTGTCTCCAGAAGTTATGGGTGCCCCATCCTGGCAGGTTTTCAAGAAGAGATTTGACAGGCATTTGTCTGCGATGGTGTAAGACCTCCGGGGTCCCTTCCAAGCATGTTACTCTGGAGTCTGTATTTTGAGTAAGAAGAATGGTACTTCTTGTCTGTTCTTTTGCCCCCTCTATGAAGGGATGAAGCTTTCTATAGAACCCTTCCTAAAAGTGGAAGGCTGCACATGGGTGTGGCACTGTCAGAAGAAATCGGATTCTTTATCAGGAAGGAAACGACAGCCTCCTTCCTCCTGGGCTCCGATGGAAAATGCACCGTTTCCATCACTTGCATAAGAACCTTCCTTGCACACAGAATCCACCAGGCGAGTCCCTCAGAAAAGAGAAGCGGACGCCGTGCGATTCACCATTCGGCCACCGGAGGGCGAACGCCAGAGGTGATTTCCCATAGGAGAAGGAGAGGGAAGTGACCTCACTGGATCTGACGCGACACTCCGTCTCTTTTGCACCCTTTGAGCTTCTCTGGGGGTTTAAGTGGGTAAGTGGCGGGTGTGAGTGTGTGTGTGTGTGTATGTGTCTCCGCGTGCAATGTGGGGGGTCGGGGTGGGGTGCGGTGCAGAGGTGCTCGTGCTAGAGAAGGAAGGGGCAGAAGCCAAGTCCCCATGCAGGTTCAATCTCTTGAGTCCTGGTGTGGGAGATCCCGGATCCCATGTTCCCCTGCCGCCCCTCTCCACGCAGGTGGCAGGCAGAGGGAAGCGGTGCTCAGGAACAAATCCCCAGAGAGGAGGGAGGGTCCTAGGGAATCCTTCACCCCCCATAGCCTGGAGAAGAGCTCCGAGGTCGGAGATGGGGAGAGCTTGGAGGGCAAATCTGGAGCAGGAAAGAAGAACATGGTTGCAAGGGAGGAACTGGAGGAGACTGTGCCCGCCTTCTCCTTCTGTACTGCAGGGGACTAAAATAGGGTTGGATCCTCCGGAGTTCAATTTCTCTTAGGAGGGTGAGTGAACCAGGACATCCCCAACCCCGGTGTCTCATGTGAACGGTTGCTTAGCCTGTTTGTATTCTGGGTATTTTTGTGAAGTCTCAAAGTTTGTACCAAACACAGATTCATGCACAGGGATTAAGTAACACCCTCTGCTGGAGGCAAAAAATTGGACAGAGATGGCTGGAAGACTTGCTTGACCTGTAGCTACAGGAATGGTACTATGAATAGAAAGGTGTTTGGAGATCCACAAGATTCCCTGGACCCCTTTGGAGGTGCACTACAGGACAGAGAAAGAATGAAAAGCCAATCTTTAGCGAGTGAGGAAATTGGAAAAGGCCCTTCTGGTGTCCAGCCTGGGAGCTATGGGGAGATCTGTGCAAGAACTGGGCAGAAGATCCTGGAGGAGAAAATCACCCTTTCAGAAGTTCAGCCCTGGAACTTCAGGAGCTTCCAATACAAGGAGGATGAAGGTCCCCGAGGACTTTGCAGCCGGCTCCATTCCTTTTGTAGTCGATGGTTGAGACCAGAAAAGCACACAAAAGCGCAGATGCTGGACCTGGTTGTTCTGGAGCAGTTCTTGGCCCTTCTGCCCCTGCAGATGGAGAGCTGGGTGCGGGAGTGTGGAGCAGAGACCAGCTCCCAGGCGGTGGCCCTGGTGGAAGGCTTCCTTCTGAGCCAGGCGGAGGAGAAGAAGGAGAGCATTGACTGGCAGGTGAGAAACCTTCATTTGGGAGCTCAGGACTGGTTAAATCTAATAAACAGTATTTTTGATCTCTTAACCCTTGCCTACCAGAATTCTTTGGCATTCATTATATGTGGAAATAATTCATGTAGGACATTGTTGTTTTATTTGTGATAGTCATTCCTTTCCTTCTTTCCAACCTCACTGATGGATTTCTGGGGCTTCGGAATGGTGTTCTAAAAAGAAGAATCCAATTCTTGATATGTATTGTCCATTTATTCCTCTTCTTGTTTCCTGCCTACTTTTTCAAGTCCTTCATGATGGAGATCAGAGATCCTGAGGGAAGGGGACATCCATCTGATTCATCTCTCAAAATGTTTTGCACGAGGATCTCTCAGGATGATCCAAATCAAGACACTATCACAGGTAATACAGGGCTCTCCCATTCTGCAGAGAGATCTCAGCTGTCTCATCTTCTGTATATCTTCTCTTCTATAGAACACCACCTCCTACATTATGAATTATGCAGTTTAAACTTCTGTCTCCCTCACAGGGAAGAATAGAAGGAAGTTGAGCCTTTTTGATGGTGGAGCTGAAACAATGGTAGAAACTCCAATTCAGGTAAGAAGAGGAAATTGATTAGAATTGTATCCTCCTTTTCCTTCAGAAAGTCAGGGGTAGTGTACACATAGTCCTGTCTCCCTCCAATAATGTTTTTTAAGACCAGTACATTAAAAAAATGCTACTTGTTGCCAATTATTTTTACGATAATTGTAATTATGTAATTATTGTAACACCTTTTCAAATAATCCATCAAGATGCTCATTCTTTTTGTAATTCTTTGACTTGCATCTCTGCAAAAATGCTCAGAATATTCACACTGGCAAATTACAATTATTTTAAAATGTTTTATTTACAATTAGTGATGAGAAAACTAAGTGGAGCAGATTAATAGATAACACTATTAAAATCCAATGCGAGTTAATAGAAAATTCTCAATGTAAAAATTATTCTGAAAGACCACATAATCAAGGCACTTTTGGCTTACAAAGTAAATTCTAATGTCTTGATTTGTGCCTGAATTTGAAGGCCAAACATTCCAGCTTTGCAAAAGCTAAAAATGTCGTCCTCGGGAAATTTCTTCTGCTTTGTTATCTTCCACTTCCATTCAGTCGATATCTCAGACTAGAAGCAACTTCCCTACAATCCAAGAAGAAGCAGAAGCCAAATCCCTAGCTGAGTTCTCCCAGCACTTTCATGAAGGGTTGAGGATAGACAGGACTGCAGCTTCTTGGTATACCATGAGCCATTTACTAAATGCCACATCAAATCCTATACACACAGAGATACACACATTTCCTTCTGGAAACAGGAAGGGTTGGAGTCATTAATATGTGGGGTTTCTGAGGCCGATCTGTCAGTTGATTCTCCCCAGATATCTTCTAATGCTGGATGGAGCCATTTAGCTTAGTGCATAGCTTTGCTTTGGGAGTTTATAAACAATAGGACTTTCTGCGTACTCTCTTTCTCTGTCAGGAGGGCCTTGTCTTCTTCGAGGAGGTGGCTGTGTATTTCTCTGAGGAAGAATGGTCTGAACTGGATCCTGACCAAAAAGTTCTGCATTGGGAAGTCATGTTGGAAAATTACAGCAACGTGGCTTCTCTTGGTAAGGGTGTTTCCTTTTGTCCAATTGGAGAGTTCAGGAAGAAATTTTGTTTCTGATTATTATTAATCTCTTGGCTTCTAGGTGCTCTCTAAGAATGGATTTTTTGAAATGACCATCAGAGCATTAGTATTTCCTATATTATTATAACATGCTCTTATGCTAATTAGTTAGATGTTCTACTTCCCCTCCCAACCTGAAAATAACTCTGGAGAGAATGGGATAGCATAGGACAGGCTTCTGTGGGGCAAGTCTCATGGAGAAAAGGGGCTAGAAAACCTGAGGGAGAGAAGAGGATAGGATAGGAGATGTTTCTGTGGGGCAAGGCTGAGGAAGAGAAGAGGAGAGGCTTCTGTGGGGCAAGCCTGAGAGAGAGGAGAGGAGAGGATCTATGGGGCCAGCCTGAGGGAGAGAACGGGGTAGGATAAGAGAGGCTTCTGTGAAGCCAGCCTGAGGGAGAGAAGGGGATAGAGAGGAGAGGCTTCTGTGGGGCTAGCCTCCGGGAGAGAAGGGGGAGAGGAGAGGCCAATCATAATTACTCATTAATTTTGAAACACTAAGCGTCGATTTATCAAGCCCAATCACATAGTTTGGTAGTGGAGCACGGATATTCAGCTAGTTATTATTATAACCAAAAATGTTTTGCTATTTTTAGAGTTATGATTCATGTATATAGAAATTATTATTTCTGAAATGCCATTGTAAGCATGCAAACATGCAATATACTGGAATCTGGCAAACATCAGAACTCAATTGATATAAATTCTGACAGATTGATCTTTTTCCCTAATCTTGTTATCGTTTTTATTGCTGTTCCCTTTTGAAGGTAATAATGGGCAGGACCATAAACAATCTAGGGAATCATTCCAAGTGTTCAGATATGGAGACGTATCGGAGAAGCCTGAAATGCAAATGAAATTCCAGAGGCAGGAGAGAAATCAGTCAAATAATTGGAATAAGGAAAGCTCATCTTCCATTGAGGCTCAGACGCAGTTTCTTGAGCAACCAAGAAAAATGAAGAAAAAATATATTGGGAAAGGTATAAGACTATCTAAAGATACATTAGATGTAAATGGACAGTATCTGACCCAAGCCAAAGGACAACATTGTATATACAAAGACAATGGAAAACAATACAATTGGACTTTCACACTTTCTCAAGAAAATGGGTCACTTACATCACATAAAAGTATTCATATGGAAGAGAAGCCGAATAAATCCCTCGAGCATGGAAAAAGCTTCGGTGAAAACAAGACTCTTATGATTCATAAAAGGCTCCACACAGAGGAAAAGCCATTTAAATGCTTGGAGTGTGGAAAGGGCTTCAGCAAGCCCAGTAGTCTTACTTCCCATAAAAGGATCCACACAGGGGAGAAGCCATATAAATGCATGGAGTGTGGAAAGGTCTTTAGTTGCAACAGTAATCTTACTTCCCACAAAAGGATCCACACAGGGGAGAAGCCATATAAATGTATGGAGTGTGGAAAGAGCTTCAGAGTACATAGTGATCTTACATCCCATAAAAGGATCCACACAGGCGAGAAACCATATAAATGCATAGAGTGTGGAAAGGACTTCAGAATACATAGTGATCTTACAACCCATAAAAGGATCCATACAGGGGAGAGGCCTTATAAATGCATGGAATGTGGAAAGACTTTTACTCATAACATTCAACTTGCTTCCCATAAAGCGATCCACACCGGGGAGAGGCCTTACAATTGCATGGAATGTGGAAAGACTTTTACTCATAGCAGTCAACTTGCTTCCCATACATGGATCCATAGAGGGGAGAAGCCATATAAATGCATGGAGTGTGGAAAGGGCTTCCATGTAAATTCATCCCTTATGAGACATAAGAGGATTCACACGGGGGATAAACCATATAAATGTATGGAATGTGGAAAAGGCTTCAGTGAACTCGGTAATCTTACATCCCATAAAAGGATCCACACAGGGGAGAAGCCATATAAATGCATGGAGTGTGGAAAGGGCTTCAGTGAACACAGTAATCTTATTTCCCATAAAAGGACTCACACAGGAGAGAAGCCATTTAAATGCATGGATTGTGGAAGGGTTTTCAGTCAACGCAGTAGCCTTACCTCCCATAAAAGGATCCATACAGGGGAGAAACCATATAAATGTGTGGAATGTGGAAGGTGCTTTAGTGAATACAGTAATCTTATTTCCCATAAAAGAACACACACAGGAGAAAAGCCTTTTAAATGCATGGATTGTGGAAAATGCTTCAGCCGACCCAGTATGCTTACTTCCCATAAAAGAATCCATAGAGATGTGGAGCCAGTTTCCAAAACAGAGAGAGATTTTGGTGAGAATGTATGCTAATTTAGCAGGTTAAATCTATGGATTTTCCTATTTCATCGACTGAACTCAGAAAGGAAGGGCTTTTTGAGTTTGGCCCTCCCAACTGGCAGCCCCAGAGAAGATGGATATATTAATTTAAATGAAAACAATGTGCATGTTTTCATTTTAATCATGAATGATGAATTTTTGAATTTATGTATATATATATATATATATATATTTTAGAAATAAACTTCTGCTCCCCATGAGCAGCTACTGTCTGCATTTTTAGAGGTGCTGCTTCTATTAAATTTTAACTTTCATATGTAACTTGGGCTTTTTCTTTCTATTTTGCCTTTTACTTTGGATGAGTAGATTACATGTTAATTGCCAGGTTGAATGCTGTTAAGTCCAATACACTCCATTGATGAACTGCAATTAAAGACTTTTATTGCCTTCAAGATGAGACTTCATCTGAGTTATAACTTTCATCTGATTTATGGCATGGAACGGCAATGGCAAAGTTCAGTCTTTTGTTTTGAAGTGAAGTAATTTTAGCCATTTTAGGCTTTTTGATTATTTATTGAAAATGTGAGATCAGTTATTGTTTATTTATTGAAAAGGCTACATTATTTATTGTAATTATTTAATGAAATTGCTATATAATTTTTTAAGAACTTTAGTATTTCATTTCAACATTGCGTAAAGATTATTTAGTTGGTATGCTTTATATTGGACATGAAGTCACTGAAGTTTATTAAGAATCAGAACTATAATCAAGTATTTTTAGAACTACTTCGAATAGGTAACAGTAGAAAACAGTGATCTCCTCTCAAACTTACAATATAACACATTCAGGTCATCTGCCAGTTGATGATCCTCTTCGGTAAGGCAGGGAGATCTGCTGTTCAGACTTTTCCATGCATTTGCAGGTTCATTAACTGAGAACTGATTTTTCAGCTGTTCAGAGTAGCTTCTCTTTCCTACCTTGTCAATAGTTCCTGGCCTGATTATATGGGATCCTATCTCCTTTCCTGTAGGCTTCCTCTTTGGCACGACAAAGCTGCTTGGGCTTTGTCGTAAACCAAAGATGATTGTTGTTATGCATGCACAAGCTCTTGGTAGGCATACAAATGTCCTCAGAAAAGCTAATACATGATGTCACAGTGTCAGTAAATTCATCCAAGCCCACTGAAGCAGCTTCAAGAATACTCCAATCTGTGCAATCAAAGCAAGCGTGTAGCTCTAACTTGGCCTCCTCAGTCCATCTCTTCACTATTCTTACTATAAGCTTTGCAGTTTTGAGTTACTGCCCATAGCTGCACAAGGGAAAGAGCAGTAGTCACCTTTTAATGTGGAATAGGAGTGATCCAATATGTTGTTGCCTCTAATGACACAATACTGCATATATATGAACAACTCGTGAGTGAGGTGGCTCTGTTAAAATCTGCTAAGACAATTAAGTAGGGAGTCTGGATATTTCCGTTCTCTACAAAGTACTGTATCTCGTCACCTGGAATCTACAGTGCGGTGCTTGTGCAAACTTGGTGTGGTATATAAGCCCCAACCAAAATAAATGAGGAAAACTCTTGCAGAGCATTAAATGATTTACAGCTAATGAATAATGTTAATAATTACTGTGTTTCCCTGAAAATAAGACCTGGTCTTATAGTTTTGCCCCCCACCCCCAAAGATGCATTAGGACTTATTTTCTGGGAAACACGGGCAACACAGGCAAGCCAAGAGACGGTGGGACAGATTGACACCCGATTGTGTATCAGTGAGTATATCCTGCTATCTGCCACCGGAAACTGAGTGTTATTACCAGCATCCATTTGATGGTCTATTTCAAACAGGCATTAATTAAGTGTAACTTTCCATGTTCATCACCAAATGACAGTAAGCAATTGAGGGTAAATTTTGGGAGAAAGCTCCTTCTAAACTGTTTCTGTCTTCTAATCTCATAGTTATAGGGATCTATAGAGACAAGTATCAGGTTCAATCACTAGAACAATAATTTCCCATATTCTAGTTTCCATCTTCAACATTCCAGTATATAGTGAAGCATTAGAAACACAATGAGGGACTTGGAAAATTGCCCTTGAAAATTTAGATTGGACCAAAAACTTGAAGTTCCTATGGCACATAAGGGGATTGGGTCTAAATTGTGTGCCGTATAGTAATTGAGCCAAAGGCTCAGCCACAAAACAGCTTAGTTGCTGCAGGTATATATTAACTTGTGGAATAAAGAAATCTTAAAAATACTTAATAATTTAGATGAGGGGATAAAAGGGAACATATCGAATTTGCCTACAATACCAGGCTAGGGGAATAGCCAATATCTTTAGAAGATAGGCTCAAGATCCAGAAGGTTCTTGACAGACTGAAATAGTGGTCTCTGTCCAATAAATTGCAGTTCATTGGTGAGAAAAGTAAGGTTTTACGCTTACCGTGTTTCCCCGAAAATAAGACCCTGTCTTATATTTTTTTGAACCCCGAAATAAGTGCTTGGCACTTATTGGGACGCATGGAGGAAATCAGAGGAAATGGCGGATACCGGCTGCGCATGCGTTTAAATATTTTTGGGGAGGGCTTATTTTCAGAGGGGGCTTATTTTAGCATGTGCTCAAAAGCCCAATTGGGCTTATTATCAGGGGATGTCTTATTTTCGGGGAAACAGGGTAGGTAAGAAAAAACAAATACACTAGGACATAATAGGTGTATCTGGCTCAACAGAAGAGAGATCTAAGAGTCCTATAGATAATTACTTAAATATGAGCCAGCAGTGTGCTGCAGCTGCTAAAAGAGCCAATGCAGTCCTAGGATGCATCAACAGAGGGATAGTATCGAGATCACATAAAGTGTTAGTCCAGCTTTCTCCTGCACTGCTAAGACTACATTTGGAACACTGCATCTAGTTACAGTCACCATGATACGAAAAAGATGTTGAAACTCTAGAAAGAGTGCAGAGAAGAACAACACAGATGATTAGGGGACAGGAGGCTAAAACATATGAAGAGAAGTTGCAGGAATTGGGCAGATCTACTCCAGTGAAGAAAAGGGATGGTGTATTAGGAGGCTTTCAATATATGAGGGGCTGTCACAGAGAAGATGAATTCAACCTATTCTCCAACGAACCTCTGACTGGATTAAAAAAAATGGATGAAAATCTATCAGAGAGATATCCAGCCTAGAATGAGGAGAAATTTCCTGACAGAACAATTAACTAGTGGAACAATTTGTCTCCAGAAGTTATGGGTGCCCCATCCTGGCAGGTTTTCAAGAAGAGATTTGACAGGCATTTGTCTGCAATGGTGTAAGACCTCCGAGGTCCCTTCCAAGTATGTTACTCTGGAGTCTGTATTTTGAATCTCTTGAGTAAGAAGAATGGTACTTCTTGTCTGTTCTTTTGCCCCCTCTATGAAGGGATGAAGCTTTCTATAGAACCCTTCCTAAAAGTGGAAGGCTGCACATGGGTGTGGCACTGTCAGAAGAAATCGGATTCTTTATCGGGAAGGAAACGACAGCCTCCTTCCTCCTGGGCTCCGATGGAAAATGCACCGTTTCCATCGCTTGCATAAGAACCTTCCTTGCACACAGAATCCACCAGGCGAGTCCCTCAGAAAAGAGAAGCGGACGCCGTGCGATTCACCATTCGGCCACCGGAGGGCGAACGCCAGAGGTGATTTCCCATAGGAGAAGGAGAGGGAAGTGACCTCACTGGATCTGACGCGACACTCCGTCTCTTTTGCACCCTTTGAGCTTCTCTGGGGGTTTAAGTGGGTAAGTGGCGGGTGTGAGTGTGTGTGTGTGTGTGTGTGTATGTGTCTCCGCGTGCAATGTGGGGGGTCGGGGTGGGGTGCGGTGCAGAGGTGCTTGTGCTAGAGAAGGAAGGGGCAGAAGCCAAGTCCCCATGCAGGTTCAATCTCTTGAGTCCTGGTGTGGGAGATCCCGGATCCCATGTTCCCCTGCCGCCCCTCTCCACGCAGGTGGCAGGCAGAGGGAAGCGGTGCTCAGGAACAAATCCCCAGAGAGGAGGGAGGGTCCTGGGGAATCCTTCACCCCCCCATAGCCTGGAGAAAGCTCCGAGGTCGGAGATGGGGAGAGATTGGAGGGCAAAAATGGAGCAGGAAAGAAGAACATGGTTGCAAGGGAGGAACTGGAGGAGATTGTGCCCGCCTTCTCCTTCTGTGCTGGAGGAGACTAAAATAGGGTTGGATCCTCCGGAGTTCAATTTCTCTTAGGAGGGTGAGTGAACCAGGACATCCCCAACCCCGGTGTCTCACGTGAACGGTTGCTTAGCCTGTCTGTATTCTGGGTATTTTTGTCAACCTACCTGGATGCAATTGTGTGATTGGCTCTAAAAATGCAAACCCTGCACTTCTGCTTTGCCAAAAATGCAGGGTTTGCATTTTTAGAGCCAGATCACTTTTTGGCAAAGCAGGTCACCTTTTGGCATTTCATTTTTTTTTTTCAAGTGAACTTTCATGTTTTGTTCACCTGTTGGAGTTTGTCTAAACCCCCTTGCAGGTAAATGCAGATTTAAATTTATTATAAAGCAAGCCCTACTTTCTGAGAAAAAAGCAATTGAAAATGATGCAAAATGCATTTATTCAGTGTTCCATGTCCATAATAGATGCAAGTCCTAAAGTTTGTACAAGGATTCGTGCACAAGGATTAAGTGCTCAATGCCATTGTAATCCTGTACTAACTCAGAAAAATACTTTTCATTTTGGAATGTGGGTTCTTCACAGTTAAATCCACCACTTTCTCATTAATCTTTGCTATACCATAGAAATTGGAATCCATTTTTATCACCCTCTGCTGGAGGCAAAAAATTGGACAGAGATGGCTGAAAGACTTGCCTGATCTGTAGCTACAGGAATGGTACTATGAATAGAAAGGTGTTTGGAGATCCACAAGATTCCCTGGACCCATTTGGAGTTACACTACAGGACAGAGAAAGAATGAAAAGCCAATCTTTAGCAAGTGAGGGAAATGGAAAAGGCCCTTCTGGTGTTCACCCTGGGAGCTATGGGGAGATCTGTGCAAGAACTGGACAGAAGAGCCTGGAGGAGAAAACCACCCTTTCAAAAATTCAGCCCTGGAACTTCAGGAGCTTCCAATACAAGGAGGATGAGGGTCCCCGAGGACTTTGCAGCCGGCTCCATTCCTTTTGTAGTCAATGGTTGAGACCAGAAAAGTACACAAAAGCGCAGATGCTGGACCTGGTTGTTTTGGAGCAGTTCCTGGCGCTTCTGCCCCTGCAGATGGAGAGCTGGGTACGAGAGTGTGGAGCAGAGACCAGCTCCCAGGCGGTGGCCCTGGTGGAAGGCTTCCTCCTGAGCCAGGCGGAGGAGAAGAAGGAGGAGGTTGAGTTGCAGGTGAGAGACTTTTATTTGGGAGCTCAGAATTGATGAAATCTAATAGACTAAATCTGTGTTTGAATTCTTAACCCTTGTTTACACAGAATTCTTTGGCATTCATTATATGCGGAGATACTCTAATAATTCTTGCAGGACATTGTTTTGTTATTAGTGATAGTTGTTCTTTTCCAATTTCCAACCTTACTGATGGATTCTGGAACTTCAAAATGGCGTTTACAGAAGAAGAATCTTGATGTGTATTGTCCATTCATTCTTCTTGTTTTCTGCCTACTTTTTCAAGTCCTTCATGATGGAGATCAGAGACCCTGAGGGAAGGGGGCGTCCATCAGATTCATCTCTCAAAATGTTTTGCACGAGGATCTCTCAGGATGATCCAAATCAAGACATAACCAGAGGTAACATAAGACTCTCCCATTCCCCAAAGAGATCTCAGCTGTCTCATCTTCTGTATGTCTTCTCTTCTCTACAACACCATCTCCTACGTTATGAATTATGCAGTTTAAACTTCTGTCTCCCTCACAGGGATGAATAGAAGGAAGGTGGCCCTTCCTGAATGTGAAGCTGAAACAGTAGTAGAAACTCCAATTCAGGTAAGAAGAGGAAATTTATGCATTAGAATTGTATTCTCCTTTTCCTTCAGAAAGTCAAGGTGGTGTACATAATACTGTCCCCTTTCATTAATCTTTTTAAGACCAGTACATTTAAAAAGTGCTACTTGTTGCCAATTATTATTACAATAATTGTAATTATGCTGCCGTGTTGTCTGCAAAAATAAGGCCTATCTCGAAAATAAGCCCTAGCTTGATTTTACACGTACATCTAATATAAGCCCTACCCCCAAAATAAACCCTAGTTAGGATGCCACCCACTCCTTTGTGCCTGGTTGCATGAGGTGGCGTGTGGCGCATTGGTAAAAATCAAGCTAGGGCAGAGATGGGGGTGATGGAGCTGTCCCACATGCCCTGCACTCGCTTACCTTAGGACAGTTGCAGCCAGGCCTCCCTCGCCCTGACACCTGCCTTGCCCTTCCAAGCCACTCGCTGCCGCTTGTGCACCTCACCCCAGACCTCCATTTCACCATCAGGGGACTTCAGGAAAGGCAAAACAGACTGGAGGAACACCGTGCATGTTAATCTGGATCTCATTTCTCGCATTCAGAGGCCTTTCCTGAAGGCCTCTGACAGCGAAATGGAGGCTGGGGGTGACCCACGCAAGCGGCAGTGAGTGGCAGCAGAAGAATTCAGCCGGCAGCGGCCACACAGTGCTGCCACTGCGAGGTGCCGCTGTCGTGAGGTGAGACTGGAAAAGACATCCCCCAGAAATAAGACCTAACCCTGTTTCCCCCAAAATAAGACATCTCCTGACAATAAGCCCAATCGGGCTTTTGAGTGCATGGCAATAAGGCCAAGTGCTTATTTCAAGGTTCAAAAAAAATATAAGACAGGGTCTTATTTTTGGGAAAACACCGTAATTACTCTAACCCCTTTTCAAATAATCCTTCATGTTGCCCATTCTTTTTCTAATTCTTTGAGTTGGATTGGTCAAGGATGCTCAAAAATAACTGAATATTAACACTGGCAAATTACCATTTTTAAAAAATGCTTTGTTTACAATCTGATAAAACTAAGTGGAGCAGATTAAAAGATAAAAATATTAAAATCCAATGCAAGTTAATAGAAATTATCAAAGTAAAAATTGTTCTGAAAAAGCACATAATCAAGGCACTTTCGGCTTGCAAAGTAAATTCTAATGCCTTGATTTGTGCCTGAATGTAGAGGCCAAACAATCCAGCCTCGCAAAAGCTAAAAATGTCCTTCTTGGGAAATTTCTTTCACTTTGTTATCTTCCATTCAGTCGATATCTCAGACTAGAAACAACTTACTTAACAATCCGAGAAGCAGAAGCCAAATCCCTAGCTGAGTTCTCCCAGCACTTTCATGAAGGGTTGAGGATAGACAGGACTGCAGCTTCTTGGTATACCATGAGCCATTTACTAAACGCCACATAAAATCCTCCACACACATTTCCTTCTGGAAACATAGGAAGGGTTGCAGTTATTGATATGTGTGGTTTCCAAGGCCCATCTGCCAGTTGATTCTCTCCAGAAGTCGTCTAATGGTGGACGAATGAATGGCGGATTGATTGATCCAAAGGAAATTGGGGTTATTTTCATTGAAAGGCTCTGACAGTCCTGGAGAATCAATAAAATTAATAAAAACCTACCCCAAACAATCCTTTAATCCAAAACTTTTCTCTGTCTGTTTTCTCACATAAAATCTTGAATGCTACTGAGCAGAGACGTTTGCCTTGGTGTATAGCTTTGCTTTCAAAATTTATAAAAATAGGACTCATTTTTCCTTGTCAGGAGGGCCTTGTCTCCTTCGAGGAGGTAGCTGTGTATTTCTCTGAGGAGGAATGGTCTGTGCTGGATCCTGACCAAAAAGCTCTGCATTGGGAAGTCATGCTGGAAAATTACAGGAATGTGGCCTCTCTTGGTAAGGGTTTCCTTTTGTCCAATCGGAGAGTTCAGGAAGACATTTTATTTCTGATTATTATTAATTATTATTATAACGAAAAATGTTTTGCTATTTTCAGAGTTATGATTCATGTATATAGAAATTATCATTTATGTCATGCCATTGTAAATATGCAAACATGCAGTACATTGTAATCTGGCAAATATCAAAAGGCAATTGATATAAATTCTGACAGATTGATCTTTTTCCCTAACCTTGCTATTGTTTTTATTGCTCTTCTCTTTTGAAGGTGATAATGGGCAGGACCATAAAGAGTCTAGGGAATCATTCCAAGTGTTCAGATATGGAAATGTAACGGAGAAGCCTAAAATGCAAATGAAATTCCAGAGGCAGGAGAGAAATCAGTCAAATAATTGGAATAAGGAAAGCTCATCTTCCATTGAGGCTCAGACACAGTTTCTTGAGCAACCAAGAAAAATGAAGAAAAAATATATTGGGAAAGGTATAAGACTATCTAAAGATACATTAGATGTAAATGGACAGTATCTGACCCAAGCCAAAGGACAAGATTTTATATACAAAGACAATGGAAAACAATACAATTGGACTTTCACACTTTCTCAAGAAAATGGGTCACTTACATCACATAAAAGTATTCATATGGAAGAGAAGCCGAATAAATCCCTCGAGCATGGAAAAAGCTTCGGTGAAAACAAGACTCTTACGATTCATAAAAGGCTCCACACAGAGGAAAAGCCATTTAAATGCATGGAGTGTGGAAAAGGCTTCAGCAAACCCAGTAGTCTTACTTCTCATAAAAGGATCCACACAGGGGAGAAGCCATTTAAATGCTTGGAGTGTGGAAAGGGCTTTAGGTGCAACAGTAATCTTACTTCCCATAAAAGGATCCACACAGGTGAGAAGCCATATAAATGCATGGATTGTGGAAAGGGCTTTAGGTGCAACAGTAATCTTACTTCCCATAAAAGGATTCACACAGGGGAGAGGCCATATAAATGCTTGGAGTGTGGAAAGGACTTTACTTGCAACAGTGGTCTTACTTCCCATAAAAGGATTCACACAGGGGAGAAGCCATATAAATGCATGGAGTGTGGGAAGGACTTCAGAGTACATAGTGATCTTACTTCCCACAAAAGGATCCACACGGGGGAGAGGCCATATAAATGTATGGAGTGTGGAAAGGACTTTAGTTGCAACAGTAGTCTTACATCCCATAAAAGGATCCACACAGGGGAGAAGCCATATAAATGCATGGAGTGTGGAAAGGACTTTAGTTGCAAGAGTACTCTTACATCCCATAAAAGGATCCACACGGGGGAGAGGCCTTACAATTGCATGGAATGTGGAAAGACTTTTACTCACAGCAGTCAACTTGCTTCCCATACATGGATCCATAGAGGGGAGAAGCCATATAAATGCATGGAGTGTGGAAAGGGCTTCTATGTAACTTCATCCCTTATGACACATAAGAGGATTCACACGGGGGATAAACCATATAAATGTATGGAATGTGGAAAAGGCTTCAATAAACTCGGTAATCTTACATCCCATAAAAGGATCCACACAGGGGAGAAGCCATATAAATGCATGGAGTGTGGAAAGGGCTTCAGTGAACGCAGTAGCCTTATTTACCATAAAAGGACTCACACAGGAGAAAAGCCATTTAAATGCATGGATTGTGGAAAGTGCTTCAGCCGACCCAGTAAGCTTACTTCCCATAGAAGGATCCATACAGGGGAGAAGCCATATAAATGTGTGGAATGTGGAAGGTGCTTTAGTGAATATCGTAATTTTATTTTCCATAAAATGATACACACAGGAGAAAAGCCATATAAATGCATGGATTGTGGAAAATGCTTCAGCCGACCCAGTAAACTTACTTCCCATAAAAGGATCCATAGAGATGTGGAGCTAATTTCTAAAACAGAGAGAGATTTCAGTGAGAATATGCTAATTTAGCAGGTTAAATCTATGGATTTTCCTATTTCATCGACTGAACTCAGAAAGGAAGCTGTTTTTGGCCCTTCCAACTGGCAGCCCCAGAGAGAGATGGATATATTAATTTAAATGAAAACAATGTGCATGTTTTCATTTTAATCATGAATGATGAATTTTTGAATTATGTATATATTTAATTTTTTTTTTAGATATAAACTTCTGCTCCACATGAGTGACCGCTGTCTGCTTTTTTAGAGGTGCTGTTTCTGCTATTACATTTTAACTTTCATGTGTAACTTTGTCTCTCTATTTTTGCTTTTTACTTTGGATTAGATTACATGTTAATTGCCAGGTTGAATGCTGTTAAATCCAATGCATTCCATTAATGAACTGCAATTAAAGACTTTTATTGCCTTTAAGATGAGACTTCATCTGAGTTATTACTTTCATCTGATTTATGGCATGGAACGGCAATGGCAAAGTTCAGTCTTTTGTCTGGAAGTGAAGTAATTTTAGCCATTTTAGGCTTTTTCACTATTGAAAAGGTTAGATGAGTTATTGGTTTTTTGTTTTTGTTTTTGTTTTGCTTTAATTTATATGCCGCCCTTCTCCGGAGACTCAGGGCGGCTTACAATGCGTTAAGCAATAGCCTTCATACTTTTGTATATTTATACAAAGTCAGCTTATTGCCCCCACAATCTGGGTCCTCATTTTACCTACCTTTGAAAGGATGGAAGGCTGAGTCAACCTTGAGCCTGGTGAGATTTGAAATTGCAGTAATTGCAAGCAGCAGATGTTAATAACAGTGCTTTAGTACACTGTACTATCAGGCTCTTATAAATAAAGGTTATTTATTGAAAAGGCTACTTTATTGTAATTCTTTGTTGAAATTGCTATGTAAATTTTGAAGAACTTTAGTATTCCATTCCATTTTCCTTATATGTACTGTTCCTTAATTCAAGAAGAGGAAAATTTCCTGTCTTTTTTTCCTTTCCTACTCCTTTCATTATGGGAACAGCAATTTTGATGTAAGAAATTGTTGTTTGGGAAGCCTTTGAAATCTTTTTGAGATTGTACATTACTTAAAAGTTATTTATTTGGTATGCTGTATATTAGCCATGAAGTCACTAAAGTTTATTAAGAATCAGAACTCTAATCAAATATTTTTAGAACTGCATATCAAGCAAAATAGAGAAAGGGGGAGGGGAAAGAAGAAGGAAGGAGAGGGAGAAAGAAAGAAAGAAAGGATGGAAGGGAGAAAGGAAGGTAAGAGAAACAGGATTTAATGTCCAACTTTTTATGGAGAGTTTTGAGTAGAAAATGCTCTTGAATTTACAAACCATAAAAAATGTTTGATAAATAATGCAATGGTTAAAATTTTAAATGAAAGACTGCACCAAAAACCTGAAGAATTTGCCACAGGGTTAAACCGAATGAAGGAAGATGTCATAAATATGCATATAAAAACAGAAAATTAGATATGCAAATAGCTGCAACAGAAGGTAATTTATTACTATTGGATTTGAAGGAGTAAGAATTTTATTTGAGAATTGGGATTGCCAAAAATGTGGAAAAAGGCACTAACATAAAATATTTAATTAATTATAATAAGACCACTTCTTAAGATTTCTTAAGTTTAAAAAATACTACCTGAGGATGAACATGGAAGATGAACATACTAAGGATAGTATGGTAAAATGGGAGAAAAACCTTGGTTATAAATGGGAAAATATGTGGACTAATCATTTAAACTTAAAGTTTAATTTGAACTACAGTTTGAAAGAAAATTTTTATAAGATGATGTATTGATGGTATTTAACTCCAGATATATTGGCAAGAATACGTAATGGAACTTCCAAAAAATGTTGGAAATGTAAGGTACATTTTATCTCATGAGGTGGACTTATAAACATGCTAAATCATATTGGATAAATATAATAATGGTTATGCAGAAAATACCCAAAACTCAAATATTAATGAAAGATGGTGACAATGAACGGCAGCTTTGAGCTTTGCTCTCCTTTTTACTCTCTATTGTTATTCTTTTTTAAATAGTCTTTCTACTTTTCTATCAGTTTTTAACTTTTAACTTTAAAAAGTTGTAATTTCACCACTTGAGAGATTCAGTTTTTACTCCAGCTTTTTACTTCAGCTACCGTGTTTCCCCGAAAATAAGACCCTGTCTTATATTGTTTCGAACCCTGAAATAAGCGCTTGGCCTTATTTTGGGGGATGTCTTATTATTTTGGGGCGTGTAGAGCAAGACTGGGCTCCTCTTGCCGTCTTACCTGATTTCCAGCTCTGTCTCCCTAAACCTAGCCAGAGGAAATGGCGGGGACCGGCTGCGCATGCGTTTAAATATTTTTGGGGAGGGCTGATTTTCGGGGAGCTTAGTTTAGCGCATGCACTCAAAAGCCCAATTGGGCTTATTATCAGGGGATGTCTTATTTTAGGGGACACAGGGTAGTAAAGCATTTAGTGAATGGTAAGTTTTCTCTACTAAGCAAACGAAACCAGCTAAACATGGCTGCGACAACACCCAGACATCCCAAGATAAAAGACTTTTTTCAAATGAAACCTGAAGCCTCATCACCATCTCAAATGAGACCAATGACTGTTGTATCATCTGCAAATTTCAGAAGTTTAACAGAGGGTTCCCCTGAGGTGCAGTCATTGGTACAGAGGGAGAAGAGCAACAGAGAGAGTACAGAGCCCTGAGGGGCACCTATGCTAATTGCCCGGGTACTAGATGTAATTTTCCCAAACTACACCTGTTACTTCCTATCTATCAAAAAGCTGACTATCCACTTACAAGTATGAACAGGCATAGTGAGCTGAAACAGTTTAGAGCAGGGGTGTCAAACTCGATCTCACTGAGGGCCGCATAAGGGTTATGTTTGACCTCAGAGGGCTGGGGACAGGCGTGGGGCATGCCCGGGATGTGTGGCCATGGTAGGCACAGCCAGGGGTATGGCCATGGTGGACATGACATGGGACTTGTGTTGGGGGCACCTGTGGTGGCCAAGTGCTAAGGCAGGACTTCTCTGAGAGCCTCCCTCACTTTCATTATAGTCTTCCTTCCTTTTCTTCTTCTTTTTATTTATAATTTTATTTAAGATTTTTTCTTTAACATCCCAAAGTGCTTGGTGAACTGGGTCAATAATGTCTGGGTCAATATACTTTGCACACAATTCTAATAATGATAGTACCATTTAAAATATACATAATCATAATCTTTCAACTTTCAAAATTTGTGTATACATAGTAAATATAATATGTTCGATTATATTTCAGTATACATTATACTATTTTCCCAATTTCTACTTTCTACTTCTTTTTTATAGCACTTAATACAATAACCACCATGTTAAAAAATATTCTATATCTATCCGTCATCTCTTCCCCTTTTTAGAATTTCAACTCTTACTAACTTTTTGGTGAATCTTTCATGCTTCTCCTCTGATATCTTGTAACTCCTTTTGTCATGTTTATTTAATCTAAATGTTTCATCTGCCACAACATCTATCTCTTGCTGCTGGATCTCTAGTGCACTCATTCGCTCTTCCCCCATCATTTTTAGGAGACTTTTCTCTTTATTCTCTTTTATATTTTGAATTCTTAAGGGATATTGTCTCTGTTCCGTGTTAGAAATTATTGCTATCTCTTCCATATTTTTGTCTTCCTGTATCATTTTTGGATTTATCTCCTCTATTCTTCTCTCAGGTCTTTCTAATTTCTCCTCTATTTTCTGAATTTTTTGTTCATTTTTTATTGTCAATTGCTGGGGGTTTTCTAGTCTCACACTTCTATCCTGCATCAATTCCATCATTTCTCTATGATTCCTTGTTATAGCTTCCTTAATACATTGAAACATCAATATTTCTTTATAAACTGCATTTGTTTCCCCCTGTTGAAACATTTTGTGATTATATAATAAACTAATCACTGCTCAATATTCCACCAAAATTCCAATATCCCAATGTTCAGAAACACGAAAAATGCCACAGTCCCGTAACTGTGCCTTAAAATCCCCTAAATTTATAGTCCTTAAAATTTTCCAATTTGCACCCTCTAAGTTTTCCAAATTTTTAAGTCTTGTTAATTTTTCTTCTTTTGCCTCATAGAATGTTCTGTCAAATGATCTTGATAATCCAAATTGGCCCATCAAATTTCTCCAAATGCCTTTATTCCACAGTCAGATATTCAGTTTCAAGGATGTTTTATGTTAATTGTAATCCACCTTTCCTTAGAAATCTTCAAAAGGCTCATGAATACTTCCAAGCAGCCAAGATGCCAGTAGATATGGAACCAAACTAAAAAGGCCTTCCAGGTGTTGTTTGTCTTTCACTAATTTCCCCCCATACTATTTTTCACTATTTTCACAATAGAATACCTTATGCCACCAGGCTTGAAATTTTGGGCTTGGACAACCTAGAACTACGCTGCCTACAGTCTGACCTAAGCGTAGTACACAAAATTGTCTGCTGCAATGTCCTACCTGTCAATGAGTTCTTCAGCTTCAACCGCAATAATACATGGGCAAACAGTAGATACAAATTCAAGGTAAACTGCTCCAAACTTGATTGCAGAAAATATGACTTCAGCAATAGAGTGGTCAATGCCTGGAATGCACTACCTGACTCTGTTGTTACATCCTCAAACCCGAAAACTTTAACCTTAAACTGTCTACCATGGACCTCACCCCATTCCTAAGAGGTCTGTAGGGGGCGTGCATAAGCACATCAACATGCTGACTGTCCCCATTTATTCATATACATTTCCTGTATTCATAATCATGTTTATGTTTATACTTATATCTGCTATCTTATACATGTTTGACAAAATAAATAAATGAATGAATAAATAAATTTTCTTTCTCCTCTATGTTATTCTTGTATTATCAAATAATTCTTACTTTCCAGGGTTATTCCCACCATGTACAGTACTAATATAATATCTTTAACCAGTAGGTGGCACCCTTGTTCTAAGATTTATTTTTTAAATTTATTTTAATTAATTAATTTTGTCAAGCACATATAAGATAACAGGTAAAAGTATAAACATGACTTGGATATTTATTTATTTGTTCGATTTATATGCCGCCCTTTTCTGGAGACTCAGGGCGGCTTACAATGCATTAAGCAATAGCCTTCATACTTTTGTATATACCTGCTTAGTAGGGCTTTTGGGGGGCCCCCTAAGCGGTGTTCTTTTTTATACAAAGTCAGCTTATTGCCCCCACAAACCGGGTCCTCATTTTACCTACCTCGAAAGGATGGAAGGCTGAGTCAACCTTGAGCCTGGTGAGAATTTAACTCGTAGTAATTGCAGGCAGCTGGTGTTACTTAACAGTGCTTTAGTCTGCTGCGCCTCCAAGGATACATGAAAAGAGTAAGTAAAAAAAGAATATTAGGAGAGGGACGGTAGGCACGCTGGTGCACTTATGCACGCCCCTTACAGACCTCTTTGGAATGGGGTTAGGTCAACAGTAGACAGTTTAAGGTTAAACACAGCAAAAATAAAACAGCTGTGTGTCAAAGAGAAAGGGGGGGAAATAAAAATAAAGCAAAATTCCTCTTTCTTTGTTAACGATTCTTCCAGTAATCAAACAGTATTATCCACAAATTAAATCACTTTTCACGCTACTACCAGTTCCAGTCCAGTCTTTCTCTATTTTAAAGCTTCAGTCTTCCACACCGTGCGATTCACCATTCCGCCACTGGAGGGCGAAGGCCAGAGGAGATTTGCCATAGGAGAATGGGAGGGAAGTGAGCTCACTGGCTCTGACGCCACACTCAGTCTCTATTTAACCCTTTGAGCTTCGCAGGAGGTTTAAATGGGTGCTGGAAAGTCTTGAAGGGAGGAGAACTAGAGGTGGGCAGGGTAAATGGTGGGTGTGAGTGTGTGTGTGTGCGTCTACACGTGCAAATCGGGGGTGGGGTGGGGTGGGAAGAGGTTGCTCGTGCTAGAGAAGGAAGGGACATAAGCTAAGTCCCCATGCGGGTTCAATCTTCTGAGTCCTAGGGTGGGAGAGCTCGGATCCTATGTTCCCCTGCCGACCCTCTGCACGCAGGTGGCAGGCAGAGGGAAGCGGTGCTCAGGACAAGCCGTGTTGCCCCAGGAACAAATCCCCAGAGAGGAGGAAGGTCCTGGGCAGGGGTGAAATCCAGCAGGTTCTGACAGGTTCTGGAGAACCGGTAGCGGAAATTTTGAGTAGTTTGGAGAATTGGCAAATACCACCTCTGGCTGGCCCCAGAGTGGGGTGGGAATGGAGATTTTGCAGTATCCTTCCCCTGCCATGCCCACCAAGCCACGCCCACCAAGCCACACCACACCCACCAAGCCACGCCCACAGAACTGGTAGTAAAAAAAATTGGATTTCACCACTGGTCCTGGGGGAATCCTTAACCCCCCATAGGCTGGAGAAAGCTCCAAGGTCGGAGAGCTTGGAGGGCAAATCTCTAGCAGGAAAGAAGAACATAGTTCCAAGGGAGGAACTGCAGGAGACTGTGCCCGCCTTCTCCTTACGTGCTGCAGGAGTCTAAAATAGGGTTCGATCCTCAGGAGTTCAATTTGTCTTAGGAGGGTGAGTGAACCAGGACATCACCTGCCCCGGTGTCTCATGTGAACTCAGCCTCTGGGGGTGCTTAGCCTGTTTGTCTTTAGGGTATGTTTTGGGAATCTGCCTGTGGGTAATTGTGTGATTTGGCTCTTAAAAAGGAAACCCTGAAGAAAGGGGAGCTGAGGTCATTTATTGGCATTTCATTTTTTTTTAAAAAAAAGAACTTTCATGGTTAGTTAACTGGTTAGAGTTTGGCATGTTGCATAAACCTTGCTTGTAAGTAAATGTAGATCTAGGTTTTTATGAAGCAAGCCCTAAAAAGAAATGGAAAATGACCCAAAATAAATTTATTCAATGTTCCAAATCTCTCGTGGATGTCAGACCCAAAGCTTGTACCAAACACACATTCATATGCAGGGACTAACTGTAATCCTGTACTAGCTCAGAAAAATACTTCTTTCCATTAGAATGAGTGTTCTTCAGGGGTTAAATCCACCACTTTCTAATTAAAATACAGAAATTGGAAACCATTTGTGCTCCCTCCCTTGGAGGCAAAAATATGGGGCTGAAAGTCTTGCCTAATATGTAGCTACAGGAATGGTACTATGGAATGGAATGGAAAGGTGTTTGGAGATGCAGAAGATTCCCTGGACGCATTTGGAGTTGCGCTACAGGACAGAGAAAGGATGAAAAGCCAATCTTTACCAAGTGAGGGAACTGGAAAAGGCCCTTCTGGTGTTCACCCTGGGAGCCCTGGGGAAATCTGGGCAAGAACTGAGCATAAGATCCTGGAGGAGACAACCACCTTTCCAGAAATTGAGCCCTGGAACTTTAGGAGCTTTCAACACCAGGAGGATGAGGGCCCCCGAGGACTTTGCAATCAACTCCATTCCTTTTGTAGTCGATGGTTGAGATCAGAAAAGTACACAAAAGCGCAGATGTTGGACCTGGTTGTTTTGGAGCAGTTCCTGGCCCTTCTGCCCCTGCAGATGGAAAGCTGGGTACGAGAGTGCGGAGCAGAGACCAGCTCCCAGGCGGTGGCCCTAGTAGAAGGCTTCCTCCTGAGCCAGGCGGAGGAGAAGAAGGAGCAGGTTGAGTTGCAGGTGAGACACCTTTATTTAGGAGCTCAGAAATGGTTAATCTAATAAAGTGTGCTTAAATTTTTAACTCTTGCCTACCCAAGGTTTTTGTGGGTTTTTTTTTTTTTTTTGCATTCATTATATGTGGAGATACTTCTAATTCTTGTAGGACCTTGTTCTATTATTTGTGTTAGTCGTTCCTTTCCACTTTCCAACCACACTGATGGATTCTGGAGCTTAAAGTGGTATTCACAGAAGAATCATCTTGATGTGTATTGTCCACTCATTCTTCTTGTTTCCTGCCTATCTTTCAAGTCCTTCATAATGGAGATCAGAGATCTTAAGAGAAGGAGACATCCATCAAGTTCATCTCCAGAAATGTTTTTCAGGAGGATCTCTCAGGATGATCCAAATCAAGACACTATCACAGGTAATACAAGGCTCTCCCATTCCCCAGAGAGATCTCAGCTGGCTCATCTACTGTATGTCTTCTCTTCTCTAGAACACCACCTCCTACATTACGAGTTATGCAGTTTAAAATTCTGTCTCCCTCACAGGGAAGAATAGAAGGAAAGTGGCCCTTTCTGAAGGTGGAACTGAAACAATGGTTGAAACTCCAGTTCAAGTAAGAGGAAATTAATTTATTAGATTTGTATTCTCCTTTTCCTTCAGAAAGTCAAGGTGGTATACATAGTACAGTCTCCCTTCATTTTTCCCTCTTGTTTGAGTTGGCTTATTTTTGTGTTCCCAAGCAAGATGAGGCTGTTATTAGGAAATCTTATTTTAAGATCAGTATTTTAAATAAATGCTAATTGTTGCCAATTATTATAATAGTTTAATTATGCTAATTGCTATATTCACTTTTCAAACAATATTTCGTGATGGCTCTTCTTTTTGTAATTATTTGACTTGCATCTGTACAAAGATGCTCAAAAATAAGTATTCACACTGGCAAATTACAATTTTTAAAAAATGTTTTATTTACAAGACAAGTGGACATTAAAAGGTAAGACTATTAAAATACAATGCAGGTTAACAGAAAATTTTCAGAGTAAAAATTGTTCTGAAAGAGCACATAATCAAGGCACTTTTGGCTTGCAAAGTAAATTCTAATGCCTTGATTTGTGCCTGAAACAATCCAGTTTTGCAAAAGCTAATAAACAGAATGGGACAACTCACCACAGCCAACTAGCCATGATTAACTCAACATGTCCAACTCGCGATAGGACAACTCTCTTCAGGACAATCCAACAATTGTATTTAATTATTTTAAAACTTAAATTTTATTTCAATTTTTGTCATTCAAATTTCATTCTGTCTCTCCTTTGTCATCCTTTCTTTAATAATTCTATTTCACTATTTCTTCGATATTAGTATAAATCTCTTGGCAAATTGGCCATAGCGAATTGTCCTGTGGTGATTTGGCCATAGTGAGTTAACCATAGTGAGTTGGCTATGTTGAGTTGGCTGCGGTGAATTGTCACAGACCCCTAAGAAATGTTCTCCTCAGGAAATTTCTTCTCCTTTGTTACCTATCATTCAGTTGAAGTTTCAGACTATAAGCAGCTTCCTTACAATGTGAGGAGGATTAGAAACTAATTCCTGGCTAAACTCTCCCAGGACTTTCATGAGGGTGTTGAGGAGAGACAGGATTGCTCTTTCTTGGGAAACCATGAGACATTTACTAAAATGTTGCAAAGAATCCCCTCCCACACAGACACAAACTTTTCCTGCCTCAAACGTAGGAAGGATTGGAGTCAGTGGTGGAATTCAGCCAGTTCGCACCACTTTGGGAGAACCGGTTGTTAACTTTCTGAGCAGTTTGGCACACTGGTTGTTGGAAGAAATCATTAGGGCAGAGAACCTGTTGTTAAATTACCTGAATCCCACCACTGATTGGAGTCACTGATAGGTGGAGTTTTGGAGCCACAGATACCAATTGATTCCGGATGTCTTTGATGGTTGTTGGAGGGTGGGAGGGTGGGTGAATGGATGGATGATGGTAGCTCAATCGATCCAGAAGGAAACTGGTGTTACTTTCACTGATTGGCAGAATCAATCAAATTGATAAAACCTGCCCAAACTATTTCTTACGTCAAAAGCTTTTGGCTCTGTCCATTTTCTCATGTAAACCTTGGAATCCTAGCAAGCATAGCCATGTACCTTAATGCACAAGGTTGCTTGGGGAATTTATAAACAATAGGACCGTTGTTTTTTTTACAATTCCTCCTGGACCTTCTGTGTACTCTCTTTCCCTGTCAGGAGGGCCTTGTCTCCTTCGAGGAGGTGGCTGTGTATTTCTCTGAGGAGGAATGGTCTGAGCTGGATCCTGACCAAAAAGCTCTGCATTGGGAAGTCATGCTGGAGAATTATAGGAATGTGGCCTCTCTTGGTAAGGGTGTTTCTTATTCTCCAGTCAGAGACGTCAGGAAGACATTTTGTAGTTGGCTATTGTAGTTGAGATTAAAAATTGATGTCATCTCTGGAGAGGAAGCAGGTAGAAATACGTCGTTCTCCTGCTCCTAGGAAGGAAATAGATCCATGGCGTTCTGTTTAGATGCATCCTGTGCCATTCTACATGTGTATTTTCTATTTCTTTATAAATATGTCAGGGACAAAGTAATTCCTTGGCTTGATGTAATGCCAAACCCCATCACAGATTTCAGCTTTTTTTGGCTAGGATAATTCCATATCAGTCCTATGAAGCCTTATCAGTCAGGTATGTGGGTTAACTACTTCTGTTTGATTTCTATCTTGAGCTTTGGAATTAAGGATGAAATGGTGCTGTTTTTCCATTAAAAACATGCATCTTAAGCATGTTCCTAGTTTCCACCCCACTCTTTCAATCATGTGATTTTTGGCAAATAAAAAACCAAGTGCAATAGGAACATAGTTTGTGTAAGAAGAAAAAGAGGAGTTTAAATATGAATTTCAAACGGGATTTAGTTCTTGCAAAAGTCTATGTTGGAATTGGCACTCTTCCAATAAATGTTAGGTTTTCTCCTAATACATCTTTGGATGCTTCTTCTGATTTTTCTTTAACTCAGAGCTGACTCTTGTTGAGATTTGAATATGAATGGATAATTATAAACAAAAAGAATGTTTGCTATTCTTAAAACTTTTATGCATTAATATGAGAATTACTATTTACATCATTGTAAGCAATCAAACATGCTATAACTTAGAATTTGAAAAGTTTCAAAAGACAATAATGATGATTTCCGATTGATTGATCTTTTTCTTTAACACCTGGCTATCATATTTATTTATTTATTTATTTCTCTTTCCTCTTGAAGGTGATAATGAGCAGGACCATAAAGAGTCAAGGGAATCGTTCCAAGGGCTCAGACATGGAGATGTAATGGAGAAGCCTGCAATTCAAATGGAACTCCACAAGCAGGATAGAAACCTCTCAAATAATTGGAATAAGGAAAGCTCATCTTCCATTATTAATCACATACAGGAGTTTCTTGAGCAACTGGAAAAAATAGAGAAAAAATATATGGGGAAAGGTGTAAAACTATCCAAAGACACATTAGAGGTAAATGAACACTATCCATCCACATCCAAAGGACAAGATTATATATGCAAAGACAATGAAAAAAAATACAATTGGACTTTCCCATTTTCTCAGGGAAATGGGACTCTAACATCACATAAAAGTCTTCCCATCGGGGAGCATCCGGAGAAAGGCTTGGAGAATGGAAAGAACTTCTGTGAAAGGAAGACTTTTACTGTTCAGAAAAGGAATCAAACAGGGGAGAAGCCATATAAATGCACAGAGTGTGGAAAGGGCTTCAACAGGGAGAGTAATCTTACATCCCATCAAAGGATCCACACAGAAGAAAAGCCCTTTATATGCACAGAGTGTGGGAAGTGCTTCAGAGTACTCAGTAAACTTATTTCCCATAAAAGAATCCACACAGGGGAAAAGCCATTTAAATGCATGGAATGTGGAAAGACTTTTACTTATAGGAAACAACTTAGTTCCCATCAATTAATCCACACAGGGGAGAAACCATACAGATGCATGGAGTGTGGAAAGGGCTTCAGCCAACACAGTAAACTTACTACTCATAAAAGGATCCACACAGGGGAGAAACCATTCAAATGCATGGAATGTGGAAAGAGCTTTCGCCACTACAGTGGTCTTACATGCCATAAAAGGATCCATACAGGAGAGAAACCATTTAAATGCATGGAATGTGGAAAGAGCTTCAGTGTAAACTGCAATCTTACTTCCCATAAGTGGATCCACACAGGGGAGAAGCCATTTAAATGCACGGAGTGTGGGAAGACTTTTAGTCAGAGCAGTGCCCTTACTCTCCATAAGAGGATCCACACAGGGGAGAAACCATTTAAATGCAGGGAATGTGGAAAGTCTTTTAGTCAGAGCCATCACCTTACTCGCCACAATAGGATCCACACAAGGGAGAAGTCAAGATAAATGCATGGACTGTGGAGAGGGTTTTAGGAGCAATGACTTAATTTCCCATATAGAGATACACTTGAGTGAGAATCTATGTTAATTCTAGAAAGTTAGTTAAATTTATGATTTTTTTTTTTTTTTTTGTATTTACAGAGATTGAGCTTGGAAAGACATTTTTTTTAGTTTGATCCTCCCCACTGGAGCCTGAGGGAGATGAGTTTATTCATGAAAATGTAAAGAATGGGGATGTGCCATTTTAATTATGAACCCTTTAATTATGAACTCTGAATTTTTGAATGTATCTATATTTAGCTACAATTTTTTTTTCCAAAAGTGAAGCCACCTATTCTCTAGTTGTTTGTTGTTCCCACTTGATCACACTAAAAGAGTTTAAACTTTTCTTCTTTTCCCTAATCTTACAATTGTTTCACCTTCCTTTCTTATTCATTAATACATACTGAATTTCTTAGCTTCTCTGTCCTCAGAAAAGTTGGAAATAGTGCAGCAGAATGATTCCAGGCTTTTTAACATATGTTTATAATCCAAAAAGAATTCAAGTTCCTTCAAAGTTTAGAGTGAGGTGGAATGTGATATTATATTGTTCCATTGAGTAATTGTGATATTGCCTTAAAAGAGGCAAGAGGTTTTCTACTCTTAATTTTTCATGATTCCCCCTCACACTCTTTTGTCCCAAGTTAGGGATACTCACTAAAATAACAAAGTGATGCCACTGTGCTGACATTTTAAATGATCAAACAAGAAAGGTGACAATTGCAAATCAGTGGGACCAAAATAAATAAGCTTGAGTTTAAAAAAGACTATTTTAGAAAACTACTTGTGATCCTCCTGACCACAAATGAAACGTGGAGCCACCTCTGTGATGTGAAGAATTCCAAAAAAGACTCAAAGTTGCATCCACGGTGTAGAACTGTGACCTGAGGCAGGTACTATGTATGGAGAAGCATGGAGCCTTCTTTAGTGAAAGGCCTCATAATCTGAGGGAATTGTCACATGCACATCAATGTACAGTGTGTGAGAAGAGCTGAAGGGATGAAGGATTCCTCTCTCACAAAAGGCGCTAGAATGATGAGAAGCTCCCCAAATGCATGTGTAAAATCTTTTTTCAGGCATTACGGCCATATTTTACTCTTCTAAAGTGTGGTGAAGACTACGAAATTGTCTAAATTTGATTTAAATAAAATATCAATGGTATAGTTACTTTCAAGTCATGTATCAAGCTCTTTTTCTCTGTAGTTGCATTAAAAATGTGGTAATAGTAGAAGCATAATCCCTCCCAGCACTGGCGGTCCCTCTTGGTGGCGGTAAGCTGTAGTTGGGGCCCCACTTGCATAGGTTCTTTGGGGGAAGTGGTTCCTCATGGAGCTTTACCGGCGGAGGTGAGTCCGCTCTCCATCTCTGTGCTCGCCGTTGCTGGAGCTGTTTGTCTATATGCACACGGAGGTGCATGAGGGCCTATAAATTACTGAGACGGTCCGTACGGCCAGCTCATCCAGAAGCTTCAATGACAGAGCCTCCTGGAACTGATCAATGAGGGCCTCCTGGTTCCATCTCAGGTCCTGGCTTATCAATTGGAAGTTGCTGGTATATTCTATGATTGACTGTCGCCCCTGCTTTAGCTCAGCAGCTGCTGGTTCGCCTTCTGGGCCTTCACGGCAGGGGTGAAATGCTCCCGGTTTGGACCGGATTACCTAATCCGGTAGCGATGGCAGCGGGTGGTTCGGAGAACCAGTAGCAAAAACCCCTGCCTCACCATGCCTAGCTGAGCCGCACAATCATCAGAGGCTTTTTAAAAAAAAATTAAAAGCATTTTTTCTACAACCTCTTCAGCCAAGCTAGAGGGAATAGCCAATGGTTTATAACGGGTGTCAAACTAGCGGTCCGAATGCATCACATACAGGGCACACAAACTCCCAGCTTCACAAAGGCAAACAGCGTCACGATACGTCACAATATGTCACGTGACACGATCGAGTTTGACACGTGTGGTTTATAAGATAGGCTCATGATCCAAAAGGATCTTGACAGACTTAAAACTAGATTCTATCTGATGAGGAGAATAAGGTTTTAAACTTAGGGAAGAAAAAAACCACAAATATATTAGTACGGAAGATATTGTAACTGGTTCAACAGCAGTAACTGTGAGAGGAATCTAGAGTTTTAGGGGGATAAGCACTTAAATATGAGCCAGCAGTATTCTGCAGCTACCAAAAAAGCTAATGCAGCCCTAGGATGCATCAATAGAGGGACAGTATCAAGATCATGTGAAGGGTTAGTTCCACTTTATACTGCACTGGTAAGACTACACTTGGAATATGGCATCTAGTTTTGATCACCATGATACAAAAAAAAAAAAAAATGAAACTCCAGAAACAGTGCAGAGAATAACAACAAAGATGATTAGGGACAGGAGACTAAAACATGAAGAGCAGATGCAGGAACAGAATAGGTCAGGGGTCGGCAACCTTAAATACTCAAAGAGCCATTTGGACCTATTTCCCAAAGAAAAGAAAACACCGGGAGCCCCAAAACTCTTTTGAACATCTAAAATGAAGATAACACTGCATATATCATTTTTTATATTTATGCTATGTATAAAAAAACCATAGCATGTTGCATTTATGAAATCAATGAACTGCTACAGAGAAAACAAATTTTTATTTCTGCATGCAACAAAAACATTTTGAACTTTGAAAAAAAAAATGGGTCGAAAAGCTCAATAAATCACCTGCCGGTGGGTGTCGCACATAGGTAGTTGTGACACATATTTTGAATGACAGAGCCACAGCAGAGGGATGAAAGAGCCACATGCGGCTCCAGAGCCATGGGTTGCGGACCCCTGGGATAGGTCTAATCTAAGGAAGAGAAGGATTAGGAATGACGTAACAGAAGCCTTTCAATACTGAGGGGCTGCCACGGATAAGAAGAGGTCAATCTATTCTTCAAAGAACCAATGAAATTTGAGGAGTTGATGAGGAGCATGAGATGAAGTGTACTATGTCCATTTCTTCTTCTTCTTTTCTTCTGCCTACCATTTCAAATCCTTCACTGTGGGGATCAGAGATCCTGAGGGAGGGAGGCTTCCATCAAATCTCCCCCAGGAACTGTTTTTTTAAGTAGGATTTCTCAGGAAGATCCAGGTAAGGATAATTCAGGAGGTAATATAAGGCAGTGGTGGGATTCAATTTTTTTTTACTACCGGTTCTGTGGGCATGGCTTGGTGGCAGGGGTGATATCTAAAAATTTTCCCTACCTGTTCTGTGGGTGTGGCTTAATTGGTGGGCATGGCTTGGTGGTCAGGTGACCCGGTGGGCATGGCTTGGTGGTCAGGTGACCCGGTGGGCGTGGCAAATAATAAATAATAAAAATAACAAACAAAATACACAAAACAATAAGAGGTACCAAAAACCAACTTTCACACTTTACACACACAACACAACACAACACAACACAACTGACTCACACACAATGTAAAAGCAGCTGCACTTGATCCAAAATGGCCCCTGCAACAAGCAGGAACCTCACACAGCCACAAAAAGCTCAAAAACCAACTTTCACACTTTTTCCACATAAAATGCCACATACAGCTTTGTGAGATTTTGTGTGTTTGTGTAGTTAGAGTGAAATACTACAGAAACACACCAAATCTCAGAAAGCTGCACAAATATTTTATTATTTTATTTTATTTTATTTATATTTTTAGATAAAAGCAGCTAAATTTAAAACTTCTTTAACTTTAAATTGCTATGTCTAAAAAAAAATAAAACTCCTAAAAAAACCCACCAATTTTAACTATTTTTTTAAAGCTTCCCCCCCCCCAAAAAAACCCAGTTACTTACCAAATTGAAGGCACAAGGCAGGCAGATTCAGTTGCTCACTGATGAGTTTGATTGCAGGCAGGCAGATTCAGTTGCTAGCTGATGCAATTGATTACAGCAGCCGAAGCAAGGCAGGAAAAGCGAGCAAGCTCGAAAGAAGCAGTAAACTGCCAAGTAGACAAGTGGGGACGGGGCGATTGGGTGGGCATGGGCGGGGAGGTGAGGGGGGGGGCAGGGATTTTTGCTACCGGTTCTCTGAACCACCCGCTGCCATTTCTACCGGATTGCCCAATCCGGTCCGAACCGGGAGCATTTCACCCCGCTTGGTGGGCATGGCAGACGAAGGATACTGCAAAATCTCCATTCCCACCCCATTCCAGGGGAAGGATACTGCAAAATCCCCATTCCCACCCCACTCTGGGGCCAGCCAGAGGTGGTATTTGCCGGTTCTCCGAACTACTCAAAATTTCCGCTACCGGTTCTCCAGAACCTGTCAAAATCTCCTGAACAGCACCCCTGATATAAGGTCCTCCTATTCCCCATAGAGATCCCAACCGTTTCATCTCTCTCTTTTTTTTTTTTTTAATTTGATTTATATGCCGCCCTTCTCCGGAGACTCAGGGCGGCTTACAATGCGTTAAGCAATAGCCTTCATCCTTTTGTATATTTATACAAAATCAGCTTATTGCCCCCACAAACTGGGTCCTCATTTCACCTACCTTAGAAAGGATGGAAGGCTGAGTCAATAGTTCTATAGAGCAATTCTTCCTACGTTACTAATTATGCATTTTAAAATTGGGTCTCCCTCACAAAGAAGAGTAGAAAGGAATGGACTCTTCCTACGGTAGAGCTGAAATAGAGGTTAAAATTCCAAGTAAAGTAAGAGGAGGAAATTATTAGGTTTGTATTATGCCTTTCCTACAGAAAGTCAAGCTAGTATAGATAATACTGTCACCTTTCTTACCTCTTGTTTGGGTTTGCTCTTTTTTTTTTTTTATTCCTGAGCAACAAAAATTTAAGTGAAATTGTTATTAGGAAATGTTGTTTTTAAAACCAGTACTTTAAATACAACATTCTTTACTAAATTATAACATTGCCCAAAGGAGGTTGAGAAGGCTTCCTGATCAAGGGAAACATGAGAGCCCCCTCCTGGCCCTGCAAGGGAAATGCGCCATCTCTCCTTTTTTCATGAGCACCTTCCATGTACAGAAAATCCATTAGAGGGCTCCCTCTGCAAAGAGGAAGGAACACCATGCACTTCAGCGTTGAGCCGCTGTTGCAGGTTGGGAAGGCAGTGACATCACTAAGCCTTGCCTTTCTAGGATGCTGGAATCTCTCTCTCTTTAACCCTTTAAGCTTCGCAGGCAGTTAAAAAGGCTGCAAGGAAGTCTTGAAGGAAAGAGATGGCAAGGGTAGGTGTTTGTGGGTGGGTGGGTCCTATACAAGGAAAGGCAGAGGATTCTCGCAGTAGAGAAGGAAAGGATATATACCAATCTTAGGAGTGGGAGACCCCCAGATCCCATGTTTCCCTGCCACTCTTTTCCATAATTGTAACAGGGAGGGATCAAAGCACAGCTGCCAGAAGATGCATGCTGCCTTCAGGAAGAATTCCAGATCCCAGAAAGGAAAGGGATAGTCCTTAACCATTTCCTGGGAAAAGCTGGGTAGGGGAAAGGGGGAGCTTGCATGGCAAAACTCAAGCAGGAAACAAAAACAACTTTGAAAGGAAGAGAGGCAAAAGATGACGCCTACGTTCTCACTCTGTGCTGGATGACACTAAACTAGGTTTGGAGCTTCTTGCAACTCAGTTTGTTTTAGGAAGGTAGTGAACCAGGTCATTATGTTAAGCTGTAGTGCATTTAACCCTTTATGTTTCATATGAAGTGAGCGTAGGAAGAAATATCCTTCTGGGTTCAGTTCCAAGTGGGGAAAAAAGACACTGGAAACATGGAGACTGCTTGGAAAGATGGTTTAATGGTGGACAGGAGTTCCTGAACAGAAAAAGGGCGAGATACAGTGAGTCCCCGGGTTTTATGCTCTCTCTGGCTTTGAACTTCCTGGGCCCCCGAAAGAGTATTCTGATTGGTTGTCAGACTCCCAGGGGGTGGGGGTCTTAGCTAGCCCTGCTGGCTGATGTAATCTTCCCAGGTCACATGTGGTGAGTTTCTGTTGCTAGATGGGTCCTATTGTGTTGCAGATTATGGCCCATTAACAAAGGTGTGGGGGGTGGGCAAGAAGCTGCTTTGTCTTTAAAACATGTTTCTCCATTTCTCATCCAGGGAAATATAATATTCTGCCTTTTTAATATTTCCTAAAATATTTCATTCTTCCAGGAAAGGGGTGGGTACTAACTTCCTACATGAGCACATTGGATTTGATTGACCTGTTTGTGCTTAGGACACATTGTGTGAACCTGCCCACCGGTGTGAAGGAAGAAAGAGAAATGGAGCAGGGTCAAAGGATTGTCATTTCATTTTTTTGTGAATGGAATTTTCATGCTTTGTCAACTTGTTCTGGGTTTTTGTATGTTGTATGTTGGGTGAACCCTGCTTAATAGGTAAATGTAGATCTATATTTTTAAAAAACACGCCTTTCCCTTTGAGTAAAAAGAAATTGAAATTATCCAAAATGCCATATGCACTGAATCTTCCTGATGGAAGTCACCACTCCTTCTATGGGGATGAGTGTCGATAAATGGTCCAATCTACTACTTTAGGGTTGTTTGAATTTATTCTTTTTTCTATAAGAAATTTGCAAAAGGAAGGCCGTTTGTTGATCTTTGTGTAGTTATCACTTTGGCAAAGAGGGCTTAATGGCTTGTTCTGGGATTTCCATGGCTAAATGAACATTGCTATGAATGAAAAAGCATTTGGAGATACACAACTTTCCTTGCACCAATTTAGAATTGTGTTTTAGGAGAGAGAAAGAATGGCAAACCGTCCTTTACCAAGTGGGGAAAGTGGAAAAGGATCTTCCGGTGCTCAGTCTGGAATCGACGGGGAGATCTGGGCAAGAACTGGGCAGAAGATGCTGGAAGAAGGAACCATCGTTTCACAAGTTCACGCCTGGAACTTCAGGAGCTTCCAATACAAGGAGGATGAGGGTCCCCGAGGACTTTGCAGCCGGCTCCATTCCTTTTGTAGTCGATGGTTGAGACCAGAAAAGCACACAAAAGCGCAGATGCTGGACCTGGTTGTTCTGGAGCAGTTCCTGGCGCTTCTGCCCCTGCAGATGGAGAGCTGGGTGCGGGAGTGTGGAGCAGAGACCAGCTCCCAGGCGGTGGCCCTGGTGGAAGGCTTCCTCCTGAGCCAGGCGGAGGAGGAGAAGGAGCATGTTGAGTTGCAGGTGAGAGGACGTCCTCCTGGGATTCCTTGAAAAAGTTAAATATAATAAACGAGAAGTTCACATTTTTGTATCCTTTCCTTAATCCTTTTATTAAGCTTATCAAAATATAAAATACAAAAAAATGAAAATAGTAGGAAATGGGTGGTGGGAAGGGAAGGGAAAGAAGTGTAGGGGAAAGGGGGAAAAAGAAAGAAAACCATTGACTTTTTTTAGTGCAGTCACATAAAATGGTAACATCACAGCTTCAATGTTTTACTTTTACATATTTAATATGTACCAGCAAATTCTGTAACAACAAACGTACGTAATCAGCAAAACTCAATCAAAGTTTCATTTTTTTTCCATCTCTGCTAGTTTCATCAGTTTTCCCAACCACTTCTCCATTTGGCAATTAACGTATCCTTCCGCTTTTATACATAAAGGGTTCTTGATGCTCTCAACATATATAACAGCAAAATTCAAGATAGTTTTTCAATCTCTTTGTCTATTAAACCTAAAAGAAAAGTCTCTGGTTTGATTTTCATACCCACTTTAAGAATCTTCTGCAGTAAAATATAAATTTTACCCAGGGGTGAAATCTAATTTTTTTTTGCTATCGGTTCTGTGGGCGTGGCTTAATTAGTAGGCAGGGCTTGGTGGTAAGGTGACTAGGTGGGTGTGGCCAAGTCAATGTCACTTCTTTGCCCTTTTTTAACCTACAAAACACAACACAACACAACACAACTGGCTCATCCACAATGTAAAAGCAGCTGTGCTAGACCCAAAATGGCCCCTGTAAAAAGCAGGAACCTCACACAGCCACAAAAAGCCCAAAAAACCAACTTTCACACTTTACACACACAAAATTCCACATACAGCTTTGTGAGATTTTGTGTGTTTGTGTAGTTAGAGTGGAACAGTACAGAAACACACTAAATCTCAGAAAGCTGCACAAATATTATTTTATTTTAATTTATTTTTATTTTTATATAAAAGCAGCTAAATTTAAAACTTCCTAAACTTTAAATGGCTAGGTCTAAAAAAAGAACAACTAAAAAAAACCCCAATTAATTATTTTTTTTAAAGCTCCCAAAGGGGAAAAAAACTTACCCAATAGAATAGGGGTCTCCAACCTTGGCAACTTTAAGACTTGTTGATTTCAACTCCCAGAATTCCTCAGCCAGCTTTGCTGGGAGTTGAAGTCTACAAGTCTTAAAGTTGCAGATAGACCTGCTCACCGATGAGCTTGATTGCAGGCAGGGAGATTCAGCCGCTTGCTGATGCAATGGATTGCAGGTATTACAGCAAGTGAAGCAAAGCAGGCGTTGCGACCAGTAGCTAAGGTAAGGGGGGGGGGGAGAAAAAAAGAAACTTTTTTTGTTTTAAATGGGTCTGACAATCCAAGCTGAGTTGCCTGATTAGCAGGCAACTCAGCTGGGATTGTCAGAGCTTGGATCATCAGCGCTTGGCTCGTCAGAGCCATTTAAAAGAAAAAAAAGGCTCTGATGATCGTGCAGCTCAGCTGGGCATGGGGGGCGGGGGGCAGGAATTTTTGCTACCGGTTCTCTGAACTGCCCGCCGCCATCGCTACCTACTCGCCCGAGCCAGTCCGAACCGGGAGCATTTCACCCCTGATCTTACCCCAGTATTTCTTTGCTTTGTCACAAGTGCAGCAGAGATGGTAAAAAGTTCCTTTTTTACATTTAAATTTCAAACATGTATTTGAAAGTTCTTTATATATCTTTGGTAGTTTAACAGTAGAAGGATACATCTTTTTATAAAAGATTTATTTTAAATTATAATTTAATACAAATTTTAAATTCTTCAACCACGTCTTCCCCTGTTCAGGCATTACATTATACCCAAACATCTTTGCCTTTGGATCAATGTATTCAAATTTTGAAGTTTCTTACCAGACTTTCCTGGCATTCATACTATGTGTAGATGCTTCACTAATCTTTGTGTAGTTCCCTTATCCATTCTAGAAGAAAGATTTTGCACAGGGATTTCTTTCTTCCTTCCCAGCCTAATTGATCGACAGCAAGTGATTTGCAGTGGTGTTCACCGGAAAAGAAACCACTTCATGATGTGTGATGTCCATTAATTCTTTTCTCCTATTTCAAGTCTTTCGCAATGGAGATCAGAGATCCTGAGAGAAAGAGGCATCCGTCAAATCTCCCTGAAGAACTGTTTTTCAGGGGGATCCCTCATGGAGATCCAATTCAAGACACCTCAGGAGGTAATATAAGATCTTTCCACTCCTTTGATCAATCCTAACTTTCTCATCTTCTCTGTGTCCTCTCCTCTATAGCATTCCTCCTCCCATTTTACTCATGATGCTTTTTGAAATTCTGTCTCCCTCACAGGGAAGAATAGAAGGAAGTTGACTCTTTGTTTTAGGGGAGCAGAAACCAGGATTGAACCTCCAACTCAGGTAAGAGAAGAACATTCATTTACTAGATTTTTATTTTCCATTTCCATCAGGAAATCAGAGGATGTGGACAGCATAGGTAGTAGTCGTAAGTGTGGAAAATGGGCATGTCATTTTTTTCGCTGCTGTGTAACTTTGAACAGTCACTAAAAATTAAAAGCTGTTGTTAGTCGGGAACTACATGTAGTGTCTTCTGCCATTTTGCCCTCTGCTTTTGGTTGGAGATTCTTTTTAGGAATTTTTTTTAAGACTAGTATTTTAAAAACAAAACTCTTTTGCTAATTACCATGTTTACCCCAAAATAAGACCCGGTCTTATATTCTCTTAGGCCCTGAAATAAGCACTCAGGCTTATTTTTGGGGGTGTCTTATTTTTTTCACATAAGGAGGTGGCGAGCTCGTTGGCCCAGCCCTCTCCATCCCACCGCCTGCCTGCCTTCGGCCACAGTGGCCCAACCTTTCAGCACACCCCGGTCTCCACCTGCCCTGCTTCTTGGGCCTGCTGCTGCTGGGACACTTTTGGCCCCTGACTGCCAAGGGGCTGCCTGTGCTGTGTAGGCCTCCTGGCAGTGCTGCTTTCGGCCATCTTGCTGGGTTGCTCCTGCCTGCTGCGGAATGTGTCATCCCAGATCTATGACTTATGGAGTGCTCCCCTGCTGCAGGTGGAGCTGTGACACCCACGCTGCCTCGCACAGCCAGCATGAGAGGTAGCACCCACCAGGGCCACGGCTCGAACAGTGCCAGGCTCAACTCATAGCCCGGCGCTTGCATAGACCTGCGGGAAGGAGCTCAGCAGTCCAAAGGTGGCAGTGCGTAAGGTGGCATGGTTCCACCAGTGGCCATTGGCAAAGGGGTCTCTGGCAGGCTGGCGATTGGAGGGTGCTCCGGAGGTCGTAGATCTCGGCCGACTTGCCCCGCCCCAGGCAGGAGCAGCCCAGCAGGGTGGCCAAGAGTAGCGCTGCAAGGAGGGCAAAGAGCTCCCATGGAGCCAGCAGCAGTACGGGCAGTCGCTCATGCCAGTGGCTACAAGGGAGTGGCGAATGTGTCAGAAGGGAAAAGCAGGACTTGGCTTACAGCAGCTGCCTGAAATGTGCTTGCAGCGACTGCTGGACACGAAGTGGGCAACCCTCTGCCTCCGCCGGCTGCCGGTGCTGTCCCTGCATGTTTTGGAAGGGGGGGCGGGGAAATCATGCAGTCTCTCACCATTGCTCTACAAAGCCGAGCATAGGGAACAACAGCTGCACCTTCTCCCTTCGAAAATATGCTGGGATGTGATCTAAGTAAGACCGGCTTGTCCTACTGTTGAAATGCCTCCAGACTCTTTCCTGAAGGGAGGGTGGCTCTTCTCTGTGTTTCGCCATCATGTGCAGTGCAAGGGGCAGTGCGCAAGTCTAGTTTTTGTTTTTGATGCACTCGCCACTCGCAGCAACTGGGACTGCTGCAGGGGGCACCAGCAGCAGGCAGGCGCTTGCTTCTCCCCCCATTCTTTTCTCCTCTGCTTCAGCCCAGGCCAGCCCTCCACCCAGCAGCTAAGGATGAGGGGCTCGCCCACCTCTCCATGAGGCCCCTCAGGGAACTCGGCATGCAAATCAAAAGAAAGCGCTGCGAGTCCAGGTGTCCTTTCCGTTTGTTCCCCCTCCTCTCTCTCTTGCCCCCTCTCTCTCCCTGGGAACTGTGTGGGGAGAGGGGAAGGCCATCAAGGGGACGCTGGCAAGGCACTCTTGGCAAAGCCTCCCTGCTGCCAGAGCCCAGAATTTTAAGGCAGAAAAGTGAAGGGGGGGGTGCATTTCAAAGGCCCTGGAGAAAAAGAGCAAAGCTCTTCTGTTTGCTGTCCGAAGCAGATGCCGAGGCCGACCCTGCGGGAAGCAATCTGCTTCTCCACACAAAACTTCATGGGCTTTGCAGAACCATAGGTCTGCAACAACAGTTTTGCCTCCTCCCTTCGAAAACACGCCAGAATGTAATCTAAATAACACCAGTGGTGGTGAAACGTTTCCCAAAAAGGGGGACAACCAATGGGAAGGACGAATGGACTCGCAGTGCTTTGTTTTGATTTTGGCGCTGCTGCTGGCTTGGAAAGAATGCCTTTTACACTTTAGTTTTGGCATGCCGTGTCACCCGAGAGGTTTCATGGAGAGGCGGGCAAGCCCCTTGTCCTTCGCTATGCGGCTTCTCTCCCCCGTTTCTCCTGTGCTTTAGCCCAGCCTTGCCCTCTTTCACCCTCCAAAGAGGGAGGCCAAGGTTCAAAGGGGATGAGAGAGCCAGGACAAATCTGAAAGAAACAGACCCTTCCTCCCATGCCGGTTTTCCATGAGCAAGCCCGGGGAGCAGCTGACAAAGAGGCAGCCCTCAAGCAACTGCTCTCCTGTTCCTCCTTCTTCCTTCTGAAGTGAGAGTTGAAAAACTCCATTGTTTCTAATCACCATCGCACTGCCTATCTTTGCTTGCTGAGTGTGTGGCAGAACTGGAGGACTAGGTTGGACCGTGGGGGCTGAACAAGCACGGACTACGGCGTGGCACCATCCCGGCCTGCCCCTTGGCTTCAGTCACCTCACGGAGGCACCAGGAACAACTAGAGGTGTGAGGGTGAGTGGAAAAGGCACATTATCCGGCCCGCAGCTGTGGGCAAGCAAATATGGACAGAGTGGCAGAGGATCCACATGGCGCATCTGGTAGGTCAGATCGTGAACCTCGAGGCAAGTGATGGGGCAGGGATGGCGCCACGACGTAGCCCCTGCTGTCAGGTTTTGAGGTCATCTAGTTGATGTCAGCCCTTCAAGCTGCATTTACTCTAGTGCTGACATAAGAAGGAAAAGTGGAGGCGTCTGGAAAGGGACGTTTGACTTTTCACCTACTTATTTTCCCTGGAGATAATATCCCCTAGGAGATGGGATGGGAGGGGGGAAATTCCTTTGAGCTGGAGCAGTAGATTAGGGGTAGAGTGACTTGGAAGATGGCCAATGAGTGCAGGGGAGTGGGGAACGGAAAGGGAGGGTTTTGGGTCTGGAAGTCAGTGTTGGCTGTCTGTCAGGTTTCGAGGTCGTCTCAAATAAATTGCATTTCAAACAAAGTCTTTGAAGAAAAATTCCCATTTATTAAGCACAACATTCTAACTCCGACTCCATCGCAGCCAACACTGACTTCCAGACCCAAAACCCTCCCTTTCCGTTCCCCACTCCCCTGCACTCATTGGCCATCTTCCAAGTCACTCTACCCCTAATCTACTGCTCCAGCTCAAAGGAATTTCCCCCCTCCCATCCCATCTCCTAGGGGATATTATCTCCAGGGAAAATAAGTAGGTGAAAAGTCAAACGTCCCTTTCCAGACACCTCCACTTCTCCTTCTTATGTCAGTACTAGAGTAAATGCAGCTTGAAGTGCTGACACCTGCATTCTCAGCCCCCGCCATCCAACCTGGTCTTCCAGTTCCACCACACACTCCGCACAAAGACATGCCTCCCGCCCGCCCCCACGCAGGCTGCAGTTGCTTCCAGACACCATCTGGCCCCACGCACGTGCTCGGCACCTCCTACGATGGCCATGCCCACTGCCCCACCCTCCCTGATGACATTCTGAACTCGGGCTTATTTCGGGGTAGGGCTTATATTATGAGCAGCAGTAAAAACCATGCTAGGTCTTATTATCGGGGTGGGTCGTATTTCCTGGGAATCACTATATTCATGCTTTTCAATAAAAAATGTTTTATAGAATTCTTCATGGTGCCCTTTTATGTAATTCTTTGAGTTGGATTTCTGCAAGGATCCTCAACAATATTTAAATATTTAGACTGGCAAATTACCATTTTTGAGAAGAATGTCTACCATATTCATAAGAAAAGGATGTGGTTAATAGCTAAGTTTAAATCCTAGGACCGTGGTCATATAGACATGTCTCCAAGTAAAACTTGTTCTGAAAGAGAATATAAATTTTGCTTTCAAAGTAAATATTAATCCCCTGATTTTTGCCTGGATTTGGAAGCCAAACAATCCCCCTTTGGATTAATAGATCCAGAAGGAAGAGTATTTTGTTGATGGTTGGCTGGCTGGCTGGCTGTTTGGTAGATCAATTGATCAAGGAGGAAACTGGGTTTATTTAACCTGAATGGCACCGAAAGTCCAAGAGAATCATTCAAGTTGATAAAACCTGCCTAAAATATTTCTTTAGTCAAATGCTTTTTGTTCTGTCCATTTTGTCATCTAAACCACGGATTACTAAGCACAGCCACTTACTTCAGTGTATATATTTGCTTTGGGCATTTCTAAATAAGAGGAAAGATGCTGCAGTCCCTCCTCGGTCTGTTCTGTACTTTTTTTTTTCCTTTCAGGAGAGTCTTGTGTCCTTTGAGGAGGTGGCTGTGTATTTCCCCGAGGGGGAGTGGTCAAAGCTGGATCCTCACCAAAGAGCTCTGCATTGGGAAGTCATGCTGGAGAATTATAAGAATGTGGTCTCTCTTGGTAAGGGTTTCCTACTCTCCAGTCAGAGAGTTCAGGAAGACATTTCGTAGTTTATTTATTATTTATTATTCAAATTTCTATACCACCCTTCTCCTTTCGGACTCAGGGCGGTGAACAGCCAAAATAAAAACATCTATACATAACATTTACAGTTAAAAATAGAGTTAAAATAATTTATAAATTTGGCCCGTAATTTAAAACTTGTCAATTTAAAATCAATATTAAAATTTTAAAACTAACCCTAAAATCAAGACAGACCGGCTAACTGAAAAAAATAAGTTTTTAGGGCCCGACGAAAAGTCCGGAGGTCGGAGATCACTCGTATCTCTGGGGGTAGATTGTTCCATAGGGTAGGTGCCACCACAGAGAAGGCTCTCCTCCTGGGGGTCGCCAGTCGGCATTGTCTGGCTGACGGCCAGACAATGTCATTAGTTAGTAATGTCATTATTAGTATTTCTTCTGAAAACATCTCTAAATAGATATCCCCTCTTCAGAGGGAGAAGGAAAAGTTCTGTTTTTCTACTGCTCCTAGGAAGGAAATGGGTCTATGGCATTCTGCTTAGATGTATCCGATCTAATTTGTTTTTGTGTTTCTATTTAAACTTTTTAGTGACAAAGTAATTCTTTAGTTTGAGGTAATGCCAAACTCCATCACACAGATTTCAACTATTTTGGCCCAGATGCTTCTATATCATTCAAGTTTTTTGACTTAATGTCTTTTTCAAGGTTTTATGTCTCATCAATAGAGATATTATCATTTCAATACCTATTATATTATTATTATAATATAATATAAGGATACAGATATGCGGTATATATTAGAATTTGGCACAATACCTGAACGCAATTAATATGACTTCTGACGGAGTGATCTTTTTCCCTAACTTTTCTCTCACTTTCATTTCTTTTTCCCTTTGAAGGTGAGAATGAGACTGACAATAAAGATGCTGGAGAATCAATCAAAGTATTTAGACAAGGAGACGTAATGAAGAAACCTGCAATTCAAACAGAATTCCAAAGGCAGGAGAGAAACCTGTCAAATATCTGGAATAAGGAAAGCTCATCATCTTTGATTGTTGCTCAGATGCAGGAGTTTATTGATCAACGAGAAAAACTAAAGAAGACATATATTGGGAACAGTGTAAGACTCTTCAAAGACACATTAGATGTAAATGAACCCTGTCCATCACAAGCCAAAGGACCAGCCAATATATGCAATGAACATGGAAACAAGACTGTTAATGAAAGGACATGCACAAGGGAGAAGACGTATAAATGCATGGAATGTGGAAAGGGTTTTACCAAAAAGAGTACCCTTATTATCCATCAAAGGATCCACACAGGGGAGAAGCCATATAAATGCATGGAATGTGGAAAGGGCTTTATCAAAACGAGTACCCTTATTATCCATCAAAGGATCCACACAGGGGAGAAGCTATATAAATGCATGGAATGTGGAAATGGCTTTAACCAAAAGAGCAACCTTATTACCCATCAAAGGATCCACACAGGGGAGAAACCATATAAATGCATGGAATGTGGAAAGGGCTTTAGCCAAAAGAGAACCCTTATTACCCATCAAAGGATTCACACAGGGGAGAAGCCATATAAACGCATGCAGTGTGAAAAGAGCTTCAGGACAAGCAATGAACTTGCATCCCATCAAAGGATCCAAACAGGGGAGAAGCCATATAAATGCAAGGAGTGTGGAAAGAGCTTCAGAACAAGCAGTAATCGTACACGCCATCAAAGGATCCACACGGGGGAGAAGCCATATCAATGCATGGAGTGTGGAAAGGACTTCAGAACAAGCAATGAACTTGCATCCCATCAAAGGATCCACACAGGAGAGAAGCCATATAAATGCATGGAGTGTGGAAAGAGCTTCAAAAGAAACAGTCATCTTAACTGCCATAGACGGATCCACACAGGGGAAAAGCCATATAAATGCTTGGAGTGTGGAAAGGACTTCATAAAAAGCAATGATCTTATATGCCATAGACGGATCCACACAGGGGAGAAGCCATATAAATGCAAGGAGTGTGGAAAGGACTTCAGAACAAGCAGTGATCTTATATGCCATAGACGGATCCACACAGGGGAGAAGCCATATAAATGCATGGAGTGTGGAAAGGACTTCAGAACAAGCAGTGAGCTTACATGCCATCGAAGGATCCACACCACAGAGAATCGATATAGATGCTTGGAGTGTGGAAAGGGCTTCAGCACACCCCATAGTCTTATTTCCCATAACGTAATTCATAGACTGGAGAATCCTCAAAAGAAAGATATATTTGGGTGAGAATGTATGCTAATTATTGATTTAATGGGTTCTATGTATGGATTTACAATTTCCGGACTGAACTCTGAAAAGGGTTTTTGAATCTATTTGTATATACAGAACAATTCCTCTCTCACAAAAGGAGCCAGAAGTGCCTCAAGTGCTTGTGCAATTTTCTTTTCAGGCATTATGGCCATATTTTGCTCTTTTGTAGTGTGGTGAGGGCTAGGAAGTCCACATTTGGTTTAAATAGAATTAATTAAATATCAATGGTGTGGTTTTGTTCTAATCATGTTTTATACTCATGTATTAAACTCTTTAGTTGCTTTAAAAATCTATTAACACAAGAGTTTTGGAAGGATTTGGAGGGGGCGTATTTCAGGATTTGAGAGGCTCATGTTGATTTGAAGCTCAATTGTCAGTAATAGTTCTGGATCAAGCTGGGCAATAAAGAGACCGAAAAGAGCAGAGAGTTTAACTCAGTTCTTTTTTAACCCCTTTTTTCTTTCCATGTACATCCTTTCTTTCACTAATTGTAAGTAAATCTCTTTTTATTTTCCTTTGCATTGGTACCTCTATATGCAGAGGATTTTCTTCAAGCCATTGGAATCTTCAGATCTTGTGGTTGGAACGTCTTTCTCTGTTTATTTGCGATCTGTGGATTGATGAATCTCAGTATCATTGCTCAGTCTGGTCCAGGTTCTTTCTTGCCTCTCAAAGGCATTTTTGGGTCATAGAGATAAGCCAGAAGGATTAAGACCTCTCACAAGCCACAACGATCATTTAGGAGGGAAAAAAAGAATTATGCATAGCATGGATGAATAAAGGAGATGCATGGGAAGACAAGATAGAAAGTGGATAAGAGAAACAAGGAGATTACAGATAGTTCATGGGAGGACTGTAATTAAATGATCAACAAAGAAATTTATTCAGGGTTTCCTGCAGAAATTAAATCCAGAAAGCACACACAGGTAGACTGATTCAGCAGGACTGATTTAAATAAGAAACTTCTTTATATACAAGAATATATATACAATACCAACAGCAGAGAACAATTTCTTTCAACGTAGTAGAAGTTACAGGCAGAGCACAAGGCAGGAGAGAACAGTTAGTTTCATTTCAGCAGAGCAGACAAGCATCCACAGACTGCTTAGTTTCAGTTTCAATTCTCTGCACAGATGCAGAAGCTGCAGACTAAGACACGCCCTTGCTCCAGTCTGTCTCAGCTCCCAATTGGCTGACATAGTTGCTATGCCTATTCATTGGCTCACCTTGTTACTATGTCTTTGCCAGTTCATGAATAATTTGACAATTTAATAGTTGAAACTTGCAGTTATATTGAGAAGCTTACTCGGGTTTCAACCAAGGTCTAAAAACTTTTCTGCAGCTTGTTCTTCTTGCCTAGTTTGTTTTTTTTGTTTTTGTTTTTGGTCCTGCTGTGTAGTTTTATGTGTCTCCCAGGTTTCTTTCACCTACCTCCCTGAAGACAGAGGAGTAGCTTCTGACAGATTTCCTTTTCACCTTCGTGCAGCCTAACTTCTGTTAAAAATCATGTTGCAATTAGCTAAAAAATGGTGAGCAGAACCACCTAGTGAATGTAGGCTAAATCAGGTATGCATCAATCATGCATACATTACTATCAAAGATGACTTTTCCCTAGAATCATAAGGTCTGTTCTGTCCTCATTCAACGTTACTCTGTGTGCAGCTTGACATGCACCCAACTATCCTCCAATAAAACAGACCGTCTGCATAGATCTGGATGCTTTATTAAAGGAACAGGTTGGGTGAAACTGGAAAAATAGAAATACAGGTATTCCTCAAGGTACGAACCTAATGGATCAAAAAATGTGTCAAATGAATCAGATTCAATTTTACAAATTTTTAAAATCAAATTCATTAATTGAATCAAATGGCTTGTTAAATGAATGAAGATCTCACTTTCTGCCTGTCGCTGATCGGTTGTTTCCACAGGCGATCAGCTGATTCCGGTGCAGCTGAAGGAGGAACTAAATTGGCTCCAAGCAGGCTCACAGAGCTCTCCGTTTGCAATTTAAAAAAAATCCACTTGCTGCTCATCAGCTCAGGCGTCTTCGGACAGCTGCCCAGATGGGGTTTGGTGGTAATTTACAGTACTCTCAGATTGTAGTTACTTTTTTAAAAAAAAAACTTGCCACTATAGTAATTAGCTTAAGAGTCTCCAGCCAGGCTCCCAGAGGGAGATGGGGGAGGAATTTACAGAATTCCCCCATCAGCGCAGCAGAGCTGAACTGGGGCAACAGCTCGTGTGCCTTCAGAGAGGGTCCTGGGTGCCACCTCTGGCACACGTGCCATAGGTTCACCATATGGATATAGGGCAGTGACGGTGAACCTTTTTGGCTTTGCGTGCCAAAAGCCCAAGCGCGCTCGCGCTATCACGCTTGTGGGTGCCAGTGGCTGTCAATGGCATGGCCGGTGCACATGCGTGCTGAGAGAAGCTGCCCAGTGGGCATGCGTGTGCCGGGAAACAAACTTCTGGTTTCAGGTGCACGCATGCTCATCAGCCACCTAGTCTTCTGGTTACTGGCAAGCATGCATGTGGGATGATCAGCTGGTCAGTTGATCTTCTGGTTTCTGGCACAGCCCCATGCGTGAAGTCCTGCTGATCATCGCACACGCATGTGCACCAGTAACCAGAAGACTAGCTGGCCGGTGTGCATGCGTGCGCCAGAAATCCGGAAGGGGACTGGGCACCACTGTGCATGCCAGGCAACATGCCACCTATGGGACCCGTGCCATAGGTTCACCATCACGGGCCTATACATTCTTTCTGGCAGTTGCCTATCACACTCTTGGGCAAAGCATGTGAGCCATTTCCTCCTTTCAGTGGTCCATGAAAGTACATCTATAGTATGTAGATAATAAAGTTGAAAAAAGGTGAACAACATTTTTACAGAACTATAGATATGTTGAGGCTGTGTGTGACAAGAAATGGCTGGAAGGGGAGGGGCCAGGTGAGGGACCCCTTGACGTGAGTGACATTGAATTGGCCACGCCCACCCAGTCACATGACCATGAAGTCACTCCTACTGTCACATGACCAAGCCACGCCCACAAAATAAGCCCGCCCACATAACAGGTAGTAAAATTTTTTAGAATGGATCCCTGGTCCATACTCAGTAACTTCAATGTGGAGAGCTCTAATGGTGATACAGGTGAATAGAGCTGCCTACCTCTTACTGTTTGCTTGAAACCCTCTAGTGCCGTGATGGCGAACCTATGGCACGCATGCCACAGGTGGCACACGGAGCCATATTAGTGGGCACGCCGGCTCAGCTCTGGGGCGCATGCGCACGCCGGCCAGCTGATTTTCGGGCCTTCTGGGTCCACCAGAAGTAGGGAAACAAGCTGTTTCCTACCTCTGGAGGGCCTGGGGGGGGTTGGGGAAGGCCCGTTTTTCTTTCTTACCTGGCTCCAGATCCTCTCTATTTATCTGGGAAGGGCGAAAACAGCCTTTCCCACCCCCCTTGGAGGCCCTACAGAGGCTGAAAGGGCCCATTTCCCGACTCCCGGTGGGACAGGAAGTGACTTTTTTCCTGTCCTCAGCCTCCAGAGACTCCTAGAGAGGCTCCTACAGACTCCTAGAGAGGTTCTGGAGGCTGAGAACAGCAAAAAATGTCACTTCCTGTCCCACCGAGAGTTGTGAAGTAGACCCTTTCAGCCTCCGTAGGGCCTCCAAGGGAGTGGGAAAGGCTGTTTTCGCCTTTCCTAGATAAACAGAGAGGCTCTGGAACCAGGTAAGAAAGAAAAACAGGCCTACCAGGCCATTATGTGCCAGGAGCGGGGGAGGGGAGGGGGTTGCGCACACATGCGCGTGGGCACGTGCACGCGTGACCCTCCCCCGCCCCTTTCCTGGCACGCGATGGCAAAAAGGTTAGCCATCACTGCTCTAGTGTGACGCATGATCACAGGCCAGGAGCCAAAGACATCAAGGCCAACGTTAGTGAAAGGAGGATTTGTACTGAGTCTGTCGGCTGGAAGATCAGCCATCTTTTGTGTTTGTAATCCACCATGGAGCTTGCGACAAGAAATACACCTGAAGATTGCCTACTCACACATCTTTTAGCTCCAACTGTCCACAAACCAGCAATTCTTATAGCTCTATGATGGCAAACCTATGGCACTTCTCCAAATTCTAAAGGAAATGGGAGTCTGGCTTCCCAGCATGCACTTGATTTGAGAGTGCAGGCTGATGGTTAAATGGGTAGGATCAGCTTCAAACAATATACTTGGGGCATGTTTGTCTCTCTGGCCACTAGATGGGGCTAGAGCATTGGTGGGTTGTCCCCATTTCGGACCGGTTCTATAGAACTGGTAATAAAACCGGAGGGAGGCTCTGCCCACCGACCCCGACATCATCAGAATGCTTCTGTGTGGCCCCGTTGCGAACCGGTAGTAAAGGTAAGTAGAATCCACCCCTGGGCTAGAGGGCAACAACAGTATATAAAGAGAGTATGTTAGGGCATGTTTGTCCCTCCGGCCACTAGATGGGGCTAGAGAGCCACCATAGTATATAAAGTTATATGTAAGAAGAAATCAAACCCACATTATCCCAAATAAAATATTAAGCATAAGAAAAAAAGCCCTTAGAAATATTATCCATAAAGAAAAGCCTCAGAAAAGCCAAAAGACCACGGCACTAATAAAAACCGCCTGAAGCCCAATCCATATTCCAGCCAGATGCCTAAAGAAAACGTTGTAACAAGAAGCTAGCTGCTAAGGGATGCAGGCACTTAAGGAGATGAGCTTATTGAAAGAGCAATCCAATTATCTAGATGGCTCCATGCATAAGCAAAGCAAATGCTGCCTGCAGAAGTCCACTCATGACAGGATATTTCAAAACCCCTTACAGCAATTTTGACAGCTAACAAAAGCAGAGTGATAGGATTAGAGCAAGCAGTCCCTCACCCTAAAATCTAACACAGGACAGAGCCATCAGCCACAATAAGAATTACCTAACTCCCTTTCAGAACACAAAGCCCATATTGCATAAATCCCAAACTTCAAAGTTACAGAACCATATAAGAACCCTTCCACTCACCCAGCTTGTTGGTCAGCTGCCCCAGAACTGCATGCTGTGTACATCCAGATACAATCATTTGCATATTGGGAGTGGAGACCTCCAGATCCCATGTTTCCCTACCACCCTATTCAATGATGCTAACAGGCAGAGGGGAAAGCAGAACTCCAGACGAGGAATAAATTCAGGTAGCAAGAAAGAGAAATGGAGCTAAAATAGGGTAAGTTGACTGGCATTTCATTTGATGTGGACTAAATTGTCATTATTGTTAAATACAATGAATATTCTAGGTGGAATCATCAATTTACCATCTCAGAAAAGTCCTTCTATGGGGATGAGTGTTGTTGAATGGTTGTTGAGGGATTAATGGCTTGTTCTTGTATTCCCCTGAATACAAGAAAAAGCATTGAAAAGGATGTTCACTAACTAGATTATTATTTCCCTGTCCTTCAGGAAATTGGCTGATGTACATATTGTAGGTAGTGCTCGACTGAGCCCAAAATTTTTGTTGCTAAGTCTCCCTCACAAGGAAGGGTAGGAAGAAGTTGACTTATCTATATGGAAGAGCTGAAATAGTGGTCAACATTCCAACTCACACAAGACGATTTGTATTCTCCCTTTCCTTTGGAAAATCAAGCTGAGGTACATTGTACTGTCACCTTTCCTTTTATCTCTTTTGTTGTTGTTGTTGACTTATTCCTTCCTTCCTCAGCAACAGATTTAAATGAGATTCTTGTTAGGAATTTTCCCCCCTAATACCAGTACTTTAAATACAATGCTATTTACTACAGTAGAACAATGCCAAAAGCTTCTCAATCAAGGAGCCCCTTCCTGGCCCCACATGGGAAATGCACCATTTCTCCTCTCTTTGCAGGAGCACCTTCCGTGCACAGAAAATCCACCAGGGGGGGCACTTCAGCTTTTGGCCCCTGTTACAATTTAGGAAGGAAGTGACATCTTTCAGTTTTTGCCTTTCTAGGATACTGACTCTCACTCTCTTACTTTAACCCTTTGAGCTTTGCAGGAGGTTAAAAAGGCAGCCAGAAAGTCTGAAGGATCCAGAAGTGGAAAAGGTAGGTAGAGGTGTGTGTGCGTGTTGCCTAGTCCTCATCTAGGTTCAGTTTTTTGAGTTTTGGGAGTGGGAGACTCCCCGACCACCCTTTTCAATGATTCTAACAGGCAGAGGGGAAAGCGGAGCTCCAGAGGAGGAATATATTCTGGTCCCAGATCAGACAGGGGGGAGGGGGGGACTGGATAGTCTTTTCTGCCCCATTTCTTCGGAACAGCTCCTGCATAGGGGGAGGTGGGTGAGCTTGCATGGCAAAGACTGAGCAGGAAATCAGAAAGGATTAGCAAGGAACAGATGCAAAAGATTATGCCTGCATTCCCATTATGGGCTGGATGACACTGTTGGAAGAAACATCCTTCTGGGTTCTGCTCCAAGTGGGAAAAAAGACACTGGAAACATGGAGACTGCTTGGAAAGATGGTTTAAGGGTGGACAGGATCACATGGCTTGCGTTCCTGAACAGAAAAAGGGCAGATACAGTGAGTCCCTGGGTTTTTATGCTCTCCCTGGCTTTGAACTTCCTGGGGCCCCGAAAGAGTATCCTGATTGGTTGTCAGAGGTACACAACTTTCCTTGCACTAATTTAGAATTGTGTTATAGGACAGAGAAAGAACAGCAAGCCTTCCTTTAGCAAGTGGGAGAACTGGAAAAGGCCCTTCCGGTGCCGAGTCTGGAATCCACGGGGAGATCTGGGCAAGAACTGGGCAGAAGATGCTGGAAGAAGGAACCATCGTTTCACAAGTTCACGCCTGGAACTTCAGGAGCGTCCAATATCAGGAGGATGAAGGTCCCCGAAGCCTTTGCAGCCAACTCCACTACTTTTGTAGTCAATGGTTGAGACCAGAAAAGCACACGAAAGCGCAGATGCTGGACCTGGTGGTTCTGGAGCAGTTCCTGGCCCTTCTGCCCCTGCAGATGGAGAGCTGGGTGCGGGAGTGTGGAGCAGAGACCAGCTCTCAGGCGGTGGCCCTGGTGGAAGGCTTCCTCCTGAGCCAGGCGGAGGAGAAGAAGGAGCAGGTTGAGTTGCAGGTGAGAGGACTTCCTCTTGGGACTCCAGAAAAAATTGAATATAATAAACAAGAAGTTCACATTTTTTGTATCCTTTTCATAGTTTTATTAAGCTTATCAAAATATAAAATACAAAAAAATGAAAATAGTAGGAAATGGTGGGTGGGAAGGGAAGGGAAAGAAGTGTAGGGGAAAGGGGGGAAAAAAAGAAAACCATTGACTTTTTTTTAAGAAAAAAAGTTTTTATTTTATGATCAAACAAATGTACAATATAGTCAATCATTCAATATATCAAAATACATCTTATCATTTAATGTAACACTTTTGCTTATCTGTTAATATATTTATCTATCTCTAAACCCAACCTTCAACCCCCACTCCCCACCCCCGACTTCCCAGAGCAAAAACAGGGTATAAGATATACGAAACATACGCCAAAATATGCTAACTTACTGCAAGATTTATAACTCCCTAGACCCCTTAACTCCCCTTTTACAAATTATTCATCAATCTCCATTTTATAAGCTCAAAATAACATATAGTCCATTAACCCTTAGGGTTTTAAAAACATTAACAAGCACTAATAAATCATTCAAACCCTAAAAATCTCTTAATACATCTGTAAAGTATTCTTAATTCATTTACTTAATCATTTTACTCTTCCTCCTACTTTTATTCTCAAGATTCAAATATTTTAAAATCTTAATACAACAATAATTAGACCTTAAAAAAAACTAATCTTCCATTCTTTCTTTCTTTCTATATTTTTCTTAATTCATTTAGTTAATCATTAATCCATCAATAATTGAACCAGAAAAAGTTAATCTTCCATTCTTCCTTTCTTTCTGTATTTTTTCCAGTCTTTCTTCCTCCCTCCTACTTTTATTTTGAAGAGGTTTTGAATTTTGATTTGAGCTTGATGTATCTTTAAAACTCGTTCCTTTCTTAGAACTGTTTCCTCTGATTTAGAGCCCCCATATCGACTCTTCTTGCTTATATAATCAATCAGTTCATTCCTTCGTCTGTAGAACCAGAAATTCTCTCGATAAGATTTATCAGTTTGCAAAGAAGAGTCTAGTTGTTGCTTTTCGATTAATTGTGATTAATTGTGTGAAAGCCTCTGCCAAATCTTCTTTGTCCTCCAAAATCTCATTAGACTGGCCAATTTATGCTTCTGTCTGCTCCAGATTATATTTTTGAAAAGTTCTGTCAATTAATTCCAAAAGAGCAGGAATAAGAAAGTTTGAAAGTTCTTGAGAGCCAGCCAGTTCCACCTTCTCTGTTTTGGTCATAATGTCTCCTGCATTGTCATTGTGCTTTCCTTCAAAAGCATCTTTAATTGCTTTTATATCCTTCACCAGTTCTTTAAATTTCCCTTCCATAATTGCTGTTTGGTTATTCATAGCTGTAGTTTGGTTATTCATGGCTTCCTTTATAAATTCTGTAAGTTCTCTAAAAGAATCCTCCTGGCTCTGTTTATCAAGCAAAATAGTCTTTTCTCCACCCAGCTCTCAAATCCCAGCAGCTTTAATCCAGTCTCTGAGCGCAGATCTGTTAACAAGCACTTTCATTTTTAACTTTCACTTTTACGCCCGCAACAAAGACGCCATTTCCACCTCCAGCTCAGAAAAATCAAGTAGAAACAATGTATCCTCGGAGTTAAGCATGATACTTGCAAAGGCTTGTTCTCCTGTTTCCATTCTGTCTGATTTTGAATTCAATTAATCTTCTTTTTGACAGCAGGGTTGGTCGCGATGTCTGGCTCTGTTTAAAACAGAGTCGTCCCGGATCCGGAGCTTCAGTGGGCTGACCGAGGAGCTCTCACCCTCCAAGCCCCTAGAGTTGTTCCAGGGGCTTATGGGGAGCTCTACCTCACCCACCAGCTCTCCTCTCCTTCTTCTCCCGAAGGAGAAGTTTTCAAGCCGTCTGACAGCTGATTAGCGCTGTCAGAACGGCTCCAACGGAGTCGCGGGGCTGGCGGTCCGAAAAGACCGTCCACGACACCGGCGGTGCCAACCGGAAGTCCAATATTCTCTCTTCTGTTGAGTTAATCCAATCACTAATCCTTCTGCCATTCCTTCAAATTTGCATCTTTTTTAAGTATTGGTATCATTTGAACAAGAAATAAAAACTTTGGTAAAACATTCATTTTTACTGCTGCTATTGTTCCCAACAAAGACAGTTGTAGTTTTTTCCAGTTTTCCATCTCTTTCTGTATTTTTTGCCACAACGATTCGTAATTATACTTGTATAATTTTACATTTGAAGTCACAATATAAACCCCTAAATATTTAACCTTCTTTACTATTTCAAATCCTGTTACTCTTTTTGATTTATAGTCATATTTTTAGTCATTATCTTTGTTTTCCCTGCATTTATTTTAAATCCAGATACTTGTCCATATTGATTAATTATATCCATTAAACCTATAACCGATTGCACTGGTTGGGTTAAAGTAACAACCAAGTCATCTGCAAATGCTCGTAATCTATAATCATAATGCCTAATTTTAATTCCCTTTATTTTATCCGAACCATGTATTTTATTCAGCAAAAATTCCAAAGTCAAAATAAACAGTAATGGAGACAAGGGACATCCTTGTCTTGTTCCTTTTTCAATATTAAAAGTTTCTGTTAAACTACCATTAATTATTATTTGTGCTGTTTGTTTCTGGTATATTGCCTTAATAGATTGTGTAAAATACTCTCCAAACTGCATCTTTTCTATTATTTTCAATAAAAAATTCCAATTCAATCAATCAAATGCCTTCTCCGCATCCAAAAATATAAGCGCCTCAGGGACTTGGTTGTTCTTCCCCAAATATTCCAATATGTTAACTATTTGCCTTACGTTACTTTTCATTTGTCTCCCATTTATAAAATCAGTTTGATCATTATGAATCGTTTGTTGCATAACTAGCATTAACCTATTTGCTAATATTTTAGCAAAAATCTTGTAATCTGTATCTAAAAGTGATATAGGCCTATAGTTCTTTGGCTGACTATGGTCTTGATCCTCTTTTGGAATTAAAGAAATAAATGCTGTTCTCCAAGATGAGGGTACATCTCCTCCAGATTGTATTTTAATAAATAATTCCTTAAGTGGTTCCACCATTTCTAACTGCAAATTTTTATAATAAACAGTTGTCAATCCATCTGTCCCAGGAGCTTTACCCACTTTCAACTGTTTAATTGCTAAGACAATTTCTTCCGAGGTTATTGGTTGATTCAAACCTTCCCTTTGCTCTTCTGTAACTATAGAAATGTTCTCCTTCTGTAGATATCTATCTATATCTATACCTTGAATTTTATCACTAGCATACAACCTCATGTAAAATTCTAAAAATGCTTTTTTAATCATGTTTTGCTGATACACCTCTTTACCTTTATATTCTATTTTCTCTATAGTACGTAGCTTTTGTTTTTTCCTTAACAAATATGCTAACCATCTACCTGGTTTGTTAGCATTATAGAAAGTATTATGTTTAGTATATTGCAGACTAATTGCAGCCTGATCTGCCATCAACATATTAAATTGCCCTCACAATAAATTAATTGCTTCTTTTGTTTTCTTATCTGCTGGGTTCAATGTTAATACTTGCTCTCTCTTTTTTATTTCCTCTTCTAAATCAATCCGTTTTTTTTCCTGTCTACGTCTGTGTTTATTATTCAAATATATTAAAATACCTCTCATATATGCTTTGCTTGCATCCCATACCACTTCCATAGATGTACCTTTATACATATTCATAACAAAAAATTCTTTCAAAAATTTTTTACATTCTTTCACATTTTCCTCATATCTTAAATTTTCATTTAACCTCCAGGATCTCCTGGGTCCCTTTTCATGTTCCAGTTCCATCCAAACCGGGCTATGATCTGTTAATGTTCTTGGACATATCTTCGTCTTTTTCACCCTAGAAAGAAAATCATTAGTAATTAATATAAAGTCAATCCTAGAAAGGGATTGGTGTCTATCAGAAAAAAAGTAAAGTCTTTTTCTTCAACATTCCGTTCCCGCCAGATATTTCTCAACTCCATATCTTCCATCATATCAAAGAAAGATTTAGGTAATCTAGCGCGCATTTGAATATTTTGCGAAGGTCCTTTTTTGTCTTTTTTAGTATCCAAAACTCCATTCCAATCACCCAATAATATACACGATTTGTAATCCCATTGTATTAGTTTGGTATGTAAAAGCTTGTAAAATTTTTCTTGTTGTTGGTTAGGTGCATATACTCCAATTAAAAGTATTTTTCCCCCTCTATTAAAATTTCAATTGCTATATATCTTCCTTGATCATCTGCTTCAATTAGTCTAGCTATTAAGTCTTTTTTTAAGTATATAACTATGCCATTTTTCTTTTCTGGTGCAGATGCTACAAAATGTGTTCCCAATCTTGCATTTATCAAATAGTTTTGATCTTTCATTCTAATATGTGCCTCTTGCAAACAAATTACTTCATTTTTGTACTGTTTCAGATAATGAAATATTTTCCTCCTCTTTTGCGGTGAATTTAAACCATTGACATTCCAACTTAAAAATCTAGTTGCCATTCTTGGCACCTTGAAGCTTTTGGAGCATCAGCTGAAAATCTTCCTGCATTTTCCTCTTCGACCTTGCTTCTCCCACTGCTTCTGTTTTTGTGATTTCTTGAGTTTTTGTCTGAATTTGATCCACCTTTAATTCTTCTCTGCACTTAGTTGCCACTCGGGTCTGTCTCTGATCCTTTAGTTCCTCTATTTTTTCCAATAACACCGGAGCTTGAACAGTGCCCAAGAGTTGTATTAAGTCTTCTTGAGTAATCAAAACCCCTCCTTGGGCCTGGGCCTGCATTTCTTCTTTCTCGCCCTTTCTTGCTTCCTCTGCTTCCTTCTTCTAGCTTCTGGGGACGGTGGGCATCCAACCTTTAATACATTTGTGTAAAAGTCTCTTGCCTTCCAAACTGTATTGAGACGATATCTTTCTCCTGAGTAATTCACCACTAATCCAACTGGAACCTCCCATCTGTACTGTATCTGGCAATTTCTAAGTTCTTCCACCAAAAAAGCATAGTTCTTTCTGGTTCTCAGCATTTTGGGGGGAATTTTTTTCAATATTAAAACCTCCTGCCCTACCACTTGAAATTTATTTTTGTAGGAAGCTTGTAAAATTTCATTTTGTATCCTCCTTGTTGTAAAGTAGATTACAATATCTCTTGGTAAATGTTTCTGTCTGGCAACCCATGAGTTAACACGATAAATTTTGTCAATTTGCCATTCAAGATCTGCCTTTTGTTCTCCAATTATCTGTGCAAAGGCTTCTGCAAAGATCTCTCGCAAATTCTCTTGATTATTTTCCATCGCCCTATATTGTATCATTGTCACTTCTAAGTCTGCCCTCTCCATCTTTGTCTGGACCTCGCCCATTTTATTTCCCAAATCCACATTGGATTGATTAATTTCTTCCACTCTTTCATCCAGCCCTTCAATATGGCTTGCCAGACCCTGAAATGCAAAAACAATATCTTCTCTGATTTCCTTATTTCGAATTTGAATTACCTCTTTAATTTCTGCCATCTCTTCAGCCACATCCCACATTTTTTTCTTCAAAGGCAGAAGTAATTTTTTCCTCTAAAACAGAGGCTTGTGTCTTTAAAGCTTCCTGCAAAGCTTCCAGTGTTAATATTTGTGGTTCCATTGGAGCTGACAAAGATTGTAATTTAGATAGTTGGGCTGGTGATCCCCCAGCACTTTTAGCCGCAACAGTTTTTATTTGCCTTGAAGCCATTTTCTAATTTTCAATTTTAATTTTAAACTTTTGCAACAGCCAAAACAATAAGTCCACTAAATCAAGTTAATTTCCAGTCCTCGGTAAATTTTTTGATTCATCTAAAGTCAATTTTAAATCTTCATTCTTTTAAAGTAAAATCCAATACTTTTGAACAGGGGCTGTCAGCACTAGATGATACTTTGCTCTTAACTTTCACTTTCATGCCAAACTAAAGCTCCGGCGCCATTTCCTTTCTCTTTCTTCCCTTAATAATCCAGAAGGAAGTATATAATACACATTCAGAGTTAAAGTTTGGTACTTGCAATTATGACCACTCCTGCCTTTGCTCTGCCTGCTTTTGTATCCAGTATTTTGAAAGATTGTTGCAGGGGTGGTCGAGGAGTCTTGTTCTGCTTAAAGCAGATGTCTTCTTACCAGCCTTTCCTGGCATTCATACTATGTGGAGATGCTTCACTAATCTTTGTGTAGTTCCCTTATCCATTCTAGAAGAAAGATTTTGCACAGGGATTTCTTTCTTCCTTCCCAGCCTAATTGATCGACACCGAGTGATTTGCAGTGGTGTTCACTGGAAAAGAAACCACTTCATGATGTGTGATGTCCATTAATTCTTTTCTCCTACTTCAAGCCCTTCGCAATGGAGATCAGAGATCCTGAGAGAAAGAGGCATCCGTCAAATCTCCCTGAAGAACTGTTTTTCAGGGGAATCCCTCAGGGAGATCCAATTCAGGACACCTCAGGAGGTAATATAAGGTCCTTCCACTCCTTTGATCAATCTTAACTTTCTCATCTTCTCGGTGTCCTCTCCTCTATAGTATTCCTCCTCCCATTTTACTCATGATGCTTTTTGAAATTCTGTCTCCCTCACAGGGAAGAATAGAAGGAAGTTGACTCTTTGTTTTGGGGAAGCAGAAACCAGGATTGAACCTCCAACTCGGGTAAGAGAAGAACATTCATTTACTAGATTTTTATTTTCCATTTCCCTCAGGAAATCAGAGGATGTGGACCAGGGGTGGGTTCTACTTATCTTTAGTACCGGTTCTCACCCACCTCTCCATGAGGCCTCTCAGGGAACACTGCATGCAAATCAAAAGAAAGCGCTGCAAGTCCAGGTGTCCTTTCCATTTGTTCCCCTCGCCTCTCTCTCTTGCCCCCCCCTCTAGCAACAACTAGAGGTGTGGGGGTAAGTGGGGAAGGCATGTGATCTGGCCTACAGCTGCGGGCAAACAAGGACAGGCAGAGTGGCAGAGGGTTCACATGGCCCATCTGGTAGGCCAGATTGCGGACCTCCCCCACCCCACCTGCGCCTCTGCCAGTGCCGCTGCAATGAGGCAAAGCAAGTTGTGGGGTGGGGGATGGCGCCAAGGCGTAGCCCCTGCATTCTCAGCCCTCGCCGTCCAGCCTGTTCCTCCAGTTCCAGCGCACACTCCACACAAGCAAAGACAGTTGGTGGGACAGATCACATGCCTCCCCCCACCCCCTGTGCTGACTGCAGTTGCTTCCAGACACCATCTGGCCCCTCCATGCCCACTGCCCCACCCTTGCATGCTTTTTGTTCTGTCCATTTTGTCATCTGAACCACGGATTCCTACTAAGCATAGCTACTTCCCTCAGTGTATATGTTTGCTTTGGGAATTTCTAAATAATAGGAAAGATGCTGTTCTGTACTTTTTTCCCCTTTCAGGAGAGTCTTGTGTCCTTTGAGGAGGTGGCTGTTGATTTCTCCGAGGAGGAGTGGTCTCAGCTGGATCCTCACCAAAGAGCTCTGCATTGGGAAGTCATGCTGGAGAATTATAAGAACGTGGTCTCTCTTGGTAAGGGTTTCCTACTCTCCAGTCAGAGAGTTCAGGAAGACATTTTGTAGTTAGATGCCATTAGTTAGTTCTTCTGAAAACATCTCGAAATAGATATCCCCTCTTCAGAGGGAGAAGGAAAAGTTCTGTTTTTCTACTGCTCCTAGGAAGGAAATGGGTCTATGGCATTCTGCTTAGATGTATCCGATCTAATTTGTTTTTGTGTTTCTATTTAAACTTTTTAGTGACAAAGTAATTCTTTAGTTTGAGGTAATGCCAAACTCCATCACACAGATTTCAACTATTTTGGCCCAGATGCTTCTATATCATTCAAGTTTTTTGACTTAATGTCTTTTTCAAGGTTTTATGTCTCATCAATAGAGATATTATCATTTCAATACCTATTATATTATTATTATAATATAATATAAGGATACAGACATGCGGTATATATTAGAATTTGGCACAATACCTGAAGGCAATCAATATGACTTCTGACAGAGTAATCTTTTTCCCTAACCTTTCTCTCACTTTCATTTCTTTTTCCCTTTGAAGGTGAGAATGACAATAAAGACTCTGGAGAACCAATCAAAGTCTTTAGACAAGGAGACGTAATGAAGAAACCTGCAATTCAAACAGAATTCCAAAGGCAGGAGAGAAATCTGTCAAATAACTGGAATAAGGAAAGTTCACCTTCAATTGTTGCTCAGATGCAGGACTTTATTGATGAACGACGAAAACTAAAGAAACAATATATTGGGAAAGGTGTAAGACTCTTCAAAGACACATTAGATGTAAATGGACCCTGTCCATCTCAAGCCAAAGAACCAGCCAATATATGGAAAGATGAAGGAAAAAATTACAGTTGGATATCCACACTTTCTCAAGAAAAAGGATCTCTTGAATCACAGAAAAGTTTCCACATTGGAGAGAAGTCAAATATAAGTAATGAACATAGAAACTGGATTGTTAATAAAAGGACATGCATAAGAGAGAAGCCATATAAATGCATGGAGTGTGGAAAGGGTTTTAGCAAAAAGAGTACCCTTATTGCCCATCAAAGGATCCACACAGGGGAGAAGCCATATAAATGCATGGAGTGTGGAAAGAGTTTTAGCGAAAAGAGTACCCTTATTATCCATCAAAGGATCCACACAGGGGAGAAGCCATATAAATGCATGGAGTGTGGAAAGGGCTTCAGAACAAGCAATGAACTTGCATCCCATCAAAGGATCCACACAGGGGAAAAGCCATATAAATGCATGGAGTGTGGAAAGGGCTTCAGAACAAGCAATCAACTTGCATCCCATCAAAAGATCCACACAGGGGAAAGGCCATATAAATGCATGGAGTGTGGAAAGGGCTTCAGAACAAGCAGTGAACTTGCATCCCATCAAAAGATCCACACAGGGGAAAAGCCATATAAATGCATGGAGTGTGGAAAGGACTTCAAAAGAAGCAATGAACTTGCATGCCATCAAAAGATCCACACAGGGGAGAAGCCATATAAATGCATGGAGTGTGGAAAGGGCTTCAGAAGAAACAGTTATCTTAAATGCCATCAAAGGATCCACACAGGGGAGAAGCCATATAAATGCATGGAGTGTGGAAAGGACTTCAGAACAAGCAGTTACCTTACATTCCATCAAAGGATCCATACAGGGGAGAAGCCCTATAAATGCATGGAGTGTGGAAAGGACTTCAGTACAAGCAGTTACCTTACATGCCATCAAAGGATCCATACAGGGGAGAAGCCCTATAAATGCATGGAGTGTGGAAAGGGCTTCAGAACAAGCAATGAACTTGCATCCCATCGAAAGATGCACACAGGGGAAAAGCCATATAAATGCATGGAGTGTGAAAAGGGCTTCAGAACAAGCAATGAACTTGCATCCCATCAAAAGATCCACACAGGGGAGAAGCCCTATAAATGCATGGAGTGTGGAAAGGACTTCAAAAGAAGCAATGAACTTGCATCCCATCAAATGATCCACACAGGGGAGAAGCCATATAAATGCATGGAGTGTGGAAAGGACTTCAAAAGAAGCAATGAACTTACATGCCATCAAAGGATCCATACAGGGGAGAAGCCCTATAAATGCATGGAGTGTGGAAAGAGCTTCAGAATAAGCAGAAAACTTAGACGCCATAAAAGGATCCATACAAGCGAGAAGCCACATAAATGTATGTAGTGCTTCAGCACACCCATAGTCTTATTTCTCATAGCATTATTCATAGACTGGAGAATCCCCAAAATAAGATACATTTGGATGAGAATCTATGCTAATTATTGATTTAATGGGTTCTATGTATGGGTTTCCGATTTACAGAGTGAACTCTGAAAAGGGGTTTTTCTGTGATTCACCCTCCTGACAGCCGTAGAGAGATGAATTTAGTAATGAAAATAAAAAACAATGAGCATGTGTCATTATAATTATTATTTACACTTCTTTGAATGTAGCTGTATAGAAAGTATATAGGAATGTTAAACTGGTGGCTCATGGGCCAGTTGTGTCACATGCACATACCCCAGCTCCACGAATGGGGAAACCGTCGCAATGCGTCACGTGATGGCAATGTCACGCGGGGAATTTGAAACCCGTGGTGTATAGGTTCATTTTATTTTATTGTTTAGAAATGAGCTTCCTGTTCCCCAACTGCCATCATTCCCCCAGTTAGTCATAGCTCTCAGAGGGATGCGAAGACATCTAACAGATGCTGTTTCTCTAAGCCCAAAAGGAAAATATCAAAAAAATAATCAAATTGCACCCATGGTATAGAACTGGGATCCTCAAAAGTAATTAAATTTGCATCCTCGGTGTAGAACTGAGACCTGAGTCAGCCGGTATCTATGCAGAAACATTGAACATTATTCAGTCAAAGGCCTCATGATATGAGGGAATTGTCACATGGAGATCAATGAACAGCTTGTGGGAAGAACTGAAAGGATGAACAATTCCTCTCTCACAAAAGGAGCCAGAAGTGCCCAAGTGCTTGTGTAAATTTCTTTTCAAGCATTATGGCCATATTTTGCTCTTCTGTAGTGTGGTGAGGGCTAGGAAGTCCACCTTTGATTTAAATAAGATTAATTAAATATCAATGGTGTGGTTTTGTTCTAGTCATGTATTATACTCATCTATTAAACTCTTAGTTGCTTTAAAAATGTATTAACACAGGATTTTTGGAAGGATTTGGAGGGGGCATATTTCAGGATTTGAGAGGCTCATGTTGGTTTGAAGCTCAATTGTCAGTAATAGTTCTGGATCAAGCTGAACAATAAAGAGACCGAAAAGAGCAGAGAGGTTAACTCAGTTTTTTAAACCCCTTTTTTCTTTCCATGTACACCCTTTCTTTCACTAATTGTAGCTAAATCTCTTTTTTTCTCCTTCCTTTGTCACCTTCATATGAAGAGGAATCTCTTCAAAACATTGGAATCTTCAGGTCTTGTGGTTGGAACGTTTTTCTCTGTTTATTTTGTAGATCATGAATGAATCCCAGTATCATTGCTCAGGCTGGTCCAGGTTCTTTCTTGCCCCCCAAAGGCATTTTTGGGTCATAGAGGTAAGCCAGAAGGGATAAGACCTGTCACAAGCCAGAACGATCATGTAGAAAGAAAAAGAATTATGCGTAGCATGGGTGAATAAAGGAGATGCGTGGGAAAACAAGATAGAAAGTGGATAAGAGAAACAAGGAGATTACAGATAGTTCATGGGAGGACTGTAATTAAATGATCATCAAATAAATTTATATCAGGGTTTCCTGCAGAAATTAAATCCAGAAAGCACGCACAGACTGATTCAGCAGGATTGATTTAAATAAGAAACTTCTTTATATACAAGAATATATATACAATACCAACAGCAGAGAACAATTTCTTTCAACGTAGTAGAAGTTACAGGCAGAGCACAAGGCAGGAGAGAACAGTTACTTTCATTTCAGCAGAGCAGACAAGCATGCACAGACTGCTTAGTTTCAGATTCAGTTCTCTGCACAGATGCAGAAGCTGCAGACTAAGACACGCCCTGGCTCCAGTCTGTCTCAGCTCCGAATTGGCTGACTTAGTTGCTATGCCTATTCATTGGCTCACCTTGTTACCATGTCTCTGAATCATGCATACATCACTATCAAAGATGCTAGAATCATAAGGTCTGTTCTGTCCTCATTCAACATTATTCTGTGTGCAGCTTGACATGCACCCACCTATCCTCCAATAAAACAGACCGTCTGCATAGATCTGGATGCTTTACTAAAGGAATAGGACGGGTGAAACTGGAAAAATAGAAACACAGGTATTCCTCAAGGTACGAACCTAATGGATCAAAAAATGTGTCAAATGAATCAGATTCAATTTTACAAATTTTTACAATCAAATTCATTAATTGAATCAAATGGCTTGTTAAATGAATGAAGATCTGACCTACTTCCTGGGGGCTGCTGATCAGTTATTTTCACTGCTGATCAGCTGATTCCGGTGCAGTTGAAGGAGGAACTAAATTGCCTCCAAGCAGGCTCACAGAGCTCTCCGTTTGCAGTTTTAAAAAAATCCACTTGCTGCTCATCAGCTCAAGCATCTTCAGACAGCTGCCCAGATGGGGTTTGGTGGTAATTTACAGTACTCTCAGATTGCTTTAAAAAAAAGAAAAAACCTGCCACTACAGTAATTAGCTTAAGAGTCTCCAGCCAGGCTCCCAGAGCGAGATGGGGGAGGAATTTACAGAACTCTTGGCTTGGAACAGTAACAGAGATGGAAGAGACCTTGAGGTCCTGTAGTCTAACCCACTGCTCTCAGGCCAGACTCTCCATACAGTCCATGTAGCATTTCTACAAGCAGTTTCAAAGCAAATGCAAACAAACTTTATCTTTGCAAAGAACTGTACTTACAAACACGATACTGTAGTTTGCACACTACAGTACAGTGCTTAAAAAGAAGCAGAGCAGTTCCCAAAATGCTTACCAACAAGCAGTACAGTACTATAGAGTAACAAAAAAGAATATTTTAAAATACTTAACAGAATTCCTGAATGCAAAATAACATCATAACTATATAGTATGATGGACTTTCAGGGTCGGTGCAACATGTAACATGTTCACATGGGTACAATAGGACTGAGTGGTTGTTAATATGATTTATTGGGTTAGGGATTTTCTGTCTTCACATTGAGTTGTATTGTGTTGGGGGGGTGCATGGAGGGAGCTCAGCCAATCTCACTGTACATTGTGCACTGACAATAAAGATTTGAATTTAGAAGCAATTCTAGCACTCTAGATCTCAAGCCCAGGAGCAGCAGATCCTCCATGCAGCACCAGAAAAACAAAAACTTGGTGCTGCCCTGGCTGCAAAATCCACCGGATCTTGGTTGGCCATGAAGGGTAAGGTGGGTTTAAACTCCATATGCAGCTTTGGTCACTTAGATATCTCTACGCTGTTGGTGTCGATATTCAAAGAAACATGCAGTTCTTTGGCTGCCCCCCCAAAAGTTGGTGCCTCTGTCTGAACGAATGTATTTAAAGGGCCTCGGATAGCAATAAAATATCTGAGGGCATTTATGAAGCTAGAAGCGTCCATAATAACTTCAATGTGGAGAGCTCTAATGGTCATACAGGTGAATAAGGCTGCCCACCTCTTACTGTTTGCCTGACACCCTCTAGTGTGACGCGTGATCACAGGCCAGGAGCCAAAGACATCAAGGCCAACGTTAGTGAAAGGAGGATTTGTACTGAGTCTGTCGGCTGGTAGATCAGCCATCTTTTGTGTTTGTAACCTACCATGGAGCTTGCGACAAGAAATACACCTGAAGATTGCCTACTCACACATCTTTTAGCTCCAACTGTCCACAAACCAGCAATTCTTATAACTCCGTGATGGCAAACCTATGGCACTTCTCCAAATTCTAAAGAAAATGGGAGTCTGGCTTCCCAGCATGCACTTGATTTGAGAGTGCAGGCTGATGGTTAAATGGGTAGGATCAGCTTCAAACAATATACTTGGGGCATGTTTGTCTCTCTGGCCACTAGATGGGGCTAGAGCATTGGTGGGTTGTCCCCAGTTCAGACCGGTTCTATAGAACTGGTAATAAAACCGGAGGGAGGCTCCGCCCACTGACCCCGACATCATCAGAATGCTTCTGTGTGGCCCCGTTGCGAACCGGTAGTAAAGGTAAGTAGAATCCACCCCTGGGCTAGAGGGCAACAACAGTATATAAAGAGAGTATGTTAGGGCATGTTTGTCCCTCCGGCCACTAGATGGGGCTAGAGAGTCACCACAGTATATAAAGTTATATGTAAGAAGAAATCAAACCCACATTATCCCAAATAAAATATTAAGCATAAGAAAAAAAGCCCTTAGAAATATTATCCATAAAGAAAAGCCTCAGAAAAGCCAAAAGACCACGGCACTAATAAAAACCGCCTGAAGCCCAATCCATATTCCAGCCAGATGCCTAAAGAAAACATTGTAACAAGAAGCTAGCTGCTAAGGGATGCAGGCACTTAAGGAGATAAGGAGCTTATTGAAAGAGCAATCCAACTATCTAGATGGCTCCATTCATAAGCAAAGCAAATGCTGCCTGCAGAAGTCCACTCATGACAGGATATTTCAAAACCCCTTACAGCAATTTTGACAGCTAACAAAAGCAGAGTGATAGGATTAGAGCAAGCAGTCCCTCACCCTAAAATCTAACACAGGACAGAGCCATCAGCCACAATAAGAATTACCTAACTCCCTTTCAGAACACAAAGCCCATATTGCATAAATCCCAAACTTCAGAGTTACAGAATCATATAAGAACCCTTCCACTCACCCAGCTTGTTGGTCAGCTGCCCCAGAACTGCATGCTGTGTACATCCAGATACAATCATTTGCATATTGGGAGTGGAGACCTCCAGATCCCATGTTTCCCTACCACCCAGTTCAATGATGCTAACAGGCAGAGGGGAAAGCAGAGCTCCAGACGAGGAATAAATTCAGGTCCCAGAAAAGAAAAGTGGGGGGGAACTGTATAGTCTTTTCTTCGGAAAAGCTCCTTGATTTGGTTGACCTGTTTGTGTTCAGGGCATGTTGTGTGAACTTGCATGGCTGAGTGTAGGAAGAAAGAGAAATGGAGAGTCCTAAAATAGGGTAAGTTGACTGGCATTTCATTTGATGTGGACTAAATTGTCATTATTGTTAAATACAATGAATATTCTAGGTGGAATCATCAATTTACCATCTCAGAAAAGTCCTTCTATGGGGATGAGTGTTGTTGAATGGTTGTTGAGGGATTAATGGCTTGTTCTTGTATTCCCCTGAATACAAGAAAAAGCATTGAAAAGGATGTTCACTAACTAGATTATTATTTCCCTGTCCTTCAGGAAATCGGCTGATGTACATATTGTAGGTAGTGCTCGACTGAGCCCAAAATTTTTGTTGCTAAGTCTCCCTCACAAGGAAGGGTAGGAAGAAGTTGACTTATCTATATGGAAGAGCTGAAATAGTGGTCAACATTCCAACTCACACAAGACGATTTGTATTCTCCCTTTCCTTTGGAAAATCAAGCTGAGGTACATTGTACTGTCACCTTTCCTTTTATCTCTTTTTTGTTGTTGTTGACTTATTCCTTCCTTCCTCAGCAACAGATTTAAATGAGATTCTTGTTAGGAATTTTTCCCCTAATACCAGTACTTTAAATACAATGCTATTTACTACAGTAGAACAATGCCAAAAGCTTCTCAATCAAGGAGCCCCTTCCTGGCCCCACATGGGAAATGCACCATTTCTCCTCTCTTTGCAGGAGCACCTTCCGTGCACAGAAAATCCACCAGGGGGGGCACTTCAGCTTTTGGCCCCTGTTACAATTTAGGAAGGAAGTGACATCTTTCAGTTTTTGCCTTTCTAGGATACTGACTCTCACTCTCTTACTTTAACCCTTTGAGCTTTGCAGGAGGTTAAAAAGGCAGCCAGAAAGTCTGGAGGATCCAGAAGTGGAAAAGGTAGGTAGAGGTGTGTGTGCGTGTGTGTGCGTGTTGCCTAGTCCTCATCTAGGTTCAGTTTTTTGAGTTTTGGGAGTGGGAGACTCCCCGACCACCCTTTTCAATGATTCTAACAGGCAGAGGGGAAAGCGGAGCTCCAGACGAGGAATATATTCTGGTCCCAGATCAGACAGGGGGGAGGGGGGGACTGGATAGTCTTTTCTGCCCCATTTCTTCGGAACAGCTCCTGCATAGGGGGAGGTGGGTGAGCTTGCATGGCAAAGACTGAGCAGGAAATCAGAAAGGATTAGCAAGGAACAGATGCAAAAGATTATGCCTGCATTCCCATTATGGGCTGGATGACACTGTTGGAAGAAACATCCTTCTGGGTTCTGCTCCAAGTGGGGAAAAAGACACTGGAAACATGGAGACTGCTTGGAAAGATGGTTTAATGGTGGACAGGATCACATGGCTTGCGTTCCTGAACAGAAAAAGGGCAGATACAGTGAGTCCCTGGGTTTTTATGCTCTCCCTGGCTTTGAACTTCCTGGGGCCCCGAAAGAGTATCCTGATTGGTTGTCAGAGGTACACAACTTTCCTTGCACTAATTTAGAATTGTGTTATAGGACAGAGAAAGAACGGCAATCCTTCCTTTAGCAAGTGGGAGAACTGGAAAAGGCCCTTCCGGTGCCGAGTCTGGAATCCACGGGGAGATCTGGGCAAGAACTGGGCAGAAGATGCTGGAAGAAGGAACCATCGTTTCACAAGTTCACGCCTGGAACTTCAGGAGCGTCCAATATCAGGAGGATGAAGGTCCCCGAGGTCTTTGCAGCCAACTCCACTACTTTTGTAGTCGATGGTTGAGACCAGAAAAGCACACAAAAGCACAGATGCTGGACCTGGTGGTTCTGGAGCAGTTCCTGGCCCTTCTGCCCCTGCAGATGGAGAGCTGGGTGCGGGAGTGTGGAGCAGAGACCAGCTCTCAGGCGGTGGCCCTGGTGGAAGGCTTCCTCCTGAGCCAGGCAGAGGAGAAGAAGGAGCAGGTTGAGTTGCAGGTGAGAGGACTTCCTCCCGCGACTCCAGAAAAAATTGAATATAATAAACAAGAAGTTCACATTTTTTGTATCCTTTTCAAAGTTTTATTAAGCTTATCAAAATATAAAATACAAAAAAATGAAAATAGTAGGAAATGGTGGGTGGGAAGGGAAGGGAAAGAAGTGTAGGGGAAAGGGGAAAAAAAAAGAAAACCATTGACTTTTTTTTTTTTAAGAAAAAAAGTTTTTATTTTATGATCAAACAAATGTACAATATAGTCAATCATTCAATATATCAAAATACATCTTCTTATCATTTAATGTAACACTTTTGCTTATCTGTTAATACATTTATCTATCTCTAAACCCAACCTTCAACCCCCCTCCCAACCCCCCACCCCCGACTTCCCAGAGCAAAAACAGGGTATAAAGATTACCAAACATACGCCAAAATATGCTAACTTACTGCAAGATTTATAACTCCCTAGACCCCTTAACTCCCCTTTTACAAATTATTCATCAACCTCCATTTTATAAGCTCAAAATAACATATAGTCCATTAACCCTTAGGGTTTTAAAAACATTAACAAGCACTAATAAATCATTCAAACCCTAAAAATCTCTTAATACATCTGTAAAGTATTCTTAATTCATTTACTTAATCATTTTACTCTTCCTCCTACTTTTATTCTCAAGATTCAAATATTTTAAAATCTTAATACAACAATAATTAGACCTTAAAAAAAACTAATCTTCCATTCTTTCTTTCTTTCTATATTTTTCTTAATTCATTTAGTTAATCATTAATACATCAATAATTGAACCAGAAAAAGTTAATCTTCCATTCTTCCTTTCTTTCTGTATTTTTTCCAGTCTTTCTTCCTCCCTCCTACTTTTATTTTGAAGAGGTTTTGAATTTTGATTTGAGCTTGATGTATCTTTAAAACTCGTTCCTTTCTTAGAACTGTTTCCTCTGATTTAGAGCCCCCATATCGACTCTTCTTGCTTATATAATCAATCAGTTCATTCCTTCGTCTGTAGAACCAGAAATTCTCTCGATAAGATTTATCAGTTTGCAAAGAAGAGTCTAGTTGTTGCTTTTCGATTAATTGTGTGAAAGCCTCTGCCAAGTCTTTGTCCTCCAAAATCACATTAGACTGGCCAATTTATGCTTCTGTCTGCTCCAGATTATATTTTTGAAAAGTTCTGTCAATTAATTCCAAAAGAGCAGGAATAAGAAAGTTTGAAAGTTCTTGAGAACCAGCCAGTTCCACCTTCTCTGTTTTGGTCATAATGTCTCCTGCATTGTCATTGTGCTTTCCTTCAAAAGCATCTTTAATTGCTTTTATATCCTTCACCAGTTCTTTAAATTTCCCTTCCATAATTGCTGTTTGGTTATTCATAGCTGCAGTTTGGTTATTCATGGCTTCTTTTATAAATTCTGTAAGTTCTCTAAGAGAATCCTCCTGGCTCTGTGAATCAATCGGGAATTGTATTTTCTGTGTCATTACTGACACCACTAGAGAGCCTCCTCCACTTTTAGGAACTCCTAACTTAAGTTGCTTGGAAGCCATCTTATTTTTTTAAAAAATCTTCCTTTTCACAGCCATAAAGTCTCTTGAACAGCTTTCACAAATTTATTTGTAATTTATCAAGCAAAATAGTCTTTTCTCCACCCAGCTCTCAAATCCCAGCAGTTTTAATCCAGTCTCTGAGGGCAAATCTGTTAACAAGCACTTTCATTTCTAACTTTCACTTTTACGCCCGCAACAAAGACGCCATTTCCACCTCCAGCTCAGAAAAATCAAGTAGAAACAATGTATCCTCGGAGTTAAGCATGATACTTGCAAAGGCTTGTTCTCCTGCTTCCGTTCTGTCTGCTTTTGAATTCAATTAATCTTCTTTTTGACAGCAGGGTTGGTTGCGATGTCTGGCTCTGTTTAAAACAGAGTTGTCCCGGATCCGGAGCTTCAGTGGGCTGACTGGGGAGCTCTCACCCTCCAAGCCCCTAGAGTTGTTCCAGGGGCTTACGGGGAGCTCTACCCTCACCCACCAGCTCTCCTCTCCTTCTTCTCCCGAAGGAGAAGTTTTCAAGCCGTCTGACAGCTGATTAGCGCTGTCAGAATGGCTCCAATGGAGTCGCGGGGCTGGCGGTCCGAAAAGACCGTCCACGACACTGGCGGTGCCAACCGGAAGTCCAATATTCTCTCTTCTGTTGAGTTAATCCAATCACTAATTGCTGAAAGGGCAGCTGCCTCATAATACAATCTTAAATTGGGCATTTTGAGACCTCCTCTCTCACGTATATCTTGCATTATTTTTTGCTTTATTCTCGGTCTCTTTCCTGCCCAAACAAAGTTACTGATATCCTTCTGCCATTCCTTCAAATTTGCATCTTTTTTAAGTATTGGTATCATTTGAACAAGAAATAAAAACTTTGGTAAAACATTCATTTTTACTGCTGCTATTGTTCCCAACAAAGACAGTTGTAATTTTTTCCAGTTTTCCATCTCTTTCTGTATTTTTTGCCACAACGATTCGTAATTATACTTGTATAATTTTACATTTGAAGTCACAATATAAACCCCTAAATATTTAACCTTCTTTACTATTTCAAATCCTGTTACTCTTTTTGATTTATAGTCATATTTTTACTCATTATCTTTGTTTTCCCTGCACTTATTTTAAATCCAGATACTTGTCCATATTGATTAATTATATCCATTAAATTATATCCATTTCCTTTCTTTTTCTTCCCTTAATAATCCAGAAGGAAGTATATAATACACATTCAGAGTTAAAGTTTGGTACTTGCAATCATGATCACTCCTGCCTTTGCTCTGCCTGCTTTTGTATCCAGTATTTTGAAAGATTGTTGCAGGGGTGGTCGAGGAGTCTTGTTCTGCTTAAAGCAGATGTCTTCTTACCAGCCTTTCCTGGCATTCATACTATGTGGAGATGCTTCACTAATCTTTGTGTAGTTCCCTTATCCATTCTAGAAGAAAGATTTTGCACAGGGATTTCTTTCTTCCTTCCCAGCCTAATTGATCGACACTGAGTGATTTGCATTGGTGTTCACTGGAAAAGAAATCACTTCATGATGTGTGATGACCATTAATTCTTTTCTCCTACTTCAAGCCCTTCGCAATGGAGATCAGAGATCCTGAGAGAAAGAGGCATCCATCAAATCTCCCTGAAGAACTGTTTTTCAGGGGAATCCCTCAGGGAGATCCATTTCAGGACACCCCAGGAGGTAATATAAGGTCCTTCCACTCCTTTGATCAATCTTAACTTTCTCATCTTCTCGGTGTCCTCTCCTCTATAGCATTCCTACTCCCATTTTACTCATGATGCTTTTTGAAATTCTGTCTCCCTCACAGGGAAGAATAGAAGGAAGTTGACTCTTCGTTTTGGGGGAGCAGAAACCAGGATTGAACCTCCAACTCGGGTAAGAGAAGAACATTCATTTACTAGACTTTTATTTTCCATTTCCCTCAGGAAATCAGCGGATGTGGACCAGGGGTGGGTTCTACTTACCTTTAGTACCGGTTCTCAGCAGAGTGCTTGCTTCACTCGTGCACGTGTGTGCTCTTCTGCGCATGTGCAGATTACGTCGGGGTCAGTGGGCGGGGCCTCCGGCTGGCTTTACTACCAGTTCTATAGAACCAGTGCGAACCGGGGGCAAACAACCACTGATGTGGACAGCATAGGTCCGTGATGGCGAACTTATGGCACGGGTGCCACAGGTGGCACGCGGCGCCATATTGGTGGGCATGCAAGTGTTGCCCTAGCTCAGCTCCAGCATGCATGCCCCCACCGGCCAACTGATTTTCAGGCCTTCTGGTCCCACCGGAAATCGGGAAACTGGCTGTTTCTGGCCTCCGGAAGGCCTCCGGGGGGATGGGGAAGGTTGTTTTTGCCCTCCCCAGGCTCTTAGAAAGCCTCTGGAGCCTGGGGAGGTGGAAAAACGGGCCTACCAGGCCCACCGTACCATTGCAAGCCAAAAGCAGGGGGAAGTGTGCAGGGGTCACATGCGCATGCGCAGGAGGGCAGGGAGCATTGAATTATGGATGTGGGCACCTGCACCCGCAACCCCCCGCCGGCTCCCCATGCTTTTGGCACACGATGGCAAAAAGGTTAGCCATCACTGGCATAGGTAGTAGTCGTAAGTGTGAAAAATGGGCATGCTGGCAAAAGGGCTCTGGCAGGCCGGAGGTGGGAGGTCGTAGATCTCAGCAGATTCGCCCTGCTCCAGGCAGGAGCAGCCAATCTGGGTGGCCGAGAGCAGTGCTGCCAGGAGGACAAAGAGCTCCCGTGAAGCCAGCAACAGCACAGGCAGTCGGTCATGCCAGTTGCTGCAAGGTAGTAGCGAGTTCGTCAAAAGGGAAAAGCAGGACTCAGTTTACAGCAGCTGCCTGAAATGTGTTTGCAGCGACTGCTGGACAGGAAGTGGGCAACCCCAATGCTCTGACCTCCACCTGCTGCCAGTGCTGCCCTGGGATGTTTTGGAAGGAAAATTAAAACAAAAAATCCTGCAGAGATTTGATCCCATGCTGGGATGTGATCTGAATAAGACCGGCTTGTCCTACTGTTGAAACGCCCCCAGGCTCTTTCCCGAAGGGAGGATGGCTGTTCTCTGCCTTTCGCCATCATGCGCAGTGCAAGGGGCAGTGCAGAAGTCCACTTTTTGTTTTTGATGCGCTCACCACTCACAGCAACTGGGACCACTGAGGGGTGGGGGGATGCACTGGCAGCAGGCAGAGGCCTGCTTCTCCCCCCCCCCCATTCTTTTCTCCTCTGCTTCAGTCCAGCCCAGCCCTCCACCCAGCAGCTAAGGATGAGGTGCTCACCCACCTCTCCATGAGGCCTCTCAGGAAACAGGGCATGCAAATCAAAAGAAAGCGCTGCGAGTCCAGGTGTCCTTTCCGTTTGTTCCCCTCTCCTCTCTCTCTTGCCCCCCCCAGCAACAACTAGACGTGTGGGGGTAAGTGGGGAAGGCATGTGATCTGGCCTACAGCTGCGGGCAAACAAGGACAGGCAGAGTGGCAGAGGGTTCACATGGCCCATCTGGTAGGCCAGATTGCGTACCTCCCCCACCCCACCTGCGCCTCTGCCAGTGCAAAGCAAGTGGTACTTTTTTTCCCTTTCAGGAGAGTCTTGTGTCCTTTGAGGAGGTGGCTGTTGATTTCCCGGAGGAGGAGTGGTCTCAGCTGGATCCTCACCAAAGAGCTCTGCATTGGGAAGTCATGCTGGAGAATTATAAGAACGTGGTCTCTCTTGGTAAGGGTTTCCTACTCTCCAGTCAGAGAGTTCAGGAAGACATTTTGTAGTTAGAGGCCATTAGTTAGTTCTTCTGAAAACATCTCGAAATAGATATCCCCTCTTCAGAGGGAGAAGGAAAAGTTCTGTTTTTCTACTGCTCCTAGGAAGAAGATGGGTCTATGGCATTCTGCTTAGATATATCCAGTCCAATTTATTTTTGTGTTTCTTTTTAAACTTTTTAGTGACAAAGTAATTCCTTAGTTTGAGGTAATGCCAAACTCCATCACACATATTTCAACTATTTTGGCCCAGATGCTTCTATATCATTCAAGTTTTTTGACTTAATGTCTTTTTCAAGGTTTTATGTCTCATCAATAGAGATATTTTCATTTCTATACCATGCTATTATAAGGATACAAATATGCAGTATATATTAGAATTTGGCACAATATCTGAAGGCAATTAATATGACTTCTGACGGAGTGATCTTTTTCCCTAACCTTTCTCTCACTTTCATTTCTCTTTCCCTTTGAAGGTGAGAATGACAATAAAGACTCTGGAGAACCAATCGAAGTCTTTAGACAAGGAGAAGTAATGAAGAAACCTGCAATTCAAATAGAATTCCAAAGGCAGGAGAGAAACCTGTCAAATAACTGGAATAAGGAAAGCTCATCTTCAATTGTTGGTCAGATGCAGGAGTTTATTGATCAACGAGGAAAACTAAAGAAGAAATATATTGGGAAAGGTGTAAGACTCTACGAAGACACATTAGATGTAAATGGACCCTGTCCATCACAAGCCAAAGAACCAGCCAATATATGGAAAGATGAAGGAAAAAATTACAGTTGGATATCCACACTTTCTCAAGAAAATGGATCTCTTGAGTCACAGAAAAGTTTCCACATGGGAGAGAACTCAAACATATGTAATGAACATGGAAACAAGATTCTTAATAAAAGGACATGCATAAGAGAGAAGCCATATAAATGCATGGAGTGTGGAAAGGGCTTTAGCCAAAAGAGTATCCTTATTACCCATCAAAGTATCCACACAGGGGAAAAGCCATATAAATGCATGGAGTGTGGAAAGGGCTTCAGAATAAGCAGTAATCTTACATCCCATCAAAGGATCCACAGAGGGGAAAAGCCATATAAATGCATGGAATGTGGAAAGGACTTCACCCAACGTGATCATCTTACTGCCCATGGAAGGATCCACACAGGGGAGAAGCCATTTAAATGCATGGAGTGTGGAAAGGGCTTTAGCCAAAAGGGTAACCTTATTACCCATCAAAGGATCCACACAGGAGAGAAGCCTTTTAAATGCATGGAGTGTGGAAAGGACTTCAGTACAAGCGGTTACCTTACATGCCATCAAAGGATCCATACAGGGGAGAAGCCCTATAAATGCATGGACTGTGGAAAGGGCTTCAGAACAAGCAATGAACTTGCATCCCATCAAAGGATCCACACAGGGGAGAAGCCCTATAAATGCATGGAATGTGGAAAGGGCTTCAGTACAAGCAGTTACCTTACATGCCATCAAAGGATCCACACAGGGGAGAAGTCATATAAATGTATGGAGTGTGGAAAGGACTTCAAAAGAAGCGATGAACTTACATCCCATCAAAGGATCCATACAGGGGAGAAGCCCTATAAATGCATGGAGTGTGGAAAGGGCTTTAGAACAAGCAGTTACCTTATATGCCATCGAAGGATCCACACAGGGGAGAAGCCCTATAAATGCATGGAGTGTGGAAAGGACTTCAAAAGAAGCAATGAACTTGCATCCCATCAAAGGATCCACACAGGGGAGAAGCCCTATAAATGCATAGAGTGTGGAAAGGACTTCAAAAGAAGCAATGAACTTGCATACCATCAAAGGATCCACACAGGGGAGAAGCCATATAAATGCATGGAGTGTGGAAAGGGCTTCAGTAGAAGCAGTTACCTTACATACCATCAAAGGATCCATACAGGGGAGAAGCCATATAAATGCATGGAGTGTGGAAAGAGCTTCAGCAAAAGCAGTAAACTTACACGCCATCAAAGGATCCATACAAGCGAGAAGCCACATAAATGCATGGAATGTGGAAAGGGCTTCAGCAAGCCCCATAGTCTTATTTACCATAGTATGATTCATAGACTGGAGAATCCCCAAAACAAATATACATTTGAGTAAGAATCTATGCTAATTATTGATTTAATGGGTTCTATGTATGGGTTTCCGATTTACAGAGTGAACTCTGAAAAGGGGTTTTTCTGTGATTCACCCTCCTGACAGCCGTAGAGAGATGAATTTAGTAATGAAAATAAAAACAGTGAGCATGTGTCATTATAATTATTATTTATACTTCTTTGAATGTAGCTGTATAGAAAGTATATAGGAATGTTAAACTGGTGGCTCATGGGCCAGTTGTGTCACATGCACATACCCCAGCTCCACGAATGGGGAAACCGTCGCAATGCGTCACGTGATGGCAACGTCACGCGGGGAGTTTGAAGCCCGTGGTGTATAGGTTCATTTTATTTTATTGTTTAGAAATGAGCTTCCTGTTCCCCAACTGCCATCATTCCCCCAGTTAGTCATAACTCTCAGAGGGATGCGAAGACATCTAACAGATGCTGTTTCTCTAAGCCCAAAAGGAAAATATCCAAAAAAGTAATCAAATTGCACCCATGGTATAGAACTGGGATCCCCAAAAGTAATTAAATTTGCATCCTCGGTGTAGAACTGAGACCTGAGTCAGCTGGTATTTATGGAGAAACATTGAACATTATTCAGTCAAAGGCCTCATGATATGAGGAAATTGTCACATGGAGATCAATGTAGATGGGAAGAGCTGAAAGGATGAACAATTTCTCTCTCACAAAAGGAGCCAGAAGCGCCCAAGTGCTTGTGTAAATTTCTTTTCAAGCATTATGGCCATATTTTGCTCTTCTGTAGTGTGGTGAGGGCTAGGAAGTCCACCTTTGATTTAAATAAGATTAATTAAATATCAATGGTGTGGTTTTGTTCTAGTCATGTATTATACTCATCTATTAAACTCTTAGTTGCTTTAAAAATGTATTAACACAGGATTTTTGGAAGGATTTGGAGGGGGCATATTTCAGGATTTGAGAGGCTCATGTTGGTTTGAAGCTCAATTGTCAGTAATAGTTCTGGATCAAGCTGAACAATAAAGAGACCGAAAAGAGCAGAGAGGTTAACTCAGTTTTTTAAACCCCTTTTTTCTTTCCATGTACACCCTTTCTTTCACTAATTGTAGCTAAATCTCTTTTTTTCCCCTTGCATTGTCACCTCCATATGCAGAGGAATCTCTTCAAAACATTGGAATCTTCAGGTCTTGTGGTTGGAATGTTTTTCTCTGTTTATTTTGTAGATCATGAATGAATCCCAGTATCATTGCTCAGGCTGGTCCAGGTTCTTTCTTGCCCCCCAAAGGCATTTTTGGGTCATAGAGGTAAGCCAGAAGGGATAAGACTTGTCACAAGCAGAACGATCATGTAGAAAGAAAAAGAATTATGCGTAGCATGGGTGAATAAAGGAGATGCGTGGGAAGACAAGATAGAAAGTGGATAAGAGAAACAAGGAGATTACAGATAGTTCATGGGAGGACTGTAATTAAATGATCATCAAATAAATTTATATCAGGGTTTCCTGCAGAAATTAAATCCAGAAAGCACGCACAGACTGATTCAGCAGGATTGATTTAAATAAGAAACTTCTTTATATACAAGAATATATATACAATACCAACAGCAGAGTACAATTTCTTTCAACGTAATAGAAGTTACAGGCAGAGCACAAGGCAGGAGAGAACAGTTACTTTCATTTCAGCAGAGCAGACAAGCATGCACAGACTGCTTAGTTTCAGTTTCAGTTCTCTGCACAGATGCAGAAGCTGCAGACTAAGACACGCCCTGGCTCCAGTCTGTCTCAGCTCCGAATTGGCTGACTTAGTTGCTATGCCTATTCATTGGCTCACCTTGTTACCATGTCTCTGAATCATGCATACATCACTATCAAAGATGAATTTTTCCTAGAATCATAAGGCCTGTTCTGTCCTCATTCAACATTACTCTGTGTGCAGCTTGACATGCACCCACCTCTCCTCCAATAAAACAGACCGTCTGCATAGATCTGGATGCTTTATTAAAGGAACAGGTTGGGTGAAACTGGAAAAATAGAAATACAGGTATTCCTCAAGGTACGAACCTAATGGATCAAAAAATGTGTCAAATGAATCACATTCAATTTTACAAATTTTTACAATCAAATTCATTAATTGAATCAAATGGCTTGTTAAATGAATGAAGATCTGACCTACTTCCTGGGGGCTGCTGATCAGTTATTTTCACTGCTGATCAGCTGATTCCGGTGCAGTTGAAGGAGGAACTAAATTGCCTCCAAGCTGGCTCACAGAGCTCTCCGTTTGCAGTTTTAAAAAAATCCACTTGCTGCTCATCAGCTCAAGCATCTTCAGACAGCTGCCCAGATGGGGTTTGGTGGTAATTTACAGTACTCTCAGATTGCAGTTACTTTAAACAAAAAAAACAACAACCTCCCACTACAGTAATTAGCTTAAGAGTCTCCAGCCAGGCTCCCAGAGTGAGATGGGGGAGGAATTTACAGAACTCTTGGCTTGGAACAGTAACAGAGATGGAAGAGACCTTGAGGTCCTGTAGTCTAACCCACTGCTCTCAGGCCAGACTCTCCATACAGTCCATGTATGAAGAAAAGTCAGGATTCATAGAAAAGGATCAAAAACTCATATAAATAGCTTGCAAATTTGAAAACCAGGAGTTTAGAGAAGAGATACAGCACACCACATTATAGAATGCTTTGTGTAGATGCTGGCTAGCATTTCTACAAGCAGTTTCAAAGCAAATGCAAACAAACTTTATCTTTGCAAAGAACTGTACTTACAAACACGATACTGTAGTTTGCACACTACAGTACAGTGCTTAAAAAGAAGCAGAGCAGTTCCCAAAATGCTTACAAACAAGCAGTACAGTACTATAGAGTAACAAAAAAGAATATTTTAAAATACTTAACAGAATTCCTGAATGCGAAATAACATCATAACTATATAGTATGATGGACTTTCAGGGTCGGTGCAACATGTAACATGTTCACATGGGTACAATAGGACTGAGTGGTTGTTAATATGATTTATTGGGTTAGGGATTTTCTGTCTTCACATTGAGTTGTATTGTGTTGGGGGGGTGCATGGAGGGAGCTCAGCCAATCTCACTGTACATTGTGCACTGACAATAAAGATTTGAATTTAGAAGCAATTCTAGCACTCTAGATCTCAAGCCCAGGAGCAGCAGATCCTCCATGCAGAACCAGAAAAACAAAACCTTGGTGCTGCCCTGGCTGCAAAATCCACCGGATCTTGGTTGGCCATGAAGGGTAAGGTGGGTTTAAACTCCATATGCAGCTTTGGTCACTTAGATATCTCTACGCTGTTGGTGTCGATATTCAAAGAAACATGCAGTTCTTTGGCTGCCCCCCCCAAAAGTTGGTGCCTCTGTCTGAACGAATGTATTTAAAGGGCCTCGGATAGCAATAAAATATCTGAGGGCATTTATGAAGCTAGAAGCGTCCATAATAACTTCAATGAGGAGAGCTCTAATGGTCATACAGGTGAATAAGGCTGCCCACCTCTTACTGTTTGCCTGACACCCTCTAGTGTGACGCGTGATCACAGGCCAGGAGCCAAAGACATCAAGGCCAACGTTAGTGAAAGGAGGATTTGTACTGAGTCTGTCGGCTGGTAGATCAGCCATCTTTTGTGTTTGTAACCTACCATGGAGCTTGCGACAAGAAATACACCTGAAGATTGCCTACTCACACATCTTTTAGCTCCAACTGTCCACAAACCAGCAATTCTTATAACTCCGTGATGGCAAACCTATGGCACTTCTCCAAATTCTAAAGAAAATGGGAGTCTGGCTTCCCAGCATGCACTTGATTTGAGAGTGCAGGCTGATGGTTAAATGGGTAGGATCAGCTTCAAACAATATACTTGGGGCATGTTTGTCTCTCTGGCCACTAGATGGGGCTAGAGCATTGGTGGGTTGTCCCCAGTTCAGACCGGTTCTATAGAACTGGTAATAAAACCGGAGGGAGGCTCCGCCCACCAACCCCGACATCATCAGAATGCTTCTGTGTGGCCCCGTTGCGAACCGGTAGTAAAGGTAAGTAGAATCCACCCCTGGGCTAGAGGGCAACAACAGTATATAAAGAGAGTATGTTAGGGCATGTTTGTCCCTCCGGCCACTAGATGGGGCTAGAGAGTCACCACAGTCTATAAAGTTATATGTAAGAAGAAATCAAACCCACATTATCCCAAATAAAATATTAACCATAAGAAAAAAAGCCCTTAGAAATATTATCCATAAAGAAAAGCCTCAGAAAAGCCAAAAGACCACGGCACTAATAAAAACCGCCTGAAGCCCAATCCATATTCCAGCCAGATGCCTAAAGAAAACATTGTAACAAGAAGCTAGCTGCTAAGGGATGCAGGCACTTAAGGAGATAAGGAGCTTATTGAAAGAGCAATCCAACTATCTAGATGGCTCCATTCATAAGCAAAGCAAATGCTGCCTGCAGAAGTCCACTCATGACAGGATATTTCAAAACCCCTTACAGCAATTTTGACAGCTAACAAAAGCAGAGTGATAGGATTAGAGCAAGCAGTCCCTCACCCTAAAATCTAACACAGGACAGAGCCATCAGCCACAATAAGAATTACCTAACTCCCTTTCAGAACACAAAGCCCATATTGCATAAATCCCAAACTTCAGAGTTACAGAATCATATAAGAACCCTTCCACTCACCCAGCTTGTTGGTCAGCTGCCCCAGAACTGCATGCTGTGTACATCCAGATACAATCATTTGCATATTGGGAGTGGAGACCTCCAGATCCCATGTTTCCCTACCACCCAGTTCAATGATGCTAACAGGCAGAGGGGAAAGCAGAGCTCCAGACGAGGAATAAATTCAGGTCCCAGAAAAGAAAAGTGGGGGGGAACTGTATAGTCTTTTCTTCGGAAAAGCTCCTTGATTTGGTTGACCTGTTTGTGTTCAGGGCATGTTGTGTGAACTTGCATGGCTGAGTGTAGGAAGAAAGAGAAATGGAGAGTCCTAAAATAGGGTAAGTTGACTGGCATTTCATTTGATGTGGACTAAATTGTCATTATTGTTAAATACAATGAATATTCTAGGTGGAATCATCAATTTACCATCTCAGAAAAGTCCTTCTATGGGGATGAGTGTTGTTGAATGGTTGTTGAGGGATTAATGGCTTGTTCTTGTATTCCCCTGAATACAAGAAAAAGCATTGAAAAGGATGTTCACTAACTAGATTATTATTTCCCTGTCCTTCAGGAAATCGGCTGATGTACATATTGTAGGTAGTGCTCGACTGAGCCCAAAATTTTTGTTGCTAAGTCTCCCTCACAAGGAAGGGTAGGAAGAAGTTGACTTATCTATATGGAAGAGCTGAAATAGTGGTCAACATTCCAACTCACACAAGACGATTTGTATTCTCCCTTTCCTTTGGAAAATCAAGCTGAGGTACATTGTACTGTCACCTTTCCTTTTATCTCTTTTTTTGTTGTTGTTGACTTATTCCTTCCTTCCTCAGCAACAGATTTAAATGAGATTCTTGTTAGGAATTTTTCCCCTAATACCAGTACTTTAAATACAATGCTATTTACTACAGTAGAACAATGCCAAAAGCTTCTCAATCAAGGAGCCCCTTCCTGGCCCCACATGGGAAATGCACCATTTCTCCTCTCTTTGCAGGAGCACCTTCCGTGCACAGAAAATCCACCAGGGGGGGCACTTCAGCTTTTGGCCCCTGTTACAATTTAGGAAGGAAGTGACATCTTTCAGTTTTTGCCTTTCTAGGATACTGACTCTCACTCTCTTACTTTAACCCTTTGAGCTTTGCAGGAGGTTAAAAAGGCAGCCAGAAAGTCTGGAGGATCCAGAAGTGGAAAAGGTAGGTAGAGGTGTGTGTGCGTGTGTGTGCGTGTTGCCTAGTCCTCATCTAGGTTCAGTTTTTTGAGTTTTGGGAGTGGGAGACTCCCCGACCACCCTTTTCAATGATTCTAACAGGCAGAGGGGAAAGCGGAGCTCCAGACGAGGAATATATTCTGGTCCCAGATCAGACAGGGGGGAGGGGGGGACTGGATAGTCTTTTCTGCCCCATTTCTTCGGAACAGCTCCTGCATAGGGGGAGGTGGGTGAGCTTGCATGGCAAAGACTGAGCAGGAAATCAGAAAGGATTAGCAAGGAACAGATGCAAAAGATTATGCCTGCATTCCCATTATGGGCTGGATGACACTGTTGGAAGAAATACCCTTCTGGGTTCTGCTCCAAGTGGGAAAAAAGACACTGGAAACATGGAGACTGCTTGGAAAGATGGTTTAAGGGTGGACAGGATCACATGGCTTGCGTTCCTGAACAGAAAAAGGGCAGATACAGTGAGTCCCTGGGTTTTTATGCTCTCCCTCCCTGGCTTTGAACTTCCTGGGGCCCCGAAAGTGTATCCTGATTGGTTGTCAGATTCCCAGGGGATGGAGGTCTTAGCCAGTGGTGGGATTCAGCCAGTTCGCACCACTTCGGGAGAACCGGTTGTTAACTTTCTGAAAAGTTTGCCAAAGTGGTTGTTGGAAGAAATCATTAGGGCAGAGAACCAGTTGTTAAATTACTTGAATCCCCCCACTGGTCTTAGCTAGCCTTGCTGGCTGATGTAATCTTCCCAGGTGCCATGTGGTGAGTTTCTGTTGCTAGATGGGTAGAGGGCTAATCCTATCTTTGTTGGCTCTTTGGCAATTCCTACTATGGCTCTGTCTGAAGGAGGTAGATCTTTGTTATGTAGAATAGACTGGCCCAGGCCTTAATGGCTCATTGACAAAAGGTGGGGGCAGGAAGTTGGGAGCTGCTTCATCTTTAAAACATGCTTCTCCATTTCTCATCCAGGGAAATATAATATTCTGCCTTTTTAATATTTCCTAAAATATTTCATTCTTCCAGGAAAGGGGTGGGTGCTGACTTCCTACAATCCCTACTCTTTTTTTTTTCAAAACGTGAGTTTTGAAACAAGTTCTTGGCAAAAGATTAAAATTGATCAGGTCAGGGAACCTTAATGGGTGCTTTTACTTGTTCTAATGCAAAGGGGAAGGCATTTATAGAGGCAACAGAAAAAGGATTCCTTCGGTGGCTTCCAAAAGCTTTCAACCATGAAGGTCTAGCAGCCAGGGGAAAAGTTCTGGAAAGAAATTTACAGTATCCAATTTCCTTGCCAATTAATTTCAGATTTCAGATATCACTTTCTGTGAGCTTCCAGGCAGGTTTCAAGCAAGCAGATCTCCCAAAATTTTTCATAGCCTGTTTTCCTTTAAATTACAGGCTGCCCATTTCATGAGTTGGTTACTGAACCTGCCCCAGCTCTTACTTTAGTGCATCCAGGATTTGTGAGTCCAAATTGAGGTCAGTCAGTGTGCAATCCAGGCTTCCCCCCCCCCCCTTTTTTTTTTTTTTGGTGTTACACACAATGAGCCCTGGGACTTCTACTCATGAGACCACCAGCGCAACATATCATGCTTTACTGGGCAACTGGGCAGCATCATTTGTGAGTCACAGTCAGGGCTTGGGTTTTGGATATCACTTTTCTGCTATCTCTTCAAGTGAGGAAATTGCATGAGGGGGATACCCCCTCCCCCATGAATTAGCAGGGAGATATGACTATTTGGACTTTTAGTGCCACAGAGCAAAAATCAACCTAGGAGAAGCTTTGTGGAGGTAAGTGAAGGGAATAGTTTCAGTCTAATTCTGAATGGTGTGTCTCTCTGTGTGTGCATGTGTATGCAGCTACTTTTACAATACAGGCAATACAAACATTTTGGACATATTTCTCCTCCCCACCAGACAGAAATCTAAAGTGTACATAACTTGCTGTGGCAACCACTCCCAAATACAATTCTTACAGTAAACTGATTACAATATAAATGAGACAAGAAAGAAAACCTTACAATGAATTTCCACCCTTCCCCATAGTCTCTCCAGGCTGTCTTCTGGGGGATTGAAAAGAGTCTTTTGGTCTTTACTTGTCCATCTCAGGGTCTTTTCTTTCATGTCTGGTGGGTAGCATGCTTGGTGGTAAGGCTGGTCCGTCAGGCTTGGGAAGGTCTGTTCCACTGTAGTTGCTGTGATGACTTTCAGTGAAGACTGGATTCAAACCCAATTCCTGGCTCAAACAGATGGAAGGTCTCCTCTGGAGGGAATATCTGGATCTATGTGCTCTGCTTCCACAGGTTGCAGAGTCATTTGTGCAAGGCTGAAAGACATTAGAACAGGGTCCCCTCCCCCCTTTCATGGGTAATCTTCCCAGGAAAGGCATTGTAACAGGATTAGAGATGGGGTGGTGGTGGTAGATAGCTTGCAGGCAGAGTTTGAAAAGAAACAACACAGCAGTATTGCAGTTACTAACCAGATAATGCAGTTTCAACAAAATGGAGACACAATAGATAAGAAAAAAACTGGATTCACATGCTTCAGGAAAGAGATGAGCAGGTAAACCCATTTAAACACATACAGTGAGTGCAAGACTGATTTTTTTCTTGTAAATGAACATAAAACGTTTCCTCATAAACTTGAGTTGTTACTTTAAGATACATAGTGAGAAGGAGAAAAAAAACAGAAATCAAATGAAAAGTTCTCTTTACTCTGTTCTTGTTGGCCAGACAAACACAGGGCAAAGGCTCTTTCTTTTTTTCTCTCTCCCCCCCCCCCCATTTTTCATTGCTTCAATCTTCCTTTTTTTTTAAATTTCTCTAACAATTTCAAATTCTTGTCTCTCGGGATCAGATACATTTTACAGTTACAATTACCTCGAGGGTGCACAAAGACTTTGACGTACACACATAAAAACAAGGAGGACAAAGAGAGGAAAGCAGAACTCTGAGATTTACACACACACTGATCATTCCCACCATAAATCTCAGTTAAATTAGGGAAGGCACAAATCTTAACAAACATACCACATGGTTGCATAGAAGACAGAGAAAGAGACAGACAAAACAAACAAAAACCCCAACATTCCTATTTATACATTTCCCTTTTCTTTTAAGTACCTTTATTTAGCCAAATTTGTTTCCCAGTGTTATCTCTTAGCATTGCCCATTTTTTGCACAATTTCCTGGCTTTCCTTTTACTCATGCCAGGTAACAGTGGTGTCTGCCTGGCGTCCCAGGCCACAATCAATTCACTCAGGGGATTTCCCTCTACCCTCGAGCTACTGCTTCCCATGTTCCTTGGAATGTAAGGCTGTAGCCGGGCAACACTCTTACGGTTTTCAGAAAAAAGGTACGGGCCCCTTCCTATTTAGGGAATTCGTCTAGGTTTTTGGATCAAAAAGGGATCCGGGAGGACCTCACTGCCCCTATAGTTAGTACTAGCACCTCCCTCACTTCAATACTCAATACTCACATATACACTGGGCTGCTTTCTGGAATATACCAGGGACTCTCTTTACTTTTTATAACCCATTTCACTTTCGCTTAGCATTCGCTCGGCTTCCGTTCCTTTTAAACACAAAGTTCCACGTTCAGCGACCCCCCACTTGCTTTCTCTATCCTACCGGTCATGGCTCGGTGGAACTAGCGGTAAGCAGAGGTGTGGCTAGAGGTCACTCAAAGAGGTGAAATCAGACTGTTTTCCGGGTGGAATCCCACACACACACTTCCTCCTTCCCTAACAGAAGGTCCTGTGCTCTGGCAAAACCCCCATGCTCTCTAGACTGTTGGTCTTTCTGCGGTTAGGAAATGCACACAGGAAGCAAGATACAGCTGTGATTGGGAGAAGGGCCTTCACTCACACACATGCAGGCATACACATTTTTCCCATGCTTTTCCATGCTTTAAAATTAAAATTTAGAGGTACTCGCCTTCTTTCCAAGCAGCCTTTGAGCTCAACACTCAAAACCCCTTTAAAACCTAGTTCCAAATGGCACAAAAACATACCCACAGACTCAATGGGTCTGTTGTTAGCAAGGGAGGCTTACCTGGGCCTGGTCCATTGGTTAGGTTAGCTTGGAGTCCCATCTGGGGTGCCAAATTGTAGGAAGAAATATCCTTCTGGGTTCAGCTCCAAGTGGGGAAAAAGACACTGGAAACATGGAAACTGTTTGGAAAGATGGTTTAATGGTGGACAGGATCACATGGCTTGAGTTCCTGAACAGAAAAGGGCAGATACAGTGAGTCCCTGGGTTTTTATGCTCTCCCTGGCTTTGAACTTCCTGGGGCCCCGAAAGAGTATCCTGATTGGTTGTCAGAGGTACACAACTTTCCTTGCACTAATTTAGAATTGTGTTATAGGACAGAGAAAGAACGGCAATCCTTCCTTTAGCAAGTGGGAGAACTGGAAAAGGCCCTTCTGGTGCTGAGTCTGGAATCCATGGGGAGTTCTGGGCAAGAACTGGGCAGAAGATGCTGAAAGAAGGAACCATCATTTCACATGTTCATGCCTGGAACTTCAGGAGCATCCAATATCAGGAGGATGAAGGTCCCCGAGGTCTTTGCAGCCAACTCCACTACTTTTGTAGTCGATGGTTGAGACCAGAAAAGCACACAAAAGCACAGATGCTGGACCTGGTGGTTCTGGAGCAGTTCCTGGCCCTTCTGCCCCTGCAGATGGAGAGCTGGGTGCGGGAGTGTGGAGCAGAGACCAGCTCTCAGGCGGTGGCCCTGGTTGAAGGCTTCCTCCTGAGCCAGGCGGAGGAGAAGAAGGAGCAGGTTGAGTTGCAGGTGAGAGGACTTCCTCCTGGGACTCCAGAAAAAATTGAATATAATAAACAAGAAGTTCACATTTTTTGTATCCTTTTCATAGTTTTATTAAGCTTATCAAAATATAAAATACAAAAAAATGAAAATAGTAGGAAATGGTGGGTGGGAAGGGAAGGGAAAGAAGTGTAGGGGAAAGGGGGGAAAAAAAGAAAACCATTGACTTTTTTTTTTAAGAAAAAAAGTTTTTATTTTATGATCAAACAAATGTACAATATAGTCAATCATTCAATATATCAAAATACATCTTATCATTTAATGTAACACTTTTGCTTATCTGTTAATACATTTATCTATCTCTAAACCCAACCTTCAACTCCCCCTCCCCACCCCCCACCCCCGACTTCCCAGAGCAAAAACAGGGTATAAGATTTACGAAACATACGCCAAAATATGCTAACTTACTGCAAGATTTAAAACTCCCTAGACCCCTTAACTCCCCTTTTACAAATTATTCATCAACCTCCATTTTATAAGCTCAAAATAACATATAGTCCATTAATCCTTAGGGTTTTAAAAACATTAACAAGCACTAATAAATCATTCAAACCCTAAAAATCTCTTAATACATCTGTAAAGTATTCTTAATTCATTTACTTAATCATTTTACTCTTCCTCCTACTTTTATTCTCAAGATTCAAATATTTTAAAATCTTAATACAACAATAATTAGACCTTAAAAAAAACTAATCTTCCATTCTTTCTTTCTTTCTATATTTTTCTTAATTCATTTAGTTAATCATTAATACATCAATAATTGAACCAGAAAAAGTTAATCTTCCATTCTTCCTTTCTTTCTGTATTTTTTCCAGTCTTGCTTCCTCCCTCCTACTTTTATTTTGAAGAGGTTTTGAATTTTGATTTGAGCTTGATGTATCTTTAAAACTCGTTCCTTTCTTAGAACTGTTTCCTCTGATTTAGAGCCCCCATATCGACTCTTCTTGCTTATATAATCAATCAGTTCATTCCTTCGTCTGTAGAACCAGAAATTCTCTCAATAAGATTTATCAGTTTGCAAAGAAGAGTCTAGTTGTTGCTTTTCGATTAATTGTGATTAATTGTGTGAAAGCCTCTGCCAAATCTTCTTTGTCCTCCAAAATCTCATTAGACTGGCCAATTTCTGCTTCTCTCTGCTCCAGATTATATTTTTGAAAAGTTCTGTCAATTAATTCCATAAGAGCAGGAATAAGAAAGTTTGAAAGTTCTTGAGAGCCAGCCAGTTCCACCTTCTCTGTTTTGGTCATAATGTCTCCTGCGTTGTCATTGTACTTTCCTTCAAAAGAATCTTTAATTGCTTTTATATCCTCCACCAGTTCTTTAAATTTCCCTTCCATGATTGCTGTTTGGTTATTCATAGCTGCAGTTTGGTTATTCATGGCTTCCTTTATAAATTCTGTAAATTCTCTACAAGAATCCTCCTGGCTCTGTGAATCAATTGGGAATTGTATTTTCTGTGTCATTTATGACACCACTGGAGAGCCTCCACCACTTTTAGGAACTCCTAACTTAACTTGCTTGGGAGCCATCTTATTTTTAAAAAAATTTTCTTTTCACAGCCATAAAGTCTCTTGAACAGCTTTCACAAATTTATTTGTAATTTATCAAGCAAAATAGTCTTTTCTCCACCCAGCTCTCAAATCCCAGCAGCTTTAATCCAGTCTCTGAGCGCAGATCTGTTAACAAGCACTTTCATTTCTAACTTTCACTTTTACGCCCGCAACAAAGACGCCATTTCCACCTCCAGCTCAAAAAATTTCAAGTAGAAACAATGTATCCCTGGAGTTAAGCATGATACTTGCAAGGCTTGTCCTCCTGCTTCCATTCTGTCTGCTTTTGAATTCAATTAATCTCCTTTTTGAGAGCAGAGTTGGTCGCGACATCTGGCTCTGTTTAAAACAGAGTCGTCCCGGATCCGGAACTTCAGTGGGCTGACCGGGGAGCTCTCACCCTCCAAGCCCCTGGAGTTGTTCCAGGGGCTTACGGGGAGCTCTACCCTCACCCACCGGCTTTCCTCTCCTTCTTCCCCCAAAGGAGAAGTTTTCAAGCCGTCTGACAGCTGATTAGCGCTGTCAGAACGGCTCCAACGGAGTTGTGAGGCTGGCGGTCCGAAAAGACCGTCCATGACGCCGGCGGTGCCAACCGGAAGTCCAATATTCTCTCTTCTGTTGAGTTAATCCAATCACTAATTGCTGAAAGGGCAGCTGCCTCATAATACAATCTTAAATTGGGCATTTTGAGACCTCCTCTCTCACATATATCTTGCATTATTTTTTGCTTTATTCTCGGTCTCTTTCCTGCCCAAACAAAGTTACTGATACCCTTCTGCCATTCCTTCAAATTTGCATCTTTTTTAAGTATTGGTATCATTTGAAAAAGAAATAAAAACTTTGGTAAAACATTCATTTTTACTGCTGCTATTCTTCCCAACAAAGACAGTTGTAGTTTTTTCCAGTTTTCCATCTCTTTCTGTATTTTTGCCACAACGATTCGTAATTATACCTGTATAATTTTACATTTGAAGTCACAATATAAACCCCTAAATATTTAACCTTTACTATTTCAAATCCTGTTACTCTTTTTGATTTATAGTCATATTTTTAGTCATTATCTTTGTTTTCCCTGCATTTATTTTAAATCCAGATACTTGTCCATATTAATTATATCCATTAAACCTATAACTGATTGCACTGGTTGGGTTAAAGTAACAACCAAGTCATCTGCAAATGCTCGTAATCTATAATCATAATGCCTAATTTTAATTCCCTTTATTTTATCCGAACCACGTATTTTATTCAGCAAAAATTCCAAAGTCAAAATAAACAGTAATGGAGACAAGGGACATCCTTGTCTTGTTCCTTTTTCAATATTAAAAGTTTCTGTTAAACTACCATTAATTATTATTTGTGCTGTTTGTTTCTGGTATATTGCCTTAATAGATTGTGTAAAATACTCTCCAAACTGCATCTTTTCTATTATTTTCAATAAAAAATTCCAATTCAATCAGTCAAATGCCTTCTCCACATCCAAAAATATAAGCGCCGCAGGGACTTGGTTGTTCTTCCCCAAATATTCCAATATGTTAACTATTTGCCTTACGTTACTTTTCATTTGTCTCCCATTTATAAAACCAGTTTGATCATTATGAATCGTTTGTTGCATAACTAGCATTAACCTATTTGCTAATATTTTAGCAAAAATCTTGTAATCTGTATCTAAAAGCAATATAGGCCTATAGTTCTTTGGCTGACTATGATTTTGATCCTCTTTTGGAATTAAAGAAATAAATGCTGTTCTCCAAGATGAGGGTACATCTCCTCCAGATTGTATTTTAATAAATAATTCCTTAAGTGGTTCCACCATTTCTAACTGAGCTTTACCCACTTTCAACTATTTAATTGCTAAGACAATTTCTTCCGAGGTTATTGTTTGATTCAAACCTTCCCTTTGCTCTTCTGTAACTATAGAAATGTTCTCCTTCTGTAGATATCTATCTATATCTATACCTTGAATTTTATCACTAGCATACAATCTCATGTAAAATTCTAAAAATGCTTTTTTAATCATGTTTTGCTGATACACCTCTTTACCTTTATATTCTATTTTCTCTATAGTACGTAGCTTTTGTTTTTTCCTTAACAAATATGCTAACCATCTACCTGGTTTGTTAGCATTACAGAAAGTATTATGTTTAGCATATTGCAGACTAATTGCAGCCTGATCTGCCATCAACATATTAAATTGCCCTCACAATAAATTAATTGCTTCTTTTGTTTTCTTATCTGCTGGGTTCAATGTTAATACTTGCTCTCTCTTTTTTATTTCCTCTTCTAAATCAATCCGTTTTTTTCCTGTCTACCTCTGTGTTTATTATTCAAATATATTAAAATACCTCTCATATATGCTTTGCATCCCATACCACTTCCATAGATGTACCTTTATACATATTCATAACAAAAAATTCTTTCAAAAATTTTTTACATTCTTTCACATTTTCCTCATATCTAAACAAATTTTCATTTAACCTCCAGGACCTCCTGGGTCCCTTTTCATGTTCCAGTTCCATCCAAACCGGGCTATGATCTGTTAATGTTCTTGGACATATCTTCGTCTTCTTCACCCTAGAAAGAAAATCATTAGTAATTAATATAAAGTCAATCCTAGAAAGGGATTGGTGTCTATCAGAAAAAAAGTAAAGTCTTTTTCTTCAACATTCCGTTCTCGCCAGATATTTCTCAACTCGATATCTTCCATCATATCAAAGAAAGATTTAGGTAATCTGGCGTGCACTTGAATATTTTGCGAAGGTCCTTTTTTGTCTTTTTTAGTATCCAAACCTCCATTCCAATCACCCAATAATATACACGATTTGTAATCCTATTGTATTAGTTTAGTATGTAAAAGCTTGTAAAATTTTTCTTGTTGGTTAGGTGCATATACTCCAATTAAAAGTATTTTCCCCCTCTATTAAAATTTCAATTGCTATATATCTTCCTTGATCATCTGCTTCAATTAGTCTAGCTATTAAGTCTTTTTTTAAGTATATAACTATGCCATTTTTCTTTTCTGGTGCAGATGCTACAAAATGTGTTCCCAATCTTGCGTTTATCAAACAGTTTTGATCTTTCATTCTAATATGTGTCTCTTGCAAACAAATTACTTCATTTTTGTACTGTTTCAGATAATGAAATATTTTCCTCCTCTTTTGCGGTGAATTTAAACCATTGACATTCCAATTTAAAAATCTAGTTGCCATTCTTGGCACCTTGAAGCTTTTGGAGCATCAGCTGAAAATCTTCCTGCATTTTCCTCTTCGACCTTGCTTCTCCCACTGCTTCTGTTTTTGTGATTTCTTGAGTTTTCATCTGAATTTGCTCCACCTTTAATTCTTCTCTGCACTTAGTTGCCACTCGGGTCTGTCTCTGATCCTTTAGTTCCTCTATTTTTTCCACTAACACCGGAGCTTGAACAGTGCCCAAGTGTTGTATTAAGTCTTCTTGAGTAATCAAAACCCCTCCTTGGGCCTGTGCCTGCATTTCTTCTTTCTCACCCTTTCTTGCCTCCTCTGCTTCCTTCTTCTAGCTTCTGGGGACGGTGGGCATCCAACCTTTAATACATTTGTGTAAAAGTCTCTTGCCTTCCAAACTGTATTGAGACGATATCTTTCTCCTGAGTAATTCACCACTAATCCAACTGGAACCTCCCATCTGTACTGTATCTGGCAATTTCTAAGTTCTTCCACCAAAAAAGCATAGTTCTTCCTGGTTCTCAGCATTTTGGGGGGAATTTTTTTCAATATTAAAACCTCCTGCCCTACCACTTGAAATTTATTTTTGTAGGAAGCTTGTAAAATTTCATTTTGTATCCTCCTTGTTGTAAAGTAGATTACAATATCTCTTGGTAAATGTTTCTGTCTGGCAACCCATGAGTTAACACGATAAATTTTGTCAAGTTGCCATTCAAGATCTGCCTTTTGTTCTCCAATTATCTGTGCAAAGGCTTCTGCAAAGATCTCTCGCAAATTCTCTTGATTATTTTCTCTCAGGCCTCTTACTCTCAGGGCAAACTCCATCGCCCTATATTGTATCATTGTCACTTCTAAGTCTGCCCTCTCCATCTTTGTCTGGACCTTGCCCATTTTTTTTCCCAAATCCACATTAGATTGATTAAGTTCTTCCACTTTTTCATCCAGCCCTTCAATATGGCTTGCCAGACCCTGAAATGCAAAAACAATATCTTCTCTGATTTCCTTATTTCGAATTTGAATTACCTCTTTAATTTCTGCCATCTCTTCAGCCACATCCCATATTTTTTTCTTCAAAGACAGAAGTAATTTTTTCCTCTAAAACAGAGGCTTGTGTCTTTAAAGCTTCCTGCAAAGCTTCCAGTGTTAATATTTGTGGTTCCATTGGAGCTGACAAAGATTGCAATTTAGATAGTTGGGCTGGTGATCCCCCAGCACTTTTAGCCGCAACAGTTTTATTTGCCTTGAAGCCATTTTCTAATTTTCAATTTTAATTTTAAACTTTTGCAACAGCCAAAACAATAAGTCCACTAAATCAAGTTAATTTCCAGTCCTCGGTAAATTTTTTGATTCATCTAAAGTCAATTTTAAATCTTCATTCTTTTAAAGTAAAATCCAATACTTTTGAACAGGGGCTGTCAGCACTAGACGATACTTTGTAATTATGATCACTCCTGCCTTTGCTCTGCCTGCTTTTGTATCCAGTATTTTGAAAGATTGTTGCAGGGGTGGTCGAGGAGTCTTGTTCTGCTTAAAGCAGATGTCTTCTTACCAGCCTTTCCTGGCATTCATACTATGTGGAGATGCTTCACTAATCTTTGTGTAGTTCCCTTATCCATTCTAGAAGAAAGATTTTGCACAGGGATTTCTTTCTTCCTTCCCAACCTAATTGATCGACACTGAATGATTTGCATTGGTGTTCACTGGAAAAGAAACCACTTCATGATGTGTGATGACCATTAATTCTTTTCTCCTACTTCAAGCCCTTCGCAATGGAGATCAGAGATCCTGAGAGAAAGAGGCATCCGTCAAATCTCCCTGAAGAACTGTTTTTCAGGGGAATCCCTCAGGGAGATCCAATTCAGGACACCTCAGGAGGTAATATAAGGTCCTTCCACTCCTTTGATCAATCTTAACTTTCTCATCTTCTCGGTGTCCTCTCCTCTGTAGCATTCCTCCTCCCATTTTACTCATGATGCTTTTTGAAATTCTGTCTCCCTCACAGGGAAGAATAGAAGGAAGTTGACTCTTTGTTTTGGGGGAGCAGAAACCAGGATTGAACCTCCAACTCGGGTAAGAGAAGAACATTCATTTACTAGATTTTTATTTTCCATTTCCCTCAGGAAATCAGAGGATGTGGACCAGGGGTGGGTTCTACTTATCTTTAGTACCGGTTCTCACCCACCTCTCCATGAGGCCTCTCAGGGAACACTGCATGCAAATCAAAAGAAAGCGCTGCAAGTCCAGGTGTCCTTTCCATTTGTTCCCCTCGCCTCTCTCTCTTGCCCCCCCCTCTAGCAACAACTAGAGGTGTGGGGGTAAGTGGGGAAGGCATGTGATCTGGCCTACAGCTGCGGGCAAACAAGGACAGGCAGAGTGGCAGAGGGTTCACATGGCCCATCTGGTAGGCCAGATTGCGTACCTCCCCCACCCCACCTGCGCCTCTGCCAGTGCCGCTGCAATGAGGCAAAGCAAGTTGTGGGGTGGGGGATGGCGCCAAGGCATAGCCCCTGCATTCTCAGCCCCCGCCGTCCAGCCTGGTCCTCCACTTCCATCGCACACTCCACACAAGCAAAGACAGTTGGTGGGACAGATCACATGCCTCCCCCCACCCCCCGTGCTGGCTGCAGTTGCTTCCAGACACCATCTGGCCCCTCCATGCCCACTGCCCCACCCTCACATGCTTTTTGTTCTGTCCATTTTGTCATCTGAACCACGGATTCCTACTAAGCAAAGCTATTTCCCTTAGTGTATATGTTTGCTTTGGGAATTTCTAAATAATAGGAAAGATGCTGTTCTGTACTTTTTTCCCCTTTCAGGAGAGTCTTGTGTCCTTTGAGGAGGTGGCTGTTGATTTCTCCGAGGAGGAGTGGTCTCAGCTGGATCCTCACCAAAGAGCTCTGCATTGGGAAGTCATGCTGGAGAATTATAAGAACATGGTCTCTCTTGGTAAGGGTTTCCTACTCTCCAGTCAGAGAGTCCAGGAAGACATTTTGTAGTTAGAGGCCATTAGTTAGTTCTTCTGAAAACATCTTGAAATAGATATCCCCTCTTCAGAGGGAGAAAGGAAAAATTCTGTTTTTCTACTGCTCCTAGGAAGGAAATGGGTGTATGGCATTCTGCTTAGATGTATCCGATCCAATTTGCTTTTGTGTTTCTATTTAAACTTTTTAGTGACAAAGTAATTCCTTAGTTTGAGGTAATGCCAAAGTCCATCACACAGATTTCAACTATTTTGGCCCAGATGCTTCTATATCATTCAAGTTTTTTGACTTAATGTCTTTTTCAAGGTTTTATGTCTCATCAATAGAGATATTATCATTTCAATATATGCTATTATAAGGATACAGATATGCGGTATATATTAGAATTTGGCACAATATCTGAAGGCAATTAATATGACTTCTAAAAGAGTGATCTTTTTCCCTAACCTTTCTCCCACTTTCATTTCTTTTTCCCTTTGAAGGTGAGAATGACAATGACAATAAAGACTCTGGAGAACCAATCAAAGTCTTTAGACAAGGAGACGTAATGAAGAAACCTGCAATTCAAACAGAATTCCAAAGGCAGGAGAGAAACCTGTCAAATAACTGGAATAAGGAAAGCTCATCTTCAATTGTTGCTCAGATGCAGGACTTTATTGATCAACGAGGAAAATTAAAGAAGAAATATATTGGGAAAGGTGTAAGACTCTTCAGAGACACATTAGATGTAAATGGACCCTGTCCATCACAAGCCAAAGAACCAGCCAATATATGGAAAGATGAAGGAAAAAATTACAGTTGGATATCCACACTTTCTCAAGAAAATGGATCTCTTGAGTCACAGAAAAGTTTCCACATGGGAGAGAACTCAAACATACGTAATGAACATGGAAACAAGATTCTTAATAAAAGGACATGCATAAGAGAGAAGCCATATAAATGCATGGAGTGTGGAAAGGGCTTTAGCCAAAAGAGTATCCTTATTACCCATCAAAGTATCCACACAGGGGAAAAGCCATATAAATGCATGGAGTGTGGAAAGGACTTCACCCAACGTGATCATCTTACTGCCCATGGAAGGATCCACACAGGGGAGAAGCCATTTAAATGCATGGAGTGTGGAAAGGGCTTTAGCCAAAAGGGTAACCTTATTACCCATCAAAGGATCCACACAGGGGAGAAGCCTTATAAATGCATGGAGTGTGGAAAGGACTTCAGTACAAGCGGTTACCTTACATGCCATCAAAGGATCCATACAGGGGAGAAGCCCTATAAATGCATGGAATGTGGAAAGGGCTTCAGAACAAGCAATGAACTTGCATCCCATCAAAGGATCCACACAGGGGAGAAGCCTTATAAATGCATGGAGTGTGGAAAGGGCTTCAGTACAAGCAGTTACCTTACATGCCATCAAAGGATCCACACAGGGGAGAAGTCATATAAATGCATGGAGTGTGGAAAGGACTTCAAAAGAAGCGATGAACTTACATCCCATCAAAGGATCCATACAGGGGAGAAGCCCTATAAATGCATGGAGTGTGGAAAGGGCTTTAGAACAAGCAGTTACCTTATATGCCATCGAAGGATCCACACAGGGGAGAAGCCCTATAAATGCATGGAGTGTGGAAAGGACTTCAAAAGAAGCAGTTACCTTACATACCATCGAAGGATCCACACAGGGGAGAAGCCCTATAAATGCATGGAGTGTGGAAAGGACTTCAAAAGAAACAATGAACTTGCATCCCATCAAAGGATCCACACAGGGGAGAAGCCATATAAATGCATGGAGTGTGGAAAGGACTTCAAAAGAAGCAATGAACTTACATCCCATCAAAGGATCCACACAGGGGAGAAGCCATATAAATGCATGGAGTGTGGAAAGGGCTTCAGTAGAAGCAGTTACCTTACATGCCATCAAAGGATCCACACAGGGGAGAAGTCATATAAATGCATGGAGTGTGGAAAGAGGTTCAGCAAAAGCAGTAAACTTACACGCCATCAAAGGATCCATACAAGCGAGAAGCCACATAAATGCATGGAATGTGGAAAGGGCTTCAGCAAGCCCCATAGTCTTATTTACCATAGTATGATTCATAGACTGGAGAATCCCCAAAACAAATATACATTTGAGTAAGAATCTATGCTAATTATTGATTTAATGGGTTCTATGTATGGATTTCCGATTTACAGAGTGAACTCTGAAAAGGGTTTTTTCTGTGATTCACCCTCCTGAGAGCCGTAGACATGAATTTAGTAATGAAAATAAAAACAGTGAGCATGTGTCATTATAATTATTATTTATACTTCTTTGAATGTAGCTGTATATAAAGTATATAGGAATGTTAAACTGGTGGCTCATGGGCCAGTTGTGTCACATGCACATACCCCAGCTCCACGAATGGGGAAACCGTCGCAATGCGTCACGTGATGGCAATGTCACGCGGGGAATTTGAAACCCGTGGTGTATAGGTTCATTTTATTTTATTGTTTAGAAATGAGCTTCCTGTTCCCCAACTGCCATCATTCCCCCAGTTAGTCATAGCTCTCAGAGGGATGCGAAGACATCTAACAGATGCTGTTTCTCTAAGCCCAAAAGGAAAATATCAAAAAAATAATCAAATTGCACCCATGGTATAGAACTGGGATCCCCAAAAGTAATTAAATTTGCATCCTCGGTGTAGAACTGAGACCTGAGTCAGCTGGTATTTATGGAGAAACATTGAACATTATTCAGTCAAAGGCCTCATGATATGAGGAAATTGTCACATGGAGATCAATGTAGATGGGAAGAGCTGAAAGGATGAACAATTCCTCTCTCACAAAAGGAGCCAGAAGCGCCCAAGTGCTTGTGTAAATTTCTTTTCAAGCATTATGGCCATATTTTGCTCTTCTGTAGTGTGGTGAGGGCTAGGAAGTCCACCTTTGATTTAAATAAGATTAATTAAATATCAATGGTGTGGTTTTGTTCTAGTCATGTATTATACTCATCTATTAAACTCTTAGTTGCTTTAAAAATGTATTAACACAGGATTTTTGGAAGGATTTGGAGGGGGCATATTTCAGGATTTGAGAGGCTCATGTTGGTTTGAAGCTCAATTGTCAGTAATAGTTCTGGATCAAGCTGAACAATAAAGAGACCGAAAAGAGCAGAGAGGTTAACTCAGTTTTTTAAACCCCTTTTTTCTTTCCATGTACACCCTTTCTTTCACTAATTGTAGCTAAATCTCTTTTTTTCCCCTTGCATTGTCACCTCCATATGCAGAGGAATCTCTTCAAAACATTGGAATCTTCAGGTCTTGTGGTTGGAATGTTTTTCTCTGTTTATTTTGTAGATCATGAATGAATCCCAGTATCATTGCTCAGGCTGGTCCAGGTTCTTTCTTGCCCCCCAAAGGCATTTTTGGGTCATAGAGGTAAGCCAGAAGGGATAAGACTTGTCACAAGCAGAACGATCATGTAGAAAGAAAAAGAATTATGCGTAGCATGGGTGAATAAAGGAGATGCGTGGGAAGACAAGATAGAAAGTGGATAAGAGAAACAAGGAGATTACAGATAGTTCATGGGAGGACTGTAATTAAATGATCATCAAATAAATTTATATCAGGGTTTCCTGCAGAAATTAAATCCAGAAAGCACGCACAGACTGATTCAGCAGGATTGATTTAAATAAGAAACTTCTTTATATACAAGAATATATATACAATACCAACAGCAGAGTACAATTTCTTTCAACGTAATAGAAGTTACAGGCAGAGCACAAGGCAGGAGAGAACAGTTACTTTCATTTCAGCAGAGCAGACAAGCATGCACAGACTGCTTAGTTTCAGTTTCAGTTCTCTGCACAGATGCAGAAGCTGCAGACTAAGACACGCCCTGGCTCCAGTCTGTCTCAGCTCCGAATTGGCTGACTTAGTTGCTATGCCTATTCATTGGCTCACCTTGTTACCATGTCTCTGAATCATGCATACATCACTATCAAAGATGAATTTTTCCTAGAATCATAAGGCCTGTTCTGTCCTCATTCAACATTACTCTGTGTGCAGCTTGACATGCACCCACCTCTCCTCCAATAAAACAGACCGTCTGCATAGATCTGGATGCTTTATTAAAGGAACAGGTTGGGTGAAACTGGAAAAATAGAAATACAGGTATTCCTCAAGGTACGAACCTAATGGATCAAAAAATGTGTCAAATGAATCACATTCAATTTTACAAATTTTTACAATCAAATTCATTAATTGAATCAAATGGCTTGTTAAATGAATGAAGATCTGACCTACTTCCTGGGGGCTGCTGATCAGTTATTTTCACTGCTGATCAGCTGATTCCGGTGCAGTTGAAGGAGGAACTAAATTGCCTCCAAGCTGGCTCACAGAGCTCTCCGTTTGCAGTTTTAAAAAAATCCACTTGCTGCTCATCAGCTCAAGCATCTTCAGACAGCTGCCCAGATGGGGTTTGGTGGTAATTTACAGTACTCTCAGATTGCAGTTACTTTAAACAAAAAAAACAACAACCTCCCACTACAGTAATTAGCTTAAGAGTCTCCAGCCAGGCTCCCAGAGTGAGATGGGGGAAGAATTTACAGAACTCTTGGCTTGGAACAGTAACAGAGATGGAAGAGACCTTGAGGTCCTGTAGTCTAACCCACTGCTCTCAGGCCAGACTCTCCATACAGTCCATGTAGCATTTCTACAAGCAGTTTCAAAGCAAATGCAAACAAACTTTATCTTTGCAAAGAACTGTACTTACAAACACGATACTGTAGTTTGCACACTACAGTACAGTGCTTAAAAAGAAGCAGAGCAGTTCCCAAAATGCTTACAAACAAGCAGTACAGTACTATAGAGTAACAAAAAAGAATATTTTAAAATACTTAACAGAATTCCTGAATGCGAAATAACATCATAACTATATAGTATGATGGACTTTCAGGGTCGGTGCAACATGTAACATGTTCACATGGGTACAATAGGACTGAGTGGTTGTTAATATGATTTATTGGGTTAGGGATTTTCTGTCTTCACATTGAGTTGTATTGTGTTGGGGGGGTGCATTGAGGGAGCTCAGCCAATCTCACTGTACATTGTGCACTGACAATAAAGATTTGAATTTAGAAGCAATTCTAGCACTCTAGATCTCAAGCCCAGGAGCAGCAGATCCTCCATGCAGCACCAGAAAAACAAAACCTTGGTGCTGCCCTGGCTGCAAAATCCACCGGATCTTGTTTGGCCATGAAGAGTAAGGTGGGTTTAAACTCCATATGCAGCTTTGGTCACTTAGATATCTCTACGCTGTTGGTGTCGATATTCAAAGAAACATGCAGTTCTTTGGCTGCCCCCCCAAAAGTTGGTACATTCGTCTGAACGAATGTATTTAAAGGGCCTCGGATAGCAATAAAATATCTGAGGGCATTTATGAAGCTAGAAGCATCCATAATAACTTCAATGTGGAGAGCTCTAATGGTCATACAGGTGAATAGGGCTGCCCACCTCTTACTGTTTGCCTGACACCCTCTAGTGTGACGCGTGGTCACAGACTAGGAGCCAAAGACATCAAGGCCAATGTTAGTGAAAGGAGGATTTGTACTGAGTCTGTCGGCTGGAAGATCAGCCATCTTTTGTGTTTGTAACCTACCATGGAGCTTGCGACAAGAAATACACCTGAAGATTGCCTACTCACACATCTTTTAGCTCCAACTGTCCACAAACCAGCAATTCTTATAACTCCGTGATGGCAAACCTGTTAAGTTGAGTGAATGAGGACGCAGCAAGCCAGAGTAGTGAGTGACAACAGGTCTTTATTGTATGGTGAGAACCCCAGCGACTGACCCAGGGAGCTAGCTCCCTTTATATACCTTGCAGCTGTGGTGGTCAGCCAATCAGCTGATGGTCAGTTAATTCAAACTTCCTGCCAAACCAAACCTATTTACATAACAAAACCTATGGCACTTCTCCAAATTCTAAATGAAATGGGAGTCTGGCTTCCCAGCATGCACTTGATTTGAGAGTGCAGGAGGATGGTTAAATGGGTAGGATCAGCTTCAAACAATATACTTGGGGCATGTTTGTCTCTCTGGCCACTAGATGGAGCTAGAGCAGTGGTGGGTTGCCCCCAGTTCGGACCGGTTCTATAGAACTGGTAATAAAACTGGAGGGAGGCTCCGCCCACCAACCCTGACATCATCAGAATGCTTCTGTGCGGCCCCGTTGCAAACCGGTAGTGAAGATAAGTAGAATCCACCCCTGGGCTAGAGGGCAACAACAGTATATAAAGAGAGTATGTTAGGGCATGTTTGTCCCTCCGGCCACTAGATGGGGCTAGAGAGCCACCACAGTATATAAAGTTATATGGTGTGGGATGATACTCCCTGCCTGGTATCAACCGATACCACTATTTGAGTTCTGAGATGATAGCATTAGGTGAGCTGCTATTGCTTTTTTGCTGATATGGTCATCGATGAGGTGGTGCCACTGCAGTTTCCAATGAGCTTTTGGGAACTTGACTGTGATCTAAGTCAGTAGTGAAATCTGAACTGGTTTGCTACTGGTTCGCTGGCCACGCATGCACGCTACACACATGCATGTGCTGTAAGGAGGCTTGGGAAGGTAAGTAGAACAGCGCAGGGGGGAATCAGCTGTGGCGCACAATCTTGGGAACCTTTTAAAAAACTTTTTAAAAGCATTTTTTACTACCGGTTCGGGCAAATAGGTAGTAAAAAATGCTTTAAAAAAGGTTCCAATGATCACAGCTGTTCTGCGCAATCATCAGAACCTTTTTTAAAAACTTTTTAAAAGCATTTTTTACTACTCATTCGCCAAACCGGTAGTTTTTAGCGCTACCGGTTGGCCCGAACCAGAGTGAATCGGTAGCATTTCACCCCTGCTCTAAGTCCGGAATATAACATCCCATTTCTAGCTTCTCCCTTAGGCTTGCTGAGATCCTCTGATATATATCCAGCATCGTTCTGTTGAACAGATATTGTGGGAGACATTGCAGAAGACTGGTTCAATTGCTTTTTGAAGCTTGCTGTTCTTTGTGGTGTGGCTGAGGGCTGCTGTGCCATTTGAGCTATGGTGTTGTCCACACGTTCTGAGATATGAATGGCATAGATGGACTCTGGAGACTGTGGCAAAGAGCATGCTACAGCTTGTTCTTTATTGTAAGGTAGGCATCGTCTCTGTGATCTGAAGGGAAGAGGGGTGACCCAGTTGTCACTATCTTCTTTGACTAATGCCTGCTCTGTCTTTTCTAAAGGGAGTTTGTCCTCAGTAGATGTTGCCACCTGATTGTCATCTTCCATTTTTTGAAAGACTGTGCACTTTAAATGACCTTGGTCACCATCACAGGGGAGGTTGTCACTAAAGTAGCCTATGAAGGGACAAGGCAAATGGGTAATGTGCAGTGAATTCTGTAAGAGGAATTGGTTGAACTTGTGGCTTGGCTGAAAAATAGAAGGATGTCTGTGTCTCTAATGTACTTGTCAGCATGCTGCTAACAGAGGTTGGTTTGTCCCAATATAACTTCTTCTTTTTTAAATATTTTTTATTGTTTTATATCATACATCTCCTTTCTATGTTGAGCAGTGTCCTCTCTAGGTGTCCAAGATGTTAACATGCGAATGTACAAACATCATCATCATCATCATCATTATAGTCATATATATATTAACAAATGTGCAGTAACATATAAACATATATGATAACATCCATCGTATTATAACATATATTGTCTTCCATTAGGGTGCCGATTATATTACCATCAAGTAAAAGAAAAAAAAATTACCCCTCTGTTTTTCTTTCTCATATTCACCATATTTCACCCAATTTTACAACGACAATCCATCTCTTTCCGTCTTCCTTCTCCTTCCCTCCCTTCCCTTCTCCCCTCTCCTTCCCTCTCCTTCCCTCTCTCCTTCTCCTCTCCCCTCTCTACTTTCCTCTCCTCCCTTTTCCTCCCCTCCTCCCCCTTCTCTTTACTCTTCTCCACCTCCCTCTCTCCTTTCCCCTCTCTCTTTCCCTCTTCTTCCATCTCCTTCCTTCTCCTCTTCCCCCAACCTTTCTCCCCTCCTCTCCCCTCCTCCACCCCACTCCACTCCCCTGTCTCCCGTCATCTCTCCACTTCTCTTTCCTTCCATCTTTTTCTCTTCGTTGTTGCATATAGATTCCCAATTCCCTACAGAATACGGTGCATTTTCCAAATACCATCTCTTTCAAATATAACTATACATTTTCTTGAAATTACATTAGAAGAAAACAGACTTAATATCTACATAAACAGTGTGTTGATGGCAGTGATAATCATGATTATAGTAACATAATAATAATTATTCTTCATATTAATAATTTTACAAACATTATCATCATTATGATCATATATATATAAACAAATATGCAGTAATATATAAACAAATATGCAATAATATCAATCATATTATAACATATATTATCTTCCATTATAGTATCGTTTATATAACCGTCAAAAATATTTACTCATCTGTTTTTCTTTCTCCTATAAACCATATTTCACCTAATTACCCCTGATCACCCTGATCAAAAGTTTTAAACTACCTCAAAAACTCCACTAATATCCTCTACCTCACTAGGAAACAATCTGGCTAGACATTCAAGCAAATAAGAAAACTCCAAAAGCCAAAACAAAAAAAAATTCATTATTGACCCAGATGCCATTAAAACAAAATACATGGCTTTAAGGAAAAACAAAGGAGAGATCCCAGCGTGTGAGTGAAATCGCAATATTATCGGATCATCTTCCCACTGCAAAATCAAGGCAGAGCTTCATCCCCAGCACCAAGGCAAGGCTTCAGCTACAAAAATACCTGATACCACTGACACCGACTCACTGATTTCTGATCGATTGATTAATATAATAGATTGATAGTACTTGAGTAATTGTCCAGTAAACTAATATATTAGCTTAACTGAGAAGACTAACTTTAATTACTGATTTATTGTATAACTGTAATTACTGCAATGAGTGCAGCATTGATTGACTATCATATTGAAAAATTAGTGTTATTGATTAGTGTTGCATTGATTACCAATAAATAAATTACCAGGAAGAAATCTAGCTAGAAATTCAAACAAAATCAAAAATTTAATTAATTATTTGACTGGTTAAGTAATACTAATTAATCACACACTGATTGTCAATAAATTTGATTAATTAATTTGCTAAAACACTGATTTATTATTGACATTACTTAATTAATTTGTAATTTATTTATTTTTTATTGACATTGATTAATTAATTTGTTTGCTGATTAATTACTTGCTAGATATTGATTTATTATTGATATTGACAAATTAATTTTGTCAAACATTGACTGATCATTGACCATGCCAGGCAAAAACTCAAAAAATCGACCACCAAACACCCACAAATGATAGATATCACTATCAATGATGACCCCAACAATTCCAGAACATGCTATAAATGAAATGAATCTATCAACAAATATGATGAATTCGAGAAATGCTGTTTATGTACCAAATA